CGATCCAGGAAGTTCGGGCGACAGCACCGTCGATGGAGATATCGATCAATATGAGTCACCCAAGCGGACTCCTTGGGAGGCACGCGTATATGCCATCCGGGAGATCTTGACGCTAACATACCGGGAACAACGGGCTTGCATGTACGCTCGAAATGCCATCATGGAGGCCACGCTGAATCTGCAAGTCGCTGATGATCCCGTCCGTAACCAGCCAGGACCGACGCCTTCCGGCGTCTCTGCACATCCGCTCCCCAGCGCACCCGCGGATCAAGGAGGCCCAGGATCTTCTCAGGCAGGACCATCGTCTGCTGCCGCGCAGCCAGCCAGCCCGGACAGTCAAAACGACGAGTCTCAGCGGGCATTCCAGAGCCACAACGCCTTTGACGACCTCGCGACCGAAATTTCCTCGCAGGCATCAAGTGATTTCTTCAATTTTCCCACCACGGATCGAATCCTACCCTCCTACCTCCCGAGAAGCATCTGGGACCCCCTGAATGATTGGTCCATGAGTTGTGAGAATGTCCAAAGCAATCTTGAGCGTCTCAACTATGCCATCGAGTGCCTCATCCACGACGGCATCAACTCTCAAAACTATGAGTTCCTGCGCAGCAGAGCCCGACAGCTCAAGATCATGCTCGAAAAGGCCAACGCAACAATTACCGCTCTGAAGGCGAGAGAGGTCAATGAGTTCGAGGGACGGTCTGACAACGAGCTCACGGAAGAGGCGCAGCGACTCAAGAAAGAGAACAAAAGGTTGGAAGAGAAGCTCGAAGATTTCAAACAGATAGCCGCGAAGCGACAAAACGACGAGAGGCTCAAACGGTTCGCTGCAGATGCCCGCGCATCAACTTCGGAGAAGATGAACGAGAAGCTGAAAGAGACTATCAGCAAGCTAGAAAGAGACAAGAAACAGGCCATTGATGACGGCGTGGACAAGGAGATCCGCGAGACGATGTACTACTACGAAGAGCAAAATAAGGAAGTTGAAAAGTTGAAGCGCGAGATCGCGAAGCTGGAGAAGAAGCTTGCCGAGGAGCAGTCGACGAAGAGCGCCGTATTCGATGGTACCGTCGAAACCATCAAGGACCTGCAAGAAGAAATCCGTCAGCTGCGGAGGGCCAACGAAAAGTTGGTAGACAGAGGCAGGACGTTGGCGACCGACATGGAACGGGCTCTGGACGTCACGGCGGGCACATCGGGCACCGACGCACAAAAGTTGGCCCGGATGCGACAGCGCATCACCAACGCTCTACATCTGGAGGTTCCCGACTACCAAGAGATCGAAGATTTCCCACTTGAGGCGGAGTCGGAGCGAGAGCAGGAGTTCGTCGACGCAATGAAGGAGTACGAGAGGCAGTCGAAGAATCTGCGAGACCTCAACGACCGACAAGTTCGCCAGCAAAAGCGAGATTTCGACGACAGACTGGCTAAACGAGACGCTTCTATGAAGCTTCAGCAGTCCAAGTTGAGGGAGATCTTGGCTTCGCAGAGGCAGCGACTCAGGTTGTGCGAGATGGAGTTGGAGGCCGAGAGGATGCAGCTGCAACATGCCAAGAAGAGAATGGTATTGATGGAGAAGCAGCTGCAGGAGCAAGCTCGAACGAACGTGGATTTGATGATTGATCAGGATGAGCAGAACTTGAAGGCCGCCGAAGAGGGGACATCTGGAGAGGAGCCTGGGCGGGAGAAGAAGGATAAGGGGAAGCAGCGTGCAGGCGCACCCGGTGGTCCTGATGGTGATCCCGACGACGACGACGACGACGACGAAGATGATGATGACAACCACGGTGAAGGTTCCAGCGGCGGTGCTCGAGAACCCGGCAAGAAGCAGACAGGAAGCGGCAAGATGTGTGGCTGTCCCTGCCTTGCTGCCTGCGATTCAGCAGGCAGGCCGATAGGTGCTAGACAAGAAGTCATCGACGACCTTGTCAAGTTCTACGCCAAATACAGACGCTGCTGTGGTCGTAAACCCAAAATGAGGAGCGCTGGAAGCCAAACGACCGCCGAAGCCGCCTCCGGAACGGAGACGGCCGAGGTCCCCGAAGACGACGGCCTTCTCCTGGTGCGATTGGCCGGCCTCCTACGCATGGACAGCGACACGAGAGATCGAATCGAGAACCCGCGCCTGAGCTACTTCGCGCGCCTGCTCCTCGCCTTCTGGAGCTGCATACGCATCCACGGAGTCGCGTGGAGGCAGACACTTTACTGGCTGGTCGCCGGGAACCTTTACTCGGCCGTCTATTACCTACCCGGCAGGCGCTGGAGACCGGGCGAACCAACGATTCCGTCGCCCAAGCTCCTGGCGCTGGCGATCAAGGACGCGATCATCTTGTACTGGTTCTACTCCTTGTACCAGGCGCTCATGGCGACGTGGGCCGTGCAGAAGGTCTACGATATGGCCAACGGGTACACGAGGGCGTATTACATCGAGAGGGCTCTGCACCCGGAACGATCCAGGTGGTGGGGTCTCGACGGGATCGATATGAGGCTTACTGGGTTCTCTACGACGGAGCCTCCTGTGCCTGTCACTACAGACGATGGGGCGGCGGGCATCAGGAGGTGATTTTGAGGTTTGGAGGGGAAAGCAAAGGAGTGAAAGTTCGTGCCCGTGGAAGGCGCGGGAGGCGGAGGACGGCAGATGAGAGGGTATCCTTCGGGAGCGTCTTGGCGGGGGATCTGTCAGTAGACGGAGATTCTAGCAGTGAGCAAAGTGATGTGTGGTAGAAGTTTTTCGTCTGATGATGGGGCAAACGATAAACGGTGTTGCGTATGCATGTCCGGGAAGTCTGCAGGGAGCAATTGTTCGGATCGTTCGTTTAGGGTTCCACGGAGTTCAACGGCGTTGGGAACTGTTCTGTAACTTGTTGTAATTGCTTACCACATGGTTGTAAGGACTGGTTCACTGGTTGTACGGATGACTACTGTTTTGGGAAATAGCATGCAAAGAGATTTTGAGAAACATGGCATCATTTACCAGTTGACGATCCGTGTGCCCGCTCTTGACATGGTCTTGACAGGAAACGAGAACGAAAGGACTTTGCGTGAGTGACTGGCCGACAAGTGACCAGTGAGCCAGTGACAAACTGACGATAACCTCCGCTCAGCACTCCGACGCATGATTTGGAATTCGGGGAACGGGGCCCATGTCGTGTCATCCACGTCCAGTTTCCAGTTCCGTCCCGGGACCCTGGGCCACCATGTTATCTGCAAAAGAGAGAAGAAAAGATGGAAAGAAGCCGCACTCTACGGGGCGGAAAAGGGCCTAGCGCCCCGGGGCCCCACTATCCAGAAGATTCCCACTTTCGGTCTAGTCCGGCGTCTGTGCCTCGGCCCCGTACCTGTTCTGTTTTGCACTTTTTGCTTCAAAGTTCTGCAACGGAACGACTCGTCTCCCCGGTTCCCATAAAAAAAGAAGGGAATCGGAGGAAATGTTTCGCGGAAATGCAAGCGCGCCTGGCTTGCTGGCAGCTGGAGAACGTTTTGGATTACCAAGACAAGCAAGTCGAATGAAGAGACTAGGAAGGAGGATCCCGTCACACGGCCCGGCACTTGCTGCACCAGCGGACCAGCACATCGAAATCCATTCGTTCGGGGCCTTGAACGGCTTCTGCGATCCGCCGTCCCCGATTCTACCTCGGCCGCGAGATACCAAGCAGAGTAATATCGAGCTCTTTTGGAATTGGAGCTTGGGATTAGCAAAAGGCACTACTATGCTATTACAGATGGCTGCTGGCGCCTGGCTTACTAACAGCGCGGCAGTTTTAGTTAGTGTAGGGCGCAATGGAAGATGTCACTCTGATGCGGTCCCACCTCACACCACCTGGCCAGTGATGTCATGACTTGGGGGGGCCACGCCCAGCGCCTTTCAGTGGGCTGTGGTGGGAAACAACGTTCTGACTGACAGCAACCTGCAGGAGCATCCGCCGCGGCTGGTCCGGAGACCCAACTGACCACCTATCGAACACCAATTTGACATATTCGCATTCGCATGTCAATCCAAATTGATTGTACAGAGACTTTTCGCAACAACCAGAGGCTGGTCGTCAGTCAACATTAATTATAAGTTGAAATTGAGAGTCTACGGATACAGCAAGACACAACCAGAAAGCGGAACAAAGGTTGGCATACAAAGGGCAAAGCTCGCCGCAACAAGAATAGAGAAGAGTTCTGGTTTGGTCTGGTCCTACCAACTTCCAACAAGTTCATAGGACAGCTGAGAAGAAAAAGCTCGGCCGACCCAAACAAGGCATTCAAATCTCATTTCCCATGCGCCGGTCACCCCATCGGATTCCATGAAACGTCTTCTCCCCGACTCAGCACCATTTCCCGACCACACCCGGACGATCTCTCTCCTGCGCGGAACTCATCCCATTCACCTACCTATCAAACCGTTCCCAAGTCACCTCTTGTGAAGAAAAAAATTGGCAAGCCCAATTTGCTGACGGCATCCCCCACTCCCGCGCCCTCCCACCTCCCCAATTCTAGAACGTCGTCTCCCTCGGACTTGGACCCTTACCGCAAGGTACATTTGAATTTGAAATGGTACGTGCTTTTTTAGCTCGTGAACTTGCCTCATCCCAGCAGCCCGCCGCCCGCCATTACCTCATATATAGGTAGTCGCTCACCCTCCTCACACTGAGCTCACAACTCATAAAGAGCTTCAAGATCTGCTATTTCACACCTCGTCACGCACGTTCGCATTTCTAATCACGTTCCTCATATAGAGACTATCAAGATACCCGGCTATAACAGCCCACGCACGCAATCTCAATCCTTCGCGCATCCATCGCAGAACATTCACAGCAACTCATAACCCACAAGCTCGATCCCAAGCGCAAGAATCAGCAGGAGGGACCTCATCTCACACCAACAACAACACAAACACCAATCCGCAGTCACCAATCCAGGGCCAACACACCCTCGACTCGCCAGAGCAACAACTCAAGGACAACCACACCAGCCCTCTCAAATCCGCCAAAGACCAAATCCACAACCTCACAATGTCTTCAAAACTCATCCCCCAAAACCCGGCAGACGTCATGGTCATCCGCGACCTCACCCCAAACATCACAACCTTCTCCGTCCCCTTCTCCCGCTTCGGCACCCTCAAAATCGGCGGCCGAGCAACCCTAGTCCGCCTCACTTCCGGCTCCCTCGCCGTCTTCAGCCCCGTCGCCCTCACCGACGCCGTGAAAGCCAAAATCGCCGAAAAGGGCGGCAACCTCGCCTACATCATCGCCCCCGACATGGAGCACCACATCTTCATCTCCGAGTACAAGGCCGCCTACCCGCAGGCCAAGATCATCGGCCCCGACGGCCTGCCGCAGAAGCGCGCCAAGCAGACGGGCGACCCCAAGATCAACACCACGGACGAGTTCTTCGTCGTCTTCAAGGACGGCGCCGAGAAGCGCAGCACCACCATCACCCCCGAGTTCGACGCCGACTTCGAGTACGAGTACGTCGACGCCCATGCCAACAAGGAGCTCGTCTTCTACTTCAAGCCCGAGCGCGTCCTCATCCAGGCGGATCTGCTCTTCAACTTGCCCCCAAGGGAGCAGTACTCTAAGGCGCCCGAGGGCGAACGCGACACTTCCTCCGGTTTCGGTAACAAATTGTTTGGCGGCCTGCAGACTACCGAGGGCGACGTCAAGTGGGTGAAGCGCTTCCAGTGGTATGTGATGAGCAGCAAAAACAGGCCGAGCTTCAACGAGAGCATTCAGAGGATCGATGCGTGGGACTTTGATACGCTCATCCCATGCCACGGAGACACCATTCAGGGCGATGGAAAGGAGAGGTTCAGAAAGGTGTTTGAGTGGCACCTGGCTGGTACCAAGAAATAGGGGAGGAATCGGTGTCTTTTCTTTTTGTAATAGGGGCAGGGGTGATGATTTTCATGGTTCGCATGACGGCGCTTGTGTTTACTTTAGCTCGATACCACATTAGAATCTAATATCAAATATGTCCCAAGAACAGTTCATCAAAACAAACTGATGCAAATAGCTTAGAAAAGGATCAAATCACTTTGGACCCCTTACTATTCGTTCGCTCGTCTGTTATAGCCTGTATAGTTTCTGCCTATCTGTGTTTAATCGAATTCATTGACGACGGGATCTCGATGTGTAAGGCATCATGCCTCTAGTTATGAAGGTTCCAAACTTCAAAATACTTGTTCCCATCTTCATCTTCCTTCCCCTGACCTGTCAACCCCAATCATCGCGAGAAACTTCAACATGCCCTCTAGAGTCCAGTTTCTCCCCCGAGTGAACAGCCAGTGACTAACTGGAGTAGCCTTGTGATGTGATAATACTCAAGATGCGTTGCTTCGATTAGTTAGTGGCGGTTTGACAAGAAGAGAGATGGAGTAAAGTACCTCGCTCCTGGCATGGAGTCGTCCTTAGCAAGACGTTTCGGTGGCAATAGCTTCGTGAAATGTTGGGCGATCACGTCGTCCCGCACATTCTCACCCTTGGCCGACAGAGAAATCGTTCCCTGATGGCTACTGGACGCAACGTACTGGGCAGACCAAAAGGCCATCAATTCTGCCAGTGTGTGGTGTCTTGAGATAGCATCCTTCACTTTTCCAGCGGAAGCCTGACGCTTCGGATCAAGGAGCACAACGTAAGCGGCCTCGCTGATGATGCATGACATGGCAGATTCTTCACAAGTCGGGTGCGTGACAACCAAGTCAAGGACACCTTCACCGGTGACACGGGTCTTGTTCTTGAAGGGCTTCAACTCGGCCATCGTTCGCTTCTCAATGGTGAGCATAGCTGTCTTTGCTTCGAATCGATCGGCGAGAATCCAGAGCTCGACGTGCAGAAGAAGATCAGACTTAGGCACTTTCCATTCAGTAGTGCCCTTGTAGAAATAGTCGAGCAGGTGACGCATAAGGTCCGGTCTGACGTCTTCGAACTCGACAACACCGTCCTTGCTCTCCTGTTTCCCATGTCAGATTCTATCGATCAAAAAATGGGAATGACGAGTGTAACCTTGTAGTAATTGTGAAACATGGCCTCAAAGTACTTGGAGTACATGGCGAGTACTACCTTATGGACCCGTATTTTTTCGCCTTGACAGACGATTGTGAAATCCGACAACGTGCCGGTTTCCATCATCCATCGATGATCCTCTTCGGCCATTGTGCGAGCCTTTTTGGTTGGGTTGTCTGAGTAAAGATTGGTCTGGAGCGAGTGGGTGTGGAATATTGGCGTGATGAGAATCAGATTTAGACGTGGAAGCGTCTTGCCGCAGAAGAAAAGGGGAAAAGTGAGGTGGGAACGGTCTATTGTTTTCCATGCGAAGAAGGAAAGTCCAGAGGGCTGAATTTGCCCGGGCTACTGATGAGAAGGCAGGTACGGCGGTTTAAGTGCGTACCTAGGGAAAGGACGTGGGAGAATGGAGGCCAGGTGCTTGCCGTCTGACAAGACGTTACAAACGGGTACTTGATTAAGGATCCAAGTTGAGTACTCTGCATCTGTTTTCATCATGAAGAAGAGCCGAATAATTATGGTTGTCAATACTTCAATGCTTCAAGGTCAGGTTAATCGCGAGCAGCGCAGTTCGTTGACTTACACGATCGCTGACATCTCAAGGACTGACTCACTTGGCGTTGCGGATTGAAAACGCCAACCCTAGATAGGATCTTTGAATTCTTGCAGGAAGCTCTCTGTCTGAGATACAGACAAGTATTTTCTATGCGAGAAGAATGCCGTACACATATATTTATTGCATTGTGACGAGTTCTGGGTTACCCATCGGAAGCTCTACTAGTTCATGCTGCTCTTCCGCGACAAATAGCCACTGTCATCTGATTCAGTTCAAGTCTTGCTGTGTCCTAGCCTTGCGCAAAGCCTAATCTAAGGCTGTTTTGCATGTCATGGTCTTCGGCGCCGGTGTATAGAGGTCGGGGGGTGGAGAGCCCAGTCGGTGCATCTAGACTGATCCACATGCGTCGCACGGCCAGCTGGGCCAATTTGTAGTCCTCCATTAGCTTAAAAGCTGCTTTTATAGGCACCGCCGCGGGCACTACCTTACCAAGGGTACGCCTAGCCGGTCTCGTCGTAGAAGAGTTCGCAGCTCACCCCAACGTCCTTGAGAAGCTATCTCCTGGGTTGGTGGATGTAGCATATCATTCTGATTTGCATACATTTCCATGCTACCCAAGATGGCAGGCATCACGGCCAGTAGCTGCTCTCTCACACTTCGATATTATTCTCTTCGCAATACACAGACAGTAAACAAAGCTAAAAACTGGAAAAAGAGGGAGGTCGATAAAGGGAGGCGTGGCTTTCTTCACTAGATCTCTTTCAACTGCCGCAATGATTTCTGCAACGAAACCGAATCTCTGCAGTAGCCGCCGCCTCAAGACGGACGGTACGACCCTATTGGATCATCTTGCCAGCATTTAGCAAGTGATTCCAACCGACCATTATATACCAGGGCCCTAGAATATGACATGCAAGGCAGCCATGTCTGAGGCTCTGCGCAGCTCACCAGATACATCGACTCGTTCAAGGCCCTTTAGCCCTTTACCTCGTTGTCATTTGATTCTGATGAAAATTCAGAATGGCCGAACTTTGCCCATACTCTCTTTCTCTGCTTTCCATCAAGTAACTTTCACATCACATCCTTCCTGCATGATATTCGATTTTCGGAAGGTAGACGGGATAAGAGGCCTCACCTTCCTCGAAACTTGATATCGCACGTGGAAACATCATCACCCGTCACGCCCAGCAGAGTAAGAAACACAATGTCAGTAAACATCCGGATCTTATTCTCCAACACGCTCATGCAATTACAAAGATTCGAACATCAATCCAACCGCCCACGCACCACAGTATGCAACGTCAGACCCAAAGCTCAAACGACAATGCGTAAGATAATCTCCCTCACGTCATGGCCCCCTATTCCTACCCTTCATCGTCGTCGCCTCACGTTCCTCACGTTCACGCGATACACAAGCATCTTTTGCATGGGAACAACTTCTTTCGAATTGTTCCGGCCAACCGCTCGCCTGTATCTCTCCTTCTCTCCTTAGATCCTCGCCCTTCATCCTTTCTCTCCCGAGTCCTATCCTACTCCCGTGGCAAGCCCTTCCACATCCAAGCCTTTGCATGCGGACAAGCTGCTTACCCAGTCGAACAAGAATCCCCATCCAAGTAGAAACAACAATGCAAAATAGAACCACGTATCGATGGCGAAGCAGGATTGCCTTCACCCCTTCTACATGAAACATCACCCCCGACACCGTCGGCCCCGGAGATTGGCGCCCATCAGGCAGACCGCAACCCTCTCCATCGCCGAAAGGCTGCCACGGATACGGCTGAAAAAGAATTTCTTGAGTAAAATCACTCTGGTATCGATCTTTAAAACATGTTTTCCCTCGGCAGACGGATGAGAAACAGCTCACTCGTGGAGTAAAATCAAGGGATTTCGGATCTCCTGTTGCTCTTCCAAAAATCGATGGCTTCGACAACGTCCTCTCCCTTCTCGTCTTCATACGCAAAGATGATCTGTAATTTGTCAGTGAGGTGCGTGATAAGCGGGAGATAGGAAGCAAGCATTACCTCATGCGTGCTGCTGTGCAGCATCCGAATGTTCTTGTGCGGCACAATATGCACAGCACCATTCTCAATGTTCCTGAGCTCGATGAAGTTCTGCTCGAACGCCAGAATCCACGGGTAGCTAAGAGCGAAGCTTCCCGGTGTACCCTCCCAGTCGATCCGCCATTCAGGTCTCGCGCGCCATCCATTACGATTGACGAAGAACGAGAATTCGGAGTAGTTGAGAAGGAACTCGCCGTTGAGGCGTTCAATGTGAATCGGCTTAACATTCTCCTTCCTTGCAACGAAGTCGAGACTCGTGTCTGCCTGGTCAAGCAATGATTGCGTCTCAAGAGTCTCAAGTGAAACCACCTCAAATCCACGGGCACATGCCACACACAACTTGGACTTGAGGAAGTGTACCGATGATGATTCCGTGGGAATGTAGAACTCCTTGAACGGCTTGAGCTCGTCTTGTCCAGCAAACATCTTGCCGAAGCCCTTTTGCTTCTTGCCCTTCGACATAGCGTCGTTGGGTTCATACACCTTTATTGTAGTCGAGAGAGCTGAGGACTTAACGCAGCACACAAGATGTCTGCCGAGGCAGATGCCTGTCTTGAAGAAGTTGCAGTGACTCTGGATTTTCTTGGGTCGCTTCGAGAGAGCAGGTTCGTTCGGATCCAATGCTCCAAGCGGGTACGAATAAAGCGCCTTATTGGATAGAACCAGAAGGAGGCCATATTCCTCGAGAACATCGAGCTGGGTGACGCTCGTCGTCTCAATGACACGCTTGGGCATCGCATCTCTGCTCTTGCGATCAGAAAGGTAAATGCCGTTGTCCGTGCCATATAGCAACTTGCGGCCACCATCGTACGGCGTAACGCAGTTGACTTGGTTTGTGCCCACAAAGAAGCCTGTGGAGATGACACTTGTGTTGAAGAAGTCGGCACGAGCTCTCAAACGTTGCTGGGCGCTATCAATAAACTCGAGCCACTTCTTACGTGCAGCCTGGTTAGACGCGTAGAGCGTCAGTTCGTACCCGGCTTTACCCAAGTGCCTGAATGTGATCGGCCAGCCTTCACTCTTCTTGTTATCGTTTGTGTTGGCTCGAAGGGCGGGAAGCAAGCTTGACGAAGATCGCTTCATGGCACCGGAGCCTGGAATGACCTCTTCCATTTCACGGATAGCGAGCAGCTCCAAAGGAATCGGCCGCCTGTATGCCTTGATTTCTTCGCCCTTGCCAGCCTGCTTGATTCTCACCAGAAGGACTGCGTGGTCGAACAAGAAAGCAGTGATTTCAGACGCGTCTTGCGGTGTCTTCTTCAACTGACTCTTGAACACCAGCTCTCTGCCTTCCTCCGTCAATCGCAGATCCACCCTCTCGTTTGGCCGGAAGCGCAGTTGCTCATGGAGTCGCCTCAGGTTGAATCTGTTTTCGGCCTTTCCTGACTCGGCGTTGACTCTCGTCAAGAGGTCGCGAATCAACTTGAGCACCTTGGGGATGTCTTCCTTGTCAGAGCTACCGTCCTCTGTGTACTTCAGCACGTTCTCCAGCAAAAGTGGGTAACGAGCCAAACGAGTCGTCGGCTTAGTGAGGTAGCCATTGAGTTCCAGCTTGCGTGACTCTTTCCGCCGCTCGATCTCATCAACAAACTTGGCAAAGTAGGGGTTGGCGGATCGTTCATTCTCAAATTCGAACTTGGCCTCCAATTGCTTGGAACCATACCAAATAAATGGCTCGAACTGAGGCACACACTCGAGGAAAATGTCGCCAATAGCTCCAACAACAGGGTTCTTCTGTTGCCGCTCTGTCAACATCTTGGCGAATTTTGCGCTCACAGCATGCAAACTTGGGTGATCGACAATATTGCTGAAAATTGCCTTGACAACCTTCTCCCTCTTGTTAGCAGGAATCGGAGAAGCCTTGGAGCGCAGAGGCAGGATCCAGAAGTCGCGCAGATATTCCAAGTCCTTCACGAAATCTCTCTCGGTGTAGCAGATTTCTGAAATGACCTCCTGTCTCTTCTTCTCCCTGTCGCCGATGCTGTCGGCCACTTCTTTCGGAACGGAGTTGATCCAGAGCTTCTGTTCATCGGTCTGGTCGACATCATCTTCATTCGAAACGTTCTCAGACTCCTTCTTCAGACCAGGCTGGATCTTCAGGTTCAGCCGAGATACCTGCTCCAGTCTGCGAGGGCACGCAATGGAGTAGCAGAGCTGATCTCTTGTACAAGTCGGCGAGTAACACTCGGAAAGGAGCACAAAGACACCATCGACCGCAGGTCTCTCCTCCGTTTCTTCCATCAGAGTTTCTCGGAATTGATACATTTCTGACGTGGAGTCTCGCAAGCGATGTTCGTAGGTGACGTCGTGGAAGAACTTTTGGGCATCCAGAGCTCGTCCCAACAGCAACGCCAAATTCCTGTCTGTCGTCCTAATAATGTACGACAAGACATCCACAGCTTCGGCACCACTGAAGGCGTTCTTATACGTGAGCTCGTTCTTCGTCCGGTCGCCAGTGATGATCTTTTGCCGGAAGCAGTCGGCCACTCGCGATAGCAGTGCGGGATAAACCAGGGGAGGTCGAATTTTGCCAGTTGGAGGTCGTTCGCCGTCAATAGACTTGCTCATAGAAGGTCTATGCGTCAGGGTCGCGTCGCTCTCTGAAGGCGTAATCGTTGGTGCCACCGTAGACGCCATCGACATCGTCCTCTGGTTATTCGGGTCACCGGTTATTGAAGAAGCCATGCTCATCGTTCTGGTCTGAGACCCTGGCGCTGGTGTATAGCCTCCTCCGAAACTTCCATTAGTGGCCGGCAATTCCACGGGCGCCCTTCTATTCGGAATGACCCGACCGCTCATAGTCTGGTGGGAATTCTGGTACTGGTGCATATCGCGGTCCTGCGGGTGATAGCCAGTCATTGACATGGCTCGATCGTCTTGGCGTTCTGGAACGACCCTTCCTTGTGCCGTTGTGCGAGACGAGCTCGGATTGTACGGAGCATGGCGGAAAGCATTGGCCGGGGCCTGGTGGTTCGGCTGTGAGCCGTATCCATTGGAAGGAGGCTGGTACATGTTCGGTCTCGGGGCGGAAGCAAGAGACTGTGAGCGGTATGAATCGTTATTCATAGCTGGCGCCGCGCCTCCTGCTCCTTGGTAAAATCGCTGTGCTGCTGTTCTTGGTGGGCCGTACTGCCCTTGGGACGGCGGCGGCCCCCTTCCATCACGCTGGGGGATGGGCCCGGCAGGTCCTCCGTAAGGGCGGCGAGCCTGTTGCTGCTGCATGTATTGTGCTTGCGGGTTGGGCACTTGATAGCCGCCGGACGCTGAGCGTTGTTGAGCCGGGTAGCCATTCGGCTGCATGGGAGCACCTCTCGGAGAGCCCGGGTCGCGGTCCATGTACTGGCCTGGAGGCACCCTCGGGGGCGGTTGTCGCTGCATAGACGACATGGAAGATGACATTGTCTGCGTCCTTCCTCCCTGCTGTTGTGGCATCATCTGAGGAGGCATCGAAGAAGAGGTCATTGTCTGCGAACGTCCCGGCGGGGGATTGGCGCCGAAAATGTTAGAGTAGGCGGCTTCGCGCTGGTAGTTGGACGAGTGACCCCTCGGGTCGCCGCGGTAGTCGGACATGATGGGTTCGATGGAGGAAACTGGAAGTCGGCGACAATGCCCTTATCAGCTTTTGGTCGTTGGTTGGGTTAAAGGGGAGAGATGGCAAGTGTGCCAAGGTGGAGAAAAATGTGGTACAAGAGGATGGAAAGAGAGGTGTAGTGAGTGGTACTAACAACGTGAGGCCTCAACGGCCGCCGACTATGGCCAAGAGACACAGGACCGCCCAAACCGCTGAGAGGGCACAATTGGCGAAATCAGAAGCAGATGTCGACGCGGCGGTCGTCAGTTTGGCGGAGAGGCGGTGGCCGGCGTGGGGGAGGATTTTTTTTGGTGGTTGCTATCCGTTCCCCCTTCGTTCTAGGTGTTCTGCGTCCCCTTTCCAGGATGGGCCGGGTGACGTTATGGGCCTATGACTTGACACACGGCCCTGACCCGGGCGATTGTCGAAGGGGGGGTGAAGAAGAAAGGAAACAGGGAAGGCGACGAAAAAGAAACCGAGCCGCGGCAGATCTGGCAACTTTTGTTTATGTCGAGACGATGCGAAAAGGAGCGTCGGGTAAGATAAGGCAGCGCAGTTGTGCGTGCGGGCAGGCGATAGCAATGCTAAGTAACTTGTTGCTGGCGGCTAGGAAATGTTGCGGGCAAAAAGTCGAAGGATGGTGGTGGCCGTGGTGGTTCGTGGTGGAGGAGGTGGTGGTAGTAGTGGTGGAAGAGGGTGCTGCTGGGTCGCTGGTCGTCGTTGGTGCTAAGTCATCGGCATTGGGCTAGAACTGGGTCGGGGACTGGAGACTGGGGGTGCTTCCAGGTTGGTTGGGACAGGCGTCGAAAGCTGGGGATAGATTGATAGGACGGCACCAAAACTGGCAGACAGCCAAAGCTTTGTCTGGATACCTTAGGTACGGTGGGTGGTGCATGGAAGATGGACGGGATACCGCTGGGAGGGGACCAACCACCTCTTGTTGGTGTCCAGAGCATTTAGGTACTACGTATTATCTAAGGAGTACTCACTCTCCAGTAAGTATTCGTCGGTGGAGGGCGCCTTACCTTAGTCAGGGTCGGGACGAGTACTTTTTTGGATGCGCCGTTTTCTCCTGCGGGAGGTGCACATGTAAGGTACCTTTTTCACTTTCTTCATCTATCTTACCTTAGGTACGGATGAGGTAGGTAATTCCAGGTTCTGGTGGCCTCCACCTAAGCCTGCCTGCTTGCTTACCTTCGGTTATGCTACCTGACGGCGTATGCCTGTTGGACAGTGATACATCCTGCCTGCGGGTTTCTCTCTTTTCCCTTCTTTTGCTTGGCCAGGAAAGTGCCACAAAAGGTCACGCTTACAAAGGCAACAACTGCTGTGCGATCGACTTGCGCCCATTCCCTTCCATTCGCTGCTGTTGATGCTGCTGCTGCTGCTACCCAGATACACCCGGTATGGTATACATACACACACAGAGAGCAAGAAGCGTGCCTGGTGCACGCCAACAACTTGCGAACGTGCTAGGACAGTAGATCAATCAAACCAGTCAATGTCAAAAGGGACGGCCGACCGCCAAAAGGTGCAATTTGGACGATCCACCGAGACGCCAGCACAGGTGGACTTGGGACTTGGGACTTGGGAGAGACTTGGCCCGATCCACCGTCTCCCTTCCGCCCGTGAATTAGACGCAGCGCCCTGCTTCTCTGCATCCAATATTAAAAGGCGTCGATTCGCCTGGCCTGGGCATTCCTCTAACATGCGGTCTGGCGATGTCAAAATCTAAGAATAACAATGTCTGACTTGTGATAGCGCACTCTTCATTATTCAAGAACCTTTGCTAGAAACAGGGGGGGCTAGACTGGAGACCGTCTTAACGCCGCGTGAGGTGGGCAGCGTGACTGCCGGAAGAAATGGAGCTTCCTCATGCAAGAACCGCACGCCAACAACGAGGCCCCCCGGCCTGTCTCTTGTTTGCAATGCGCCCATGTTTCGAGGTCAGCTTGACTTTTTTTGTGGTCGGCATTCGGAATGGCTTCGAATTAACAACGTCCCTCGAAGCTCTCCTGCCCTCTTTGTCCAACCAGAAGAGACACTTCCCCGCGAGTATTAGAGAGACGCGACGAAAGGTTAATTGTATTCATCGCGCCAAGGCGCATCCCGCCCCTCCCATTTGGCTATGAGTGAAGAACGCAAAATGCGCCAAAAACATGAGATAGAGCTGTGACCTGCAGTCGAAGGGGGTGGAAGTGAAAGTTGGCCAAAAAGCCCAGGGATTCCACCCGCTGCTCGGATGATGCGCCGCGATAAGGCTAAGGTATACATCGATAAGAGGAAATCCAGACCCCGGTCAGGCACAGGCCACCTGGAGAACGTTGCTGCAGACCGCTGCGCCGCACTCGAGCACCATCTCCATTCTTGCCAGCCCCGCCCAGCCACACGCCCACTCCCCAAATGCTACACCAGCCACAACACCGTTGAACTGGGGCTGGTGTGTCGGGCCGGTATGGCGCCGAGTCACGGGTTCCTCAGCCTGTCCACAGTGCAGTCCTGATTGGGCCTCGTCACCGTCACCAAGCTCCAAGGTCCTAGATCCAGGAAGCCAACATCGCGGGATCCTCGACACGCATATCCCTCCCCCCTCCGTCGGCCATCAACACGCATCCCCCGCATCGAGTCCGACCACCGTTTTGCCCACCATGGCTGAAGACTCTGTCCTCGCCCCCAAGTTCGCGCCGTTCATCGGAATGGTAAGCTCTCGCCCCCCGACGTTCTGCTTGCTCAAGTAGCTGTTACTCCAGCAAGCTACGAACAGCTATGGCATGTACCTTCGAGCCTGTGCTGACATGTCTTCAATCTAGGCCGGCATTGCGGCTGCCATGATCTTCGGATGTACGTTGACTCTGCAAGCATAGCTATGCTTTTACCCGACGCGACGATGAATGGACAGTGTACTAAACAGACTCTCCTCGATAGGCATCGGCGCCGCATATGGTACCGCCAAGTCAGGAATCGGTATCGCTGGTGTCGGAACTTTCAGACCCGACCTCATTATGAAGGCATGCCAATCGAATACCACACCCCGGTCGAAAAGCGTCTGCTAACACTGCCGTAGTGTCTGATTCCCGTCGTCATGTCCGGTATCATTGCTGTTTACTCTTTGGTTATCTCGGTCCTCATCGCCCAAGATTTGGTCCCTCCCGGTGCTGGAAGCAACTACAGTTTGTTCAAGTTAGTCGCAACAAGATACACGATTACAACAGACCCCTGTATGCTGACTCGAGAATAGCGGCTTCATGCACCTTGCCTGCGGTCTCTCCGTCGGCTTCACTGGCCTTGCGGCTGGTTACACGATTGGTGTCGTTGGCGACAAGGGCGTGCGCTCGTACATGGAGCAATCACGCATCTTCGTCGGCATGGTCCTGATTCTTATTTTCGGCGAAGTCTTGGGTCTTTACGGGTATGTCACATGGTTATAGATGTGCCAGGTGCATAGATGCTGACCAACGTAGCCTCATTGTCGCCCTTATCCTGAACACCAAGTCCAAGGGCTAAGAAGCTCCCGAGTTTTCCGAGCAATCCAAACGGCGATAAATTACTACAACTTAACACCACCCTTCAACGAAACAAACTGTACATTAAGCCAGGAAACCGCCGGACGTCAGGTTGAAGAAACATCAAAAGAGAAGGTGTATGGGTGGTTTCTGGACCAAACCAGCATATGGCACGGCGTTACAATAGGACCCTCGTGTAGATTTCATGTATGACGGGCTAGAAGATGGTCTCGGGAGCTGTGGAAGGTATGATAGGCATCCGGGTTCAGTATCTTTGAAATTTTTCGAACGCAACTTGATTCCATTGTCTGTGATGAGTGGTACACATGCCAGACCAATCTGTGGTTGGGCCGCGAGTAAGTGTATGGAACTCGGCTATCTAGTATAGACGGAGCAGCAATGTAGCTCGGCATTGTGATGAGGAGGAGACAGAAATCTCTATCATTCCGTTACCCCAAAGGCCATGTGCGGTATCAGCGTCGGCAACTGTCTCTAGCTTACTTCCCCAGCAGGGAAACTCTATGCAACACAAAGCTCTCGAGGTCTAGTACAATCGACTTCGTATCGCAGCCTCAGCTTGATATCATACCGACTCTCAGATAATTTCCCCGGCTAGGATGGTGAGCTTGACAGTAGGCTCGGCGTGTAAAAGGGGAATGTTGTGCAGTAGTGACCGAGAGACTTTTCAAGTATCATCTCCAGTAGAAAGGCTTGCTTTGGTCATCCCTGCGTGCCTTGACGGACCTTCCTATCGAAGGCCCAAAAGTTGCGACAACAACAATAGTGAGTAAGTGTCAATAAACAAACCCCGTTACCAGTGTCATCGGCCGCGCTTCCTCGTCTAGCCAGAGGACACAGACCGCAGCCTTACTTCTCTAGCCATTGTCAACGCCAAGAGCCAATATCAAAACAGGAACAAGCCAGGATAGCAAAAGAGTTCACCCCCCCCCGGTGGCGAACGGGGGCTACATCTCTGGTGCACATGCTGAGACTCGAACACGGGACCTCTTCAAGCCTTCACCGATTAGGCTATTCGTGGACTTCAACCACTCCACCACCCAGCCAGTTTCGACCTGACCCCCCGAGGGGGGCGCCTGCTGGCTGGTGACGGGAATGGATTCGACGGGGTATATGAAGGGCTTGAGGGTCTCTTGCGGTGTATTCTGATGGAGAGGATGGGATGAATATACGCGAGGTACGTAACACGTGACCGTGACATTAGGGGGTATGGGAGTGCCTGGACGATTGGATCGGGTGTATTCCGCGTGATCTTGATCATTCGGTAGGAAAGCGTTGATGTGTGTCCAACACATATGTCGATGAATCATGGTTTTTGTCGGGACCTCGCTTGGTGCTGAAGATACTTTTGAAAGGAACGGATCATGACCCGCTTGCTCGAGCACGTGGACAACCTTGAACCATCTTATTCATACGTTACCGTCAAGTGAATAACCACCGTTGCGTTGTAGGCTTCGATGTATCCTCGTAGGCCTCGTCGACAATCAAGAGGCGCTTACTTGTATTCCACTCGTCGGACTTGCAGAAGCGCCGGGGTCTTGTAAAGCCGACAGATTTGGGAGGGCTCCCTTCTTTCATTCACACCAAGAATTGCCATTGAAGCGGTGGTACCTAGACAGCATCCAAGCGTACTTGAAAGACTTGAGTGTCGATACCTTACAACTTTCCTCCACCTCCTGTCTTGAACCAAGTAGTGTCACCTTCATTGACTTGGACGGCTTCACTATCCCGACGAAGTGGCAATCTTTTCAACTCGGGTTGTGAGTAAATCAGAGATCCAGGTGTCCCTGGCCGGACAATCAGATCATTGCGCGGGATTGAGAGCGAGTTCCAGGAGATTTGACCGCGGGGAATAGAAGCAAGCCAGCTCAAGAGACGTTGTGTTGAGCCACATGTATCTTCCGTACCTAGTATAAACACCATGACGCAAGGCACAAAATCCAACCGTCTTCTCGCAAGAATGGCCTTTTAACAACTCTTAGATAGCGGATCCCCCAAACATGAGCGCTTCATTTGTCCTATAGAAATCAAACTACGCACGTGTGAAATCATCGCGAGGGAAGCGAGACCGAGTGACTGTTCTCGCCTGGTAATCAACGTCAAGAGACATACCATCACAAAAGGGTACCTAGTCATCTGTAGCACGGTTCCAGCCGTAGATGAAATATCTTCTTCAATTTGGTTCCGTATATCCTGAATGTCAGGAATCTAGGCCTAAATGTTCCTCCTGTCCATGCGTAGAAACTCAACAAAGCTAAGGTAGGCAGCTTGTCTTCGGCCTTCCCGAATCCTTCCCTGAATGCATCTGAAAGTCTGGGTTCGATGCCGAAAATTGTTGAAAATCTACCCTACGATGCCCGGACCAAGACCGTAGGCAAGACGAATGTCGTGAAAGAAAGAGAACAAGGCCCGAATGCCTTGGCCGTTACCCAAAACCAAAAAAAAAAAATGCCTGAGTGGAAATCATCTCCTTTCTAGGAGGAATCATCGGCTTCCCTATGCTCTATGCAGAGACGCCGATGGATGAATGATAAGAGAGAGAGCAAAAAACGACAGACTCCTTTTTCCCGATACATGACAAACCCTTCGTTTTTCAGTCATGTCATATGCGCATGACGATCGTGATCACGTCGAGTGGTCTACCAAAGACGTCCTGCAAGCCGGCGGGTCAGCTTCTTGCGCTGCGCTGGTGGAGGCTGGCGCAGGTTTCTCCAACTACTACGATCGCGGTCCTCCCAAGTTTGCATTTGCGCTGCCGGAATGTTAGCAAACTATATCTACATTCTGAAAGAAACAGATAGATAAAAGACCAAGACTTACCGAGAAAGCGGTTCCAACGGCGATCCTCGTCCCAGAGAATATCCTCACCAGACTCGCGTGCAAGTCTCTCCCTGCGAGCACTTGCAGCGGCCTCCTCGCCGACCAAGTAAGGGTCTTCGAGCGGTCGGAAGTCTCGAGCTCGCTGGGCCGCCTCCTCCTCAGCCATTCGCTCAGACATGAAGCGACGGAGGTGGGCAACGGGATCGGCACCTTGGTTCATGCGTCTTCGGGCGACGTTGTTCAGCGTCGGATTCGTGTGCACCGTTGACCACGTCGGAATGCGGAACTGATCGAGTCGTGGGGCTGCGCTGGGCGGCGCCGGAGGAATCGGGGGTAGGCCGGTGGTTCGGTGGGGCTGGGGCGTCGAGTTCCCGGAACGGCTCGGGGCCGGGACAGCAGGGAGCAGGGACGTTGGGTGTTGAGTGGAGCCAGTGGCCGTGCGATTCACATTGTTGTTGTTGGCGGGCGGGGAGTAAGGAGGAATAGGCTCGGGATGCGGAGCGATCGAGTGGTAAGAGGGCGCGTCTGAGACTATTATTTGGTGTTAGCTCGACCACTTCCATTTCGAGGTATACTGCGACATGTCTTTGTCGGTGAAGCTCGAGCATGTCAGGCGCCAGCACGGCGTCCCGTGCGAAGGCAAAGAAGCCCTCCCAGCGTCCCACATAAGGCTCGCTCGTGACAACAGACAACTCACAATAAGACGGCGCGGCTGAGCGGATCGAGGCTGTTTCGAAATCATCGTGGCTCAGCGCATCATGGTGCGAAGGAAAGAAACGCGGGTGTTCAGCTACGGCAGCGGCCATTTTGTCGCAAGTTTTCTTGGTGAAATAGAGCGTAAAACGGTGGGCAAAACTTCCAGAGTTCAGGAGTAACCGGTCGAAGGTAAAGTGCGGAGAGTGGAAGGATAAATGTTGACCATCTGGTTACGGAGGGAGATCCGGGCCTTTCAAAAATAACTGCGCAAGCGCAACTCGAGGATCAACGTAGCAGGTAGATCAAGCGAAGATCTCTAGCCAGGGTGTATTGCTGTGCGACTCTAACTTGAGCAGAGGAAGATGGCCAGAATCCTGAGCAGGTTGGGAAACGACCGTGTAGGATGTGTATGACGGCTTCCGAGACCCAAGTTCTAAGACAAGTAGGTCAGGGGAGAAGAATAATAAGTCGGTCACGCTCGAAGCGAGAGAGACAAGGTGGACGCCGCCCACGGATAAAGCAGCCCAGCGATGGCTGCAGTCCAGTCCGAGCCGGCGGGAACTGGGATGCCTCTGCCCGAAAGGTGGGTGTCCTTGGTGCGTAGTTTGCGTGATGGAGGGGTGGGTGTGTGGAAGGTTGGAGCTTGGCGCAGCGGTAGCGTAGTGGTGAGCCTCTCGTGCGAATGTATCTTTGTGTATCCGTAGACTGCAGCGGCCTCAAGGGTCGAGAACTACTACCCTGTGCTCCAAATTGGATGAAGGAGGTGGTGCGGGACACGTGAGTAAGGGACTAGAACTATAACAGAAGCCCAGCCGGAAGCAGGGTACAGGACGGCTTCTCTACTGTGCAGTATTGTGGTGTTGAGGCCAGGCAAGGGAAGGCAGGACGATGCAGGTCAGATGTATCGTTTTCCTTTTTGAGATGCAGAGGGAGGGGTGAGGGGTCGAGGCAACAGGAAGGGAACGAGCAGATGAGGATGGATGGCATGCAGGTTGGGTTGGGCGTGGATGGTCCCCTTATACTAGATCAGGATAGGTAGGTACAAAACAAATTCAAGAGGAAATAGGCCCGGCGCGGTGTTTTCTCACATACTTAGATCAGTTGATAGAAGAAGACGATGGGGACTCTCTTACGTCGTGGAGGGGCTGAGGATGAACAACAAGCAGGGCAAAGGAACGGAGAAGACTGGATGGAAACAGCAACGACATCAGCCATGGCCTGAACGAGCTGGAGAGACCGGAGGGAAAGTGGCTCCCCGAGGCGTCGTGTTCCTGGCGCAAACGTGCCGTCGCCCAGCATTGGCTGACGACGATGGGGCATCTGTTAGTTCAGCCAGGAAAGCACCCCATTTGGGATTCTGGGGGCGTGGGCAGAGTGGAGGGATAAATGGATATTGAGCGGCGTATTTGGGGGGGCCATAGCCAGGAATAGGATTCCGATATGGTTCAGGCCGGCACGAGCTGGGCCAAAGTGGGAGGGAACGACAGGTACGGTGCATAAGCCATCATCAGTACAACGCCTCCGGCCTGTCACTGAAGGGAAAAGACCGAGTTTCCGGGATGGCTAGGAGGGAACAGGCATAGAAGCCGTAGACATGGGAATTGATTGTCCCGAGGTCTAGGTGAAGGCATATGCTAGAGATGATAGACGAATGCCCGCTTCAGGAGACTTGAAGGATAGGAATTCTAGAGAGAGGGAATTATTTCCAAGTGGAAACAAGACCATTCTGACAAGTACCGACTAACAGGATTGGAGATTCCCGGCCTGCGGCAGTGATATGGAGTGAATAGTAGTGAGACGTGAGAAGGCGTCAGTAAGCGCGGGGTTACTGACAGACGGTCCACTTGAACCTTCCACTTCCATGTTCGTCTGGTTATTTGACTGCGGGTGGCATGGGCCGGTTTACATTCTGGCGGAAGCAAGCACAGCCCAGTCCAGTTCAGGTCCAGCCCAGCGCCGTCTTTCCCGTTCTCTGAAAGCCTCAAAGCCCGTGGGAAAGTGCTCTAGTCCCATCTCCACCGGTTGCCGACGTCCCCCGAGACCGCCGAGAGGGTTAGCTTTTACCTGCCGTCGTGAGTTGTTCTGTTGTTGTCTTTCTTTGGGGGTTGATAGGTATCTAGCTTTACGCACGGCTGCGTTGGCTGGCAATATGGCTCGTGGGAATAAGACGATCGAAACCTACCACCGTGAGACTGCCACGGTACTTGAGTACGGATGTTTTGTTTCCTTCTTCGCGTTGCGGTTCCTCCCAGCCAGTCGATGGATTGCGAGGTGCTTTTGGAAGTCTTGGCGGGGAAACACCGGTCTGCGGAGAGACTCCAATTTTGTGGAGACAAGTCGACGTGCCTTCCATTTGTATTCCAGAGTACTCGGTACGTACCTTACTCTATTGTTTCTCTGTAATCGACAGGAAGGAGGAGCGATAGCGGGTGCGGTTGCAACTTCGGGTTAATCCACCACGCCAGCCATCTGGGAACAGGACAGGCATCGTCCCTACAATGAGACCATGGCAGCTTCACGATAATGTGAATACCGATTCCAAAGAGAAGAAGAAACGGAGCCAGTAACACCAGTCAACAGCAAACAACTTACAACTTACAGCCAAGACAGAGCGGGAAGAGACCGAAGATGGGGGGCTCTCTACATGGTAATCAAAATCATGCTTCAGGAACCAAACCTTGCCATCCCGCCATCACACCTTGACAGCATTCGAGGATGCGATGAGACGACGGCAGAATGAGGTGCTCCGCGCAGTAGCCAGCTTGCCCAGCCATCGGGACGACACGGATCCCCCGCCGCTACCCCACCAAGGCGCCAACTCGAGCCAAATCCCCGATCTGAAAGGGGCACAAGAAAGAAACCCATTAACGGATTCCGCTATCCAGAGACGGACAACAGGATCCCTCGGACCCCAACGACCAACATCACTCTGTCTCTCCAGCCCCGAACGTGGTTAGGTTACGCAAACCAGCCCGTGTCAACGGCCCAGAACCTGTAGACGGTATTCATGTGTGGGAGGTTGCGAGACAACCAAAACCTCAACATGTTGCTAACTGGGGCTACGTGTAGCCCGCCTATCCACTATGACGACCAGACCACCCGGCAGCCCTACAGCTGTCATTCAAAAACCTGCTTGCGACCTACCTTCTACGAATACTATGTACGAAGTACGGATACATCTCCTTGTACGCGCTTTGTTCACTGACCGTTTCCCTCACTTCTCATCTCGGCTTACCTTGCGGAAATAATGTTCCTTGTTGCCGTCTCGGTCCGTTCCAAGGGTGACGGCCGCACGCTATCTGCTTCGACTCGATCCTGACGACTGGGTAACTATATGATGCTGTCGTGCAGGACCAAGTGAACATTTCGCGGGGAGTATGAAAAGGTTCAGACTTCTTGGGGTCGACCTTGACGACTATGAAGTCCTCCCAGTCGCCGCAATGCAATACCTATGCCTACTTTGTGTACAGGAGACATGTGAAGCTGTACTTTCAAGTCCAAACCGGTCGACGAATCAAAGCCTGGACACTCCACCACCGCCGCCACACCTACACAGTACGGTAAGTGTTTCACTTGATGGTACATCGACAACACCGCCAGATGCAACCCCAATCCAGGTTTCTCAGAGATAGTGGCTTGAACACGGGCCTGGAAGTGTGGCACATGAGCACACGACACAAGACACTCTCACGCGACCACACTTTGATCCTTATCAGAATCACCTTGCAAAGAGAGGCAGAGAAAAAGGGTCTGGAGCCGTCCGGCATGCTAGCTTGTGCATGCACCAACGGAGGGGTTTCTCCAACTGATCGTCGCTTTCCTCTGAATGCCGCAAGAGGGTGTGTGAGGTAAACGGCAATAGCCAAGTTTACCTTCGCCCTGCCCCAAGAGGGGGAAACGAAACCACCAGATCGACGTTGCCGCTGCGCAAGCTGCCAAGAACCATAAACCGCCGGGGCTATCGAACTCAGAAGTCTCTGGGAGGGTGTCGCATTAGCACCGCATTTCAACTACCTACTTCAAGTTTCCATTTTCATTTCCAAATCCAGATTGAGTGGAATTTGCGCGGCCTGCGAAACGATCGTCACAAACAAACGTTCTATCAAACCACCACTGACATTCCCATTAATCTTCAAGCATGGGCATCAGGCAAGAATGGGTCCGGGTCACGATAATGTCAGTATGCTGTCAGCAATCCCATGTCTCTGCGAAAGCAAAGGAACTCGGCACGGGATCGGCCCCGGATCCTCTCAATTCCCATAGAATCGTGGGACCATTACCATAAACTCTAAGGGTTTGTACTAATCTTTGCACAGACTGCCTACACCTCTCCACGTAATATGGCGTTCGCTTGAGTGCTCAAGTCTTGGGTTCGGCCAAGGCATGAGCCACGTACCGTTTATCTTGGCTTTTTCGAACAACTCATCACTTGACAACTGTAAGTTACACTGAGTAGCTTGTCCATTTCAACCATCAGTTGAGTTTAGTCGTCTGATTTCCCGATAAAACTCAAACCCTTCCACTGGGTCGACATCGGATTAAAAGGGGCATCTGCCTAAGCTGGCCTGTTGACGCGAAGGAATTATTGAGGTACTGATCGTAATGGCGGTTCAATTATTGCTCATCGCACCATGGGTGTACTCATCATGCATAAACAGCCGCACCATGGCATTGACCGCGCGTGATTGCTATTCCTTTCCCACCTTCCAAGTCGTTCAGTTAGTGTGACGAAGTTGCCAGGACGACCCAAAGTGCTTGCTTTCCTGGATTCACATCACGATGACTGAGATTTATCTGCGCAAGTTGCTAATTTGAGAGATTGTCGGCCCAAGACATGCAAACATTGCCTTACTAGACGGCGGCAACGGCGGTTACCCCTCCACTTCCAAGTGCCGTCGGTTTCCAGGAATTCTCACGCTAGGAACCTAAGGTATGTCTAGCAGTAGCATCATCTAGTCATCCTTCTTCCCGACCGTGCCACCCTTTCGAAGCCCTCCGACCACAATGATGAGCACCGCAACCGTGGCGGCGAAGATAGTCCAGAATGCCGCGCGGTAACCTTCCATGCGCGCCTCCCGGGCATCGTCGTGAACGACAGCCGAGTGTTCCGTTACGGAGGCCGCGATGGCTGCAGTCACGGCGAGGCCCACCGCGTTGCCGATCTGCCCGATCTCGCTGAAAACGCCGCCGGCGAGGGATTGCACGTCTGCAGGGAAGGCGTCGGAGATGATTAGGTTCGAGACGGTGAAGAGGGCTATTGGAGGTTTTGAGATTAGTATCATGGAGAATTCAAGCATGCCATGGAAAGGGGAGACGGGTCAACACACCGTCAGCATTCACTGGCGAAAGCACCATGGCCCAGAACGGCGCAAACCAGTAATTTCCATCGAGGCTGACTGTGGCCATGAGGATCGGCGCCGCGGCTGTTATGACTGCAGATACGGCGCCCAGAGTCTGGACCTTTATCCGTGAGACGAGCCATGCTGCTGCGATGTTGACGAGAGTGCCCATGACGACGTGAGGCAGAAATCGCAGAGAGCTTTGCAGCGCGGAGATGCCCTGGACTTTTTGGAAACTTTTTGACGATATTAGCATTGGAAAATTTTGGGCTCCACGACACAGCACTGACTATAGCATGATGAAGTATTGAATCGCATTGAGAGAAGCCCAGCATAGAAAGATTGACACCTGGAGATATGTTAGACGTGCCTCACCTCTTTATGCTCGGATGTTCACTTACACAAATCGACGTAAAGGCAGCGTTTCGCCACAGACGGTTGGGAATCAGCGCCGGACTACCCCTTTTAGTCTGAAAGTTCATCCAGACGGGGAACACGACCAGCAAAGCTACTGCCACGGCCAAGAGGGCAATATTAGTAGGATCAGCAATCTTTGTGTACGAAGAAGTAGTCATCGCCAGCACATAGAGCAGCAAACCCAGCGCAACGCTCATGATGACGGCTCCTATCCAATCGATATCCTCCGCCAAGCGACGCGTCCACTTCTTCTCAGACGGCTGGTGAATCGAAGGCAGAGACCAGACCGCCGCGGTTGACAGAGCAAAGTTGATAATGGCCATCATGTAGTACGCCCAACGCCAGCCGATGGTATCGGTGAAGATGCCACCCAGGACCAGGCCGAGGGCGTACCCCAGCGGGAACCCAATCCCATTCATCGAAAACGCAACGTTCCGCCACCCGCCCTTGGGAAAAGTCTTTGTGATGAAGGCCATGGCCGTGGGCAAGCACGCCGAAATAGAGACGCCGACGGCGGTGCGGAAGAGAATAATTTGGATTCCCGTCTGGGACAGACCGACGGCGACGGTGAAGACGACGCAGAGGTAGCTGCCCGTCAGCCACATGAGCTTGGCGCCCACGACGTCGGCGACGGCGCCAAAGATGAGGAGGAGGCAGCCGGCGGCGAGGTTGTAGACGGCGGCGGGCCAGAGGATGAGGCTCTCGTCGAGGCCGACGTCTTGGGCTATGCGCGGGAGGGCGGCGATGAGGATGCCGGAGCCCATTGTGTTAAGGAAGTTTATGCCGGCGAGGGTGACGATTACGGTGATGCTCTTTGCTATGGAAACATTGCGTGATGGGGAACCTTGAGGGGGTTCTGCTTCTGTTGCTGTTGGGACTTCATCATTTGGAAGGGAACTGAGCTTATGCGATAAAGTGCTTTGCTTCGATGTGCTTGCTGGTGACTTCAACGGGAGCATCTCCATTGTCGACGATGGGTTTTTGGGAGCGCCCTGGATGAGGAGAGCCTCTGGCATTGCGTCCTTGAGGGCGATGTTCATGATGAAAGGTAGACGTAGCAATGATTCAATTGAGTTACTTCTGAGCTACGGGAATGAGTGGTTGATCAAAGCTGAAGAATGGAGAGAGGATCGGTTGGCGATTACTTATATTCTAAGCAAGACATGAACTGTGTAAGCAGTAAGATCAGACCAAGGTCCCTTGTGCAGGGGAACAGCTATTTGCATTTGTAATCACGCCATTCATGTACGCAGGTAATGAGATGTTTGAAAAGCTTCCCGAAGCCGAACTTGGCGGTAAAGCCGCAAGTTGGCGCGCAAGCTGTCATCACTATTCCATTTAACGACGAGGATGGACGGTCACCCTGAAGTTGAAGGCATCCGGAGAATCGCAGGTAGACAGGGCACGGGCCAGGTTTCGTTACATAAGCAGCATTAATTGAACATGTGACCTCGCGCCTGGTTCAGCGCGCATCCGATAGATGGCCCACCCCCGCAGGCGCGTCAAGCTCTGGACATTCGTCCTGAGGGTGTTGATCCTTCAAGCAGTGGCCGACTGCGACTTTGCACCAGCTCGACGTCCTCTGGCCATACGATGAGGACGAAGTCATGGCTGCAGATCATAATGGCAGGCCGGCTGCCGCTGCCGCTCCTAACGCACCGCCTCCTTCTACGCTCGCTGCACAATTAGTCGAGAATATTTCGGCTTCGACCAAGTCCACGCGATCCGATGAAAACGCCGAGCTGAAGAAGCTGTTTGCCGTAATCGAGAAGGTCAAAAACAAGCCTGAACTGTTAGAGACTGCCGAGCAGAGGACGGATCACAATCATATGCTCATCTACGTATACGCCCGCGTTGTCCTCGAAGGAATCAAGCTCGACGATCCGTTTGCCGACCGAAACCACATGCGAAACGAGGCGCTCAAGGCCATAAACTTCTTGAAGGTCACAATCGAGGAGACACCGAATGTCTTGAACCATACCACAGATGGGAAACAATTCGTTTTCCGCGGGGAGGAGCCTCTTTGGATTTGGGTCTTCCCAAAGATCCTTCGGTTACTTGGCCACTCTCGCTGCCTTGAGCTGATGGGAGACTTTGAGGGGTTCTTCCAATTTGTGATCCTCGTGGTTATCCGTACGGGATCTATGTGGAAGCTTCTCCCTTCCATGTTACTATACTTGCGCGAGACCAGTAGGGGTGAGTTTCGGACATCAGTTCATTTTCAAGGTCAAACCACTAACTCTCGCAGCTCTTATAAATCACTTGCAAAATATGGCACCAAGTTCAACTGGAAAAGACGCTTCTGTAAACATGACATTGCCTTCGGATGGTACACTGGAGCTCTTGTTAGGAAAGCCTGGCACCCTCTTTGTCCAACAGACCACATATACCGTCCAACATGTCTCTCAGTGCATACATCAAGCAACGACGTTGACCTCGGCCTTGGCGCACCCCTCAATCTTCAAAACTCCGAGTCTCGTGTCAAGACCAACATTGTCTCAGCTGGCCCCGTGGCTGCTTGATTCTTTGCTTTCCCTTCGTGCTGTACAGAACGCATGGCAGGCGATTGTGCCAAGGCCTCGCGCCGACTTGCTCAAAACTGCTCTGAATTTGCTTCCTTATAAGCCACGTCCTGGCAAGAAATCTTTCGACTCAAAGAAGCCATACGCTGTGCTAGCAGTACTCTGCGCTGAGCTCGCAGCACATCCTGAAGAGATACAGGGAACAAATGAGTCGTGTGTGGCAGCGAGGAAGACGGTCTCACTGGCGCTTATCCGGTTGGCGCATGCGTCGCTCGTAGATCGAGAAATCGGCAGACTAGCAGCACCGAAGATTGTCTGTCCTTTGGAGTACGAGATCCCTTCACTCGCGACAATCAGCGATGCCCACGACTTCATAGTAAGTAATAGCCGTGACACCGTTTCGAGCTGCGACTAACATACCTCTAGCTTTCCATTCAAGTTCTGAAGCAAACGTCCGGTTCTATCGCCCCGAAAGCCCTCGACTCTGAAACTCAACCCGCTTCTTTTGTCGACGCCGACTTGCGTCAGGCAGTGGAAGAGCTTGGTTTAGAAAATCGGGCCACTGAGGATGCAGAACCCGCTTCAAAGCGTCTCAAGGTGTCCTCAGAGGCTCCTGAACTCCGAGCGTTGATCAAGCGTATCTACGAAGTCTGCCAAGTGGACGAGGCTGAGGAAACCGGAGGGCTGGAGCATAATTTCCTGTATGTCTCTCTGTCTCATTGCGTTTGATCTGTCAGCTTACACATGCACAGGAACAAGTACAACGACCTCAGCGAAAACAACCAGTGTCGAGCTATCGACCTGGTAGCCCGCCTATGTTGTGCAGTGGACTTGGCAACAGTTGTTGACGGCGCTGCAAGCATAGGGAATCGTAACAGCATGGGATGCACAATCTGCGATGATAAATATAGAGGCTCTCGAAGCCTTGACGTGACAACAGCCGCAGAAAAAAGGGAGGCGCAATCCATCTTTACGAAGCTCATTCATCTACCGAACTTCAAGGAGTCAAAGCGCCCAAGGATTGTCGCGATGATCTCTGCTAGACGTATTATCAACCACGCCGACATTACAGAACTCATTGACCTCGAAACATCTCCCCTGGGCCAATGGTGTTTGCAAAGTTTGCATAGCTCCATCAGAGAGCTCAGAATTGCTTCTGGGTATGTTTAACTTCAAACCAAAATTACTCCCTGGCAAATAACAGCACCTGACTGATGGCAGACGTGCTCTTCCTCTGTTCCTGAGAGACAACAACCTAGAGTCGCTTGACCCAACTCTGATTATTCGCAACCGAAAGAATGCACTTAGTCTGCTCAAAGCTGCTTCCGAGAAAGATGCAGCCATATTCCATGAAAGCGGTATCCTGGCCTGGGGCCAACTTGGACGGTAGGTAGTTCAAGCTACAGCGACTAGGTCTGTTCATATGCAGTATACTAACGGGGTCAGGGTCGTGACTGGAGACGAACTCAATCTTGTTCTACACAAGTTGCTTGAGTACCTCGGTAGTATCAACAGTCTGATTGCATCATGTGCCTTCAACGAGGTAGATCTCTCGTTTTTTGACATAACAGACAAGGGCTAACATGCTCCTAGATTCTCAACCTAGCATCTGCCCTGAACACAACACCGCGTCGTCTGTTTGAACCTTTTTGGAGGAACCTTGCATACTTCGCTGTTAAGGACATGCAGGCTCGGCCGCAAATTTGCCGCGCCATTGCCGACCTATTGCAGATATCCGTCACTGAATTTCTGCTGCTTATCCAGACCCATGCGTTACCTTGGCTGGTATTAATGAAAAAGAAGGAGGTGGTCCAGAAAATCGCCGAAGCGCGAGGAGAAAGGGACATATGGGTCCCTATCCTGGACCCGGCCAATGCTGGCTCAATCATTGCGCTTTTGCTTGTTCAGGATGTTGGCAATATCGAAAAGTTTGTCATGTCTAGGCTCGTTGAGGTGTCCTCTCACCTAGAGACATTTACTTTGGTTGAGCTTGTGCAATCCGAAGTCTGTTCGGTCGCTCTAGAGCTTTTCAAGGCTGCCGGCGAGGCGGATGAAGCACGAAAACCCCGAGTGAGTACATTGCTTTCACCAAAAGCACTTGGTTTGCTGACCCGTGCTAGATAATTGAGGCATTGGCATCCTTCTGTTCAATGATGATGATCGCAAACAAAGAGTCAAAACCAAAGAAGGGAAACACGATTGGGAGATATCTACAATCGTATATTCTTGGTCTCATGGCTCGCCTTGCGGATGTAATCAATGACATGCCACTTGTGTTTCCCCCAGCCGAAGAACAGAGACGCTGCATACGGGCCTTGGAGGAGATGATCAGACATTGCAAAGTCTATGTTCGAATTGCACGCCCACAAGTGAGTAATGATTGGTTTTGAAGACGCTCTTCATACTAAATGTTCTAGATCGCCGCATGTCTTCTGTCATCCCTCGCTCAGGATGATCTCAGAGAAGCCGCTTTTTCTTGCTGGGCGGCTCTGCTTACATGTCTCGAGCCTGAAGACGTCGAGGTCTTGATCGAGACTACATTCTTCGTCATCAGCCACTACTGGCCGCTCTTTAGTGAATCCTCTCGACAAATGGCTAAGACTTTGATCAGGAAGTTGATCACGGAATTCAGTGACAGCCTCAATGACTACATCACCAAGCTACCTTCTTTGGGTCACATCACAGAATTGGCAGATGTCGAAGCGGAGCTCAACGCGGCGCGTCCAGTCCTGGACAGCAGGACGGCATTTGCCCTCTTTGCCGAGCGCACGTCTCACGAGAATTCGGGTGTCGTATTACTGGCACTGACCGAACTTGAGGTCTACCTCAGACAGAGTGGAGGTTTCCTCCAGACTTCAGCCATCAGCCAACAGCCTGACCCGGTCGTACCTATGTTGATACGAGCCTTGCTAGACTGTGCAGCAAAGTATAGTGCTATGCACCAGCTTGAAATTGCCAGTCTTTGTACTCAATGCATTGGTCTGGTGGGCTGCCTCGATTCTAATAGAGTGGAAGCGCCACGAGAGCAGCAGTCGATGGTCATTTTGAGCAACTTTGAGAGTGCAGACGAGACGACAGACTTCGTGTTGTTCATCTTGGGACAGATCCTCGTCAAGGCTTTCTTGTCCACTACAGACACCAAACTCCAAGGTTTCCTTTCCTTCGCCATGCAAGAACTGCTCGACCGGGTAGATATCAAGGCTGCACTGGCTATGAAAGGAACTGGAATGCGGGATGGTGGTGTCATCTACAGAAAATGGCTCACACTATCGGAGAGTGACCGCAATGTCTTGACACCCTTCCTTACCTCCAGATATCTTTTGACACCTATGAACGTGGTTCCGGTCGAGTATCCTATCTTCCGCCCGGGAAAGCCCTACGGAAACTGGATGCGTTCATTTAGCATGGATCTCTTGGGCAAGGGGCAAAATGGGCACGCGGATCTCATCTTCGAACCATTGTGTCGCACTATCAAGGTCAAGGACTTGGCCGTTGCTGAGTTTCTGCTGCCATACCTTGTGCTTCATGTCATTGTTGGTCACCGGAGCACGCGAAAGGATCGTGACAATGTCATTGGAGAGCTCGTTGGCATTCTTCAGCACCAGCCCGCTGAGGACGCGCCTTATTCGGAACGAGAAGATATGAAGCTGTACTGCGAGGTGAGTAAGATTTCTTGAATTGTTGGTTGCGTCACTGACCAAAACCAGGCGGTCTTCAGAGCGCTCGACTACGCGAGTAGATGGCTCCAAGAGAAGGACGCAAGACGCAAGAATGACGATGATCTGCCCGCGATAGGACGTGTTCAGGAATTGCTCAACACCATCCCGCCAGTGCTCATCTCTCAACGTGCGATGGATTGTAGAGAGTACCCGCGAGCGCTCTTCCACCTCGAGCAGCATGCCCAGCAAATAGAGGTTGAGAACAGCGACCCAAGGCAGAAAACTTTACTACTTGAGCAGCTGCAGGATATCTATACCCAGATTGACGAACCTGACGGGCTGGAAGGAATTTCCGCTCATCTGCACGTCTTGGATATCAATCAGCAGATTCTCAGTCACAAGAAGGCAGGTAGATATACTGCAGCTCAGACTTGGTACGAAATCAAGTTGGCAGAAGAGCCTGATAATATTGACGTGCAAATTGATTTGCTCAATTGTCTAAAGCAGTCCGGCCAACACGGTAAGAGAACATGTTACCAAACCACGGGTGGCGCACAAGTGCTAACATAGTCAGATGTTTTGCTCAATTATGTCGAAGGCATGCGAACAGAGCCTTCAACAGAAAACAAGATTGTTCCATACGCAGTTGAAGCAGCATGGGCTACGAGGAGATGGGATACTCTGAACAAGTATACTGCTCGATTCCATGGCAGTCCTCTGGAGGACTTCAACGTCGGCATCGCCAAGCTATTTAACGCTCTACAGAGAAGGGGCGCCGGCAGCGATTCATTCGCCGAAATGTTGCAGAGTATGAGAGAGAAGATCGCCTCCGCCATGACACACGGGGCAACATCATCTTTGCAGGCCTGCCATGACCTACGACTTAGGTGCCATGTCCTTACTGACCTCGAGATCATTGCTGGAACTCAAGCTTCGGAGGGCGACGCACACCAGGAGGTCCTAACGATGCTCAACCGTCGCCTTGAGGTTCTTGGGGCGTACGTGGGCGATAAGCAGTACTTGTTGGGTATTCGCAGAGCAGCCATGGAGCTTTCACGGTATGTGCAGCATTGTTTTCCAGCAAACCTAAGCTAACATTTCATAGGCCCAAGTTTTCCGATCTCGACATATCTTCGCTGTGGCTCTCAAGCGCTCGGTTGGCGAGAAAAGCCAACTCAACTCATCAGTCGTTCAATGCCGTACTACATGCTTCCCAACTTGGCGACGGAGCTGCGGTCATTGAGAATGCTCGGCTTCTGTGGAAAGATGGCCACACGCGCAAGGCCATCCAAGTTTTACAGGGAGCCATTGAATCGAATAACTTCATGACGCAGACCAACAGTTCCTCTTCCATCCGTGGCATGGATGCTCAGCAAAGGCAATTGACGGCCAGAGCTCAATTGATGCTTGCCAAATGGCTAGACGCTGCCGGTCAGACCAACCATCTGACACTGCGTGAGAAATATCAACAGCCCCCTCTCACAGCTAGCGCCTGGGAGAAGGGCCACTACTACCTGGGGCGATACTACAAGAAAGTACTGGAATCCGAGAAGACACTCAAGGCAGACGATCAAACCGACCCCTGCATTCAAGGCGAATACACCAGACTCGTCGTTGAAAATTACCTTCGGTCTCTAAACTACGGCACCAAATATCTCTACCAGACCATGCCGAGAATTCTTACACTGTGGCTTGAGTTCGGAGCGCAGGTTGACAAGGCCCCCGAAGGCAAAGTTTCACTGTCTCGTGAGCTCCATAGGAGGCGGACGGATCAGTTGAACCTCCTTCACCGGTTCCTCGACAAGTCTATAGCCCGACTACCAGCATACATATTCTACACGGCACTTCCACAAGTTGTCGCAAGAATCGCTCATCAAAACAAGGATGTCTATGAACGTCTGACGCATATAGTCATCAAGGTTGTGCAATCCCACCCTCGGCAGGCTCTTTGGAGTCTGTTTGGAATCATGACAACGAGACAAACCTCAGAACGTCGGGTAAGGGGTCAACAGATCTTGCAGGCCTTAAAGGGAGTCACCAAGAAAGTTGACGGGAGCAACTATGAACTCAGGCAGCTCTTGAGGATGGGTGAGAAGCTCGCAGAGCAACTCCTATTGGCTTGTAATAACGGCGATTTCCAAAGTAACAGGACGACTGTTGCGAGCATCACGCGCGATCTAAACTTCAACCACAAGTGCACCCCTTGCCCTCTGGTGGTGCCCATCGAGTCGTGTCTGACGGCTGCCTTGCCGACACTGACTGACAATGTCAAAACCCACAAGGCGTTCTCGCGAGACGTCATTACCATCGACTCCTTCCTGGATGAGGTACTGGTTCTGGGATCTTTGGCCAAGCCGCGTCGACTGACTGCACGCGGAACGGACGGAAAGAGCTACATGCTTATGATTAAACCCAAGGATGATCTACGCACCGACCAGCGTCTGATGGAGTTCAACAGCATGATCAACAGGTCGCTGAAGCGAGATCCTGAGGCTAGCAGACGCCAGTTGTACATCAAAACGTATGCCGTCGTGCCTCTGAACGAGGAATGCGGAATCATCGAATGGGTTGATGGGTTGAAGACACTGCGCGAGATTCTTCTGGATCAGTATAAATCCCGCCAGGTACACCCCGACTACAACCAGATCAAGCGGATGATGGCTGAGGCGGTGACGGGACCGAACAACATCAAGATGTTCACGGAAGGCGTTTTGGGCACGTTCCCGCCCGTGCTGCAGCACTGGTTCGTCCAGCGTTTCCCTCACCCTTCGACTTGGTTCTCTGCGCGGCTCAAATACACCCGGTCCTGCGCCGTCATGTCGATGGTGGGTACAATCCTGGGACTCGGCGACCGACACGGTGAGAACGTGCTGCTGGAACGCGACAATGGCGGCATCTTCCATGTGGACTTCAACTGCCTCTTCGACAAGGGCTTAACGTTTGCGCAGCCAGAGAAGGTGCCGTTCCGCCTCACGCACAACATGGTGGCGGCGATGGGTATCTACGGATACGAGGGTCCCTTCCGGCACTGCAGCGAGCTGACTCTGGGGATTTTGCGGCAGCAGGAGGAGACGCTAATGACTATTCTCGAGGCGTTTATTTACGATCCTACATTAGATCTGCAAAAGGAGAAGAAGACGAGCCGTCGGCAGGACGGAGCGCCCAGGATGCAGCCGCAGCTTGTTGTTGACAGCATCAAGCGCAAAGTTAAGGGGCTAATGGGACAGGACACGATCCCGCTGGGTGTGGAGGGCCAGGTAGAGGAATTGATCAAGCAGGCTGCTGATCCGAGAAACCTGGCGGCCATGTATATCGGATGGTGCCCATTCTTGTGAGTTTGGGTCTTTGGGGAAATGTGTATGAGAGGGTATCATTACGGGCTAGAATTGGCGTCGATGGATGCTCAGAGGCATGACTATGGAGGTTTGGGCGGACATTGGTGTTGGTGGTGGTGCAACGAATGCAGATGATAGCATGTGTGGCGTTTACTGTACCTATTTATTCCACTTTCTTTCAAACATTGTGTTGAGAATAGTCCTAAAATCAATGTCTGTCTACTCTCTCATTCTCTCACTGACGGGGTTATCTATTTGATGTGTTGTTGTTTCTTTTCACAAATGGGACAGTTCGTTTGCATTCCATGCCATCGTCTTATCGGCCACCACGTGTTCGGGCCATGGGAAGCTCTCCAAGCTGGAGAAGTTTAGGGCCGCTGCCTGGCTATGATTAGGTACCCGCACAGGGGCTTAAGTGAATAGACGCACTGAAGTTCAGGAGCTTTGGGCATCTAAAATGGGCCCGGTAGGCAGAAGACGGGAGAAATGGTCACTGCCCACCTCTCAACCAACGTCACTCCCCTGTTCTTTCCCTTCGTCTGGCAACTTGCGGTGCTTCTTCCCAAATCTGTCATTTCCCTCCTCGCCTCCCTCTCATTTCTTCTTCTCCCAGACACCCTCGTTCATTATTTTCCCTCTCTTCTAGAAACCCATTTCCCACATTCAGTCGCTCTACAAATCTATCGCCAAGATGCCTGACTACCGCATTGGTAAGTTTTCAATTTGCTGTGATTTTGACTTTCGGTCTGGCTTGTCTGGAGCTACGGTCGCGTCTGGCGGACAGCCGGTGACGCGTCCAAATTTCGACCTCACGTCATAGGCGACCGAGACTCCCTACCGATCTCAAGCGTCACTTCAAGCTCTCGCAACACCCGCACATATACGCATGCTAATACTCAATCTTCTTTCATTTCAGAGGTGTCACCCAATAACCGCGCTGGATGTACCGATGGCGTGTGTAAGAAGGCTGCGGCCAAGTGCTTGAAGGGTTCCCTTCGCTTCGGCACATGGACCAAGATTATGGATCATGAGTCCTTCAAGTGGAAGCATTGGTATGTTGGCCCCCTTTTCATTCCTCTGGTCACAGTCCACTCCCCCGACCGCTGCACACAACTTTGATGCCAGCCAAATGACAAAACGCTAACATGATCGATTCAAGGGGATGTGTTTCTGGAGAGCAGATGAAGCACGTACAGGACCTTTGTGAAAGGAACGGAAAGTTCGACTTTGACGCCTTCGATGGCTATGATGAGATGGGGTCAGCCTGCATTCCTTCCTAGCTCACTCTCTCTCTCTCTCCACACTAGAATACGCCGCTGATACGCAAGTCTAGCGATCACCCTGATCTTCAGGCCAAGATCCGCAGCGCTATAGAGCAGGGCCACATTGACGCCGAGGACTTCAACGGTGATCCCTGGATGAACAAGCCGGGCCAGCGCGGCATTCGCGGCAAGAAGCCCAAGGACTGGGATGATGGCGAGGAGGAAGATGTTCGTCTCACCACTGTGCATGTGCGGCTTTACATACTGACGCCTGAATATAGGAGGATGAGGCCCCTGCCAAGGGCAAGAAGCGAGGTCGCAAGGCCGCCGACGACGACGAGGAGGAGAAGCCCAAGGCTAAGCGCACCAAGAAGGCAGCCACCAAGGCCGAGGCTGAGGACGAGGAGGAAGAGAAGCCCAAGCCAAAGGCCAAGCGCGGTGCTCGCAAGTCCGCTACCAAGGAGGAGGAATCCGATGATGGGGAGCCGATAGCGGCTCCCAAGCTCAAGCGTGGTCCCGCCAAGAAGGCTGCTGCTGTCAAAAAAGAGGAGTCTGATGCCGAAGAGGCGGAAGAGGCTCCCAAGCCTAAGCGTGGTGCCGCCAAGAAAGCAGCCCCCAAGAAAGCAGCCAAGAAGGTGAAGGCGGAGGAGAGCGAGGAGGAGGTCTCCGCTGCCGAGCCCGAGACCACCGCCAAATCCGAGGAAGAGGAGGAGAAGCCCGCGCCTCAAAAGGCCAAGGCGGCACCCAAGGGTCGCAAGAAGGCTGCTCCTGTTGCTGAGGCGGAGAAGCCCAAGTCGACACGGGCTAGTCGTTCTCGCAAGTGAGTCTCTTGGAGATGCCCGTGATGTCGGGACATGAAGCTGACCTTGCTAGGTGAATTCCGCCCCTGCAAAAGGCCCTCTGACCGATGCTGTTAGGTGACATTGCGAGAATCTGTTCACATACATATGTCGAACTGCTTCTGGGGACCCGATCGCCAGCGGATGTCTTGCTTGTTGTCTTGTCGTTTCAATGTTCGTTCTTACGAGTTCATACCCTACTGATGAGACTAAACTCATATGAACCTCTCCCGCCTGAAGGCGAGGATGCTGTACATCACTTTAATTTGCTTTGTCTTGTGTCATCAAAAGTTGTCGAGGTTTTCGAAGGGCTGAAAGAGGATTTTCATGTTGACGTGGAGAGCACAGGCTCGGGTGAGCGAATAGCCCATTAGTGCGAGATAGGCGCCAGTGAATGAGATGTTATAGTATTGCGATTGTCTTTCGTGTCTAGATGTTCTATGCCTGCTGCTCGACTAGTTCTCTACATGGATTCAAGTAGTTGGAGTTGGCCAGCTCCAGTCAGCGGTGACAACGACGGAGCGATAAGAATTGGGAGGGCTGTCTTCGTGTCTATGGCAGCTATCCTTTCGTGGAGGCAGCATCACCCGCCTGGGATCAATGCCGCCGTTCGAGATACGAGAGGCAAGCTTCGCATCACCGGAGCGTGTTGCAGTACATGTACCTAGGTTAGGACTCTACATGTTCTACGTATTACAGTATAAAAAGACTCGATTCCCTGCCACCTCTCAAGAGACTTGCAAGCAGAGATGATATGCGGCCATTTACGGCTCGGGTATAGGTCGACCACGACACCGAGGAGATGGATCTGGAATGGCGACTGATCAGGGAGTGTATTAGTAAAGGATACACATGCGTTCCACATTCTACTAAATTCAGGTCTCTCAGGTCCTGTCGCCTACTCTTCTCACTATGGTCATTCGCCTCTGAATACTCAACTAAAGGCAACAAGGGATCGACGAAGAGATACTTCTCTTATTCGTCGCTACGTTCCAAGGGCTACGCCTCGAGAAAGGTCAAAGGTATCAGACTACCCTGTTCGAGCGCTTATCTCTAGAGTTTTCGCAGTGTATATCAATCAGCAACACAGCAAAGCCTCGGTGCCTCCGTTCGAGATTCTACACGAGGCGGCAGTGCTGCTCTTAAGTACTCTACGCTATACACCTTGAGAAACGAAAGATGCTCCCCGGAGACTACCCTGCCTCCTCGAATGCGACTAACTGTGATATAAAAGACCTATCAGTTTTCCGATTTGGGTAATGCCAATGCCCTCGAGCCGACGTAGGAAGCCAAATGTATCCCAAGTGAATCAAACTTGGTCTTGAGCTTTTTCCACAGCGGCCGTATGCTTACTCCGTTCTCTAAGCCCAAAGGTCAGTTAGCTTTAGTCACTTCATGACATTTTCCAAGTATGCCTACACGTATCTCATTATCCGCCTGTCGAAGCCTTCTATTCACTTCTGAATACTCAGAAAGAGGCTTACAGAGGTATACGGCGCAGGTCTGGGCGGCGAGGTAACTCTGGAGAGGTTGAGTGAGCTTAGATGAGGTATTGCCTGCTTCTGGGTCATGAGTCTGTGTGATTCTTACGTACGAACACACCGAGAACGCCCAGGGTGCCTTGAGGTGTCAGAGATCTGCCGCCTTAACTGCTGGTGTATTTACAGGGAATAGGGAAATGGTCACAAAGGCCTCAGCTGCTTAGTCTAGTGAAATTTATCACGGGATATACGTCAACTCGGCGTTGAATTGACACTGGATCACTCTTTCTGTCTGCTTGACTTCAGATATCTCGATATACTGCATGTATGGACATAGAAGTAACAGATTGCCTAAGGTCATTATACGACCAAGACCTTGAGAAGGATGGTTGATGGCTGAAGCCCTGACGACATTCCATCTCCAAGCGTCGGGAGGAGACATGAGAAGCCAGCTTCAAGCGTGTTGGTCAGGTGAAAACATAAAGAGCCCTTCTCAACTTCAACCTTAACCAAGCTCGTCTTGTCTCCCTCCAGGCGATGTAGACGGGGGTCTGCGCAAGGCGGGCCAAGTACATTCACGAGAAACGCCAGAGACTATCGAATGTAAGATTTCAGTCACTCAAGCAGCCAAATTTAGGGAATTTTGAGTCATAAGTTCGTTATTTGCTCCTAATACAATCTAAACTCCGCTCTATTTCTCCGCCGCTATGTTGTATTCATAAATCGTTACACATGGTGCTAGGCAGAAAACCCCACATGCTGAGTGGGAAAAAAAGGGAAGTAAAAAGACACACATTTGCCCGCCCGGCAGATCCGGTTTCTCTAATGCAGCACATCCCATCCCGAAAATGATATGTTCTGTAGTCCGAATCCAAATGTAAGGCGTGCCTGTCTCGGGCCCCCCTCAAAGTTGCCGCATGTCGGCTGGGTATTCGATTTGTATGTTCCTTGGTCTCACTTGTGCTGTGTTTATGCAATGCTTAATAACGTCGGGGACGCTGACTGTCGTAGACGACCTCGCGCTCGTAGATTCGCTCATCATCGTACTTGCTGCTTGGTCCGCGGTGGTGATGGTGATGAGAAGACCGGCGGTCCCAGTCATCATGCACCCACTCCCTCTCATATTCGCGGACGCGCTGCTTGCGGAAGCGGCGGATATCGTCAGATACCTGCACCAATTCAAGCACATCATCCTGTATTTGGTGAGTAATCTGACCATACTAACATCAGAGGCAAAAGACTTACGTATTTCAGGTATTGCATAATGTAGAAAAAGTATTCAGTCTCCTCGAAATCATATCCAAGCTGAATAATGGCATCGCGAATGACCAGGTCCTTTGTGATCTCGGTCCACATTTCGTTGCGCTTTGATGGAGGTCCGCGGCGCGGGGCGCGGTCCTTTGTCTTCTCAATTTCGATCTCAGTCTCACGGTCATAAACCTGGAGGCTGAGCCGGTCTCGGGACTCTCGCGGCGAGGGTTCGGCGGGAAGTGGGGCCGGCGCCGAGATGGGAGCGCCGTCCCGTTCGGGAATGAACTGTGCCCGCCTCACACCGTTGTAACGCTGCCAAGTGACCTCGGCAGAGCCACCGCCAACGCCATCCATACGGACACGCTCGGTACCGGGCGGGACATCGACAATGGACCAGTCTTTGGTGGCACCGTTCCAAGCCTCGCCCATCTTGCCGCGTGAGTCGATCTTGGAGGTGATGTACTCGGCTTCCTCATCGACGGGTGTGCGTGCGGCCGCAGAATGAGCTCTACGGCGTGATCCGCTATGGTAATGACGGTCGTCGATGCGGAGACGGTCGGTACTGACGACAAGTTCTCTGCTGTCCTGGAAAGCGGGGGATCTGCGTTCCCTACTAGGAGATCGGTGGCGGCTTTGCGAGCGGTGAATGTCAATGTCGGTCCCTCTGCGGGAGGTGGTGATGTCGATATCCAATTCCCGCTCTTCGGTGCGGGTCTTGGGGCGAGGAGCGGGACGAGGGGGAGGCGGCGGGCTGGGCACGCGGGTAACACCTGGATGCATTAGACCTCGCGGGGGTCTTATTTCCTGCAGTTTGTCCTTGTACTCACCATGATCGATGTCTCTGTAGTGCGTAATGACTTCTCTTTCGATCGTGGGGCCACGAATGACCTGAGGTTGAGGCGGTGGTGGTGGCGGTGAGGGCGAGGGGGAGGGAACCCGCTCTCTTTCCCTCTCACGCTCGACGATGCGCACGCCAACGCGGCTGCGTTCTCTGGCGGGGGGAGGAGGAGAGGGTGAGCGCTGCCTCTCAACGTATCGAGCGCGGATCATCTCCGGAGGAGGGCCGCGGGATGGACTGCGAATCTCTCGCTCGCGCTCGGTGACGCGGACTCGGGAGCGCTCGAGCTCTTGCTCATGATGAACGTGCGGAGGTGTCAAGCTGCGGGCTCTGCGTACAACCCGCTCGCGGTAAACGGGGCTAGGGCTGCGGGCGCGAGGCCGTGATAGCTCTCTTGATTCAACCTCTCTGCGGCTCAGAACAAGAGCTCCGGCTTCGGGAGGACGCTCATCGCGCAGAAAGCGGAGACGGTCACCTTCTCGCTCACGCTCGCGCTCCCTCACACGAACATCAACTTCGTCGAAAGCAACCCGGCTCTCGGCGCGCTGGCGGCGGGGGGCGTCGTAGAAACGCTCCTCAAAGTCGTTGGACCGGTGAGCCATGTTTTGTTGGCGAAACGCAAACGGCTTTTCGGTTTAGGAGAGGTGTGACGGATAGGCGTCCGTGAGTGTTTGTTTGTGAGTTTATCTGAACAGGTGGGATGAATGGCGGGGTAGTAAGCCGGTGTGGTGGTGATTGTGTAGCGCAGGTAATAGCGTGAGCGTTACCAACACTAAAGAAGACGATACACCAAGATCCTGCGCGAACAGAAAAGGCGACGCTGAAAAGAGGATGAACCAAACGTGTCTTGAAGCGCTGGGAATGAGCGATACACGACGGATGGTAGCGGAAGAGATACTTTAATCTGAGGCCGAGCCTAGAGCTGCGCCGGCTGGGGAGGAGGGGGTGAAGAGAAGGGGTGAGTGAGTGAGAAAGAGAGAGAGAGGTGAGAGGGAAAAGAGTCAGAGTAGGAGCAACGTCGTCATACCACAGTAGGAGAGCCGGGTATGTATGTATGTAGGACGTAGGTAGGCAAGTAGGCAAGGTGGTATGTAATTAAGACAGCCGACAGGTGATATAGGGCGGCACCAGCAGGCTGTAATGTGTGTGGTCCTTGGAGGTTCGTGGGGGATCTCACTCAGGCCTTGGTGGATGGGGGACTGGGAGTGGAGGGGGAAAAGAGAGGGACGGGAGAGAGCAATGGAAATGGGAGGGGTTGGCCGGCTCAAGAGATGAAAGCCGTTCTTGCTCACCACAGGCTTATTTCACATAGCGGGAGCGGTCGAGGTCTGTCAAGTTCGAGTCGAGTCCAGTCCCAGCTGTGGGCAAGCGCCGCGCGGTGAACCGCTGTCACTGAGCAGGGGTGTTCCCGACGTTTTGTCTATGTTGCTGCGGGAAGCGGGACGGTAGGGATGCCGTCGCAAAGAGAACGGAGGGTGTCGAGGCCCTGTTGGGACCCGCGTGTGTACACTTTAGTTGAGGGCAATTTGGGCCGAATTTTGGGATTTGAGAGTTTGCGGACGGCAGTATTCTACAGACTACGATATTCGGATGTCAAACTTTGTGTTTGGATTTGCATGTGAGGCGTTAACAATGGGTGCCCTATCGCGAGCCCTTGACGGCTGTCGAGAATGCCCAGTCAAATAAGGTAGAAACGGAAGAAGATGGGGAAAATGGAACAAGGCTCCAGCGATCCGGGAATCAACGATGCAGGCTGCGTTACGTTGGGCTGGGCCAACAAAAAGCAAACGGAAAGATGTCGATAGGTTACGACTTGCAGCTGGAGACGGGCGAAGCATACCTACGGTATCTGTAAGGTAGGGTACGTAGCAGATGGTGATTGATGACGGGCAGCTGGTGGTAAGCCGAAGGAAAGGCATGGAAGATGCAAAGAAAGGCGATCTTGGGACTTGTTCCTTCTTCTCATTCAGTCAAGTCGTCAATCATCCACTTGATTGCATCGGGAGGCATCCACTTGGGCGCTGGCAGTGGCAGTGGTGCAGCTAAGCTGAGGAGTTGCTTCCTGGGCATTCATTGGGCTGACAAGAAGAGGGCAAATGGGCGCCTGGTTTCTCACCGATCTCTGGTGCCCAATGACTGTCTGCCTGCTTGACTTGTGACTTGCAGACTGGTTGCAGGAAGTATACTTTACTAAGGTACTCCGTACAGAGGCATCTTGATATCCCGCATCTCTTCTACAGCTTGAGTGTCCGCCCGAGGAAGGCTTAGGTGTTCTGGACTGGCCGTTGTGGAAGGAGTCAAATTTGTGTACCTAAGGAAAGTATCGATGTGATAAAAATGGCCTTGACTCCTGCCTCGCCCTTCTCCCATAACCGAGGAACCTTGCTTTACTTACCTGAAGATACCCTAAGGTACGGCCGGGCAGGCAAGAAAGAAAGCACGCCAGTCAAGGCCATCACTTCCAGTCCTTGAGGTGTCTCTTTATTGCAGACAGACAGCCTGGTCCGGCTGCTTCCACCAGCGTTCCATCGTGTCTCTCAATGACACCCCAAGTTTAGGATGATGGAGCTCTGTGTCCCTGAAAAGTCCGCCGCCAAAGTACGCATGAAGTTGGCTTGAGAACCCCCAAGACCTGATTTTAGATCATATTGTATCTCTGCTATTGCTTAGGAAGTCCGGTTGAAACAGGGGACGGCGAGAGGTAGGAAAAGCTCCTACGCAGTAATTGTGGAAGGATGGCGGGAAGACGAAGCTAAGACGATGGGAAAGTGGAGCTTGGACTGGTCGTTGTCCAACTTTTCTCGCTCCTTCTTTCCAATCATTCTTTCCCATCCGCTATCCACCAGTCATCGTCACCAGTCACCATGTCACTGTCACAAGCACACTCTGGATTTCCAACAGGCAAGAGGGGACGGGAAAGCTCATGACAACCCCGTCTACACAGTAACTTGACAGCTGCTCGCGTCTTCCCTGCATTTGGCAGTACCGTCCAGCCAGTGTCTCCCCTCCCACCTTCCCTTCGGACCATTCCCCTCCCCCTCCTCTTTCCCCCTCCATCCGCCGTGCCCAGCCCCGTCACATTCGCACCTGCTCTGAAAACTCATCGCCAGAAAAGGCACTGACGCAATCCTGCATCTACCCCGGCCAGTCACTCCTTCCCTTCCACTACTCCGTACTGCAATGCCGCATTTCACCATTCACCTTGCCCTGACCTTTCTGTCGGCTCTGCCCCGCCCTCTGCCCACTTTTGCTTCTCCTTCTTACGCCAAGACATTCCTTGGACACCAGCTGTAAAGACAGAAAGAATCACTTGCAATTCATGCTTGCCGTCCCATGCGATGCCACTTATGGATTCCCGACAACTGCCGGGCCTTCTCCCTAGAACACGTATTCATCCTGTTCTGTGCCAAATGTTCCCAGTTCAACTAGAAACTTTCCATCATCACGTCGCATTCGTTCGTCTTGCAAACTGGGAGCTACCTTCCATTGAGCACAACTAACTTCTCGAGGCTTGATCCCCATCGCAAATGAACATACGGGAACAGCTACCTACTGTCCAATCAAAAATGTGACCGAAGAGGAAGACTTCGGCAACTGAACAGTCCAAGCCATGTGTCGTCAAATAGTTCCCGCCAATTCTCCGCAGTTAGGCTTAGGTTCGGCTCTCACCGACTGAGCCAGGATATCGTTGCTCCAGTCACAGCCTGATCGTCAGGACCGACCCATCACTCACGCCCAAGGACTTTCACAGTCTGACTAGCTGGTAGATACGAATATGCTCGCCCAGTCTTCCACCCAAAGCTCACTCTGAAGGGAAGCCCAGAGAGATCGCCTTTGATTCGCCCGCTTCCTGCCCTCAATACCTCAATTCGGACCCTGGAGACATGCCGGAACAGCCATCCCTGATTGGACCGTCCCGACGTCCCGGAAGACCCTGGAGAGAGACATGCCATCACCCGGGCCGTCCACGCGATGCTCCGATATGGAGTAGCCTCCCATACCATCTTGAGACATGACCTGGTCTTCATACATCACAAATCCCATCTCTGCCTTTTCGGGATGACTTCAGCCTCGAACACCACACACTTCTCCGGTAGCAGGGAGCTTCGTCTTGACTTGGCACCAGTCACTGTTGGAACGTGATACTCTCGTTCCCTCTGAAGCTCTAGTCCCCCGCACGTCGACCACCATGTGCTCGCCATGGTTCGCTGCACCCAAGGGGCCCGAATTGTCGCAGAGATCATATCCACAGCGTGAATATCGTTACGAGTACTGAAGTCCACTCTCTCACTACGTCGAGCTCGACATACTTCAGGTCTTCCGACCTGATACCAATCTCAGCAAGTTCAGATACCTTCTCAATTATTCATGCCCCAGCTTGCGTACCACAAGACATATGGCTAAGTGTTTGGGTACTCCCAGAGTTAAGCAGGGGTCGTTTGGTCGTCTAAGCCGGCAGCAATCATATTGGAAACAGAGAGACGGCTTGCTACAATCGATGCATTCTTGACACGTCCTGACACATTGTCACTAGTCCTGCAGCTGCCCTCAGGTACAGTGCCTTTGACGCGATTCGATAAAATCTTTAATCATTATGGTCGTTCATCACTACGTGGCTTCATTATCCACGGCCTCGTTACTTCTTTGTTGCCGCCTCTTGCGCCTCTCTCCAGCCTCCGATACTTCTTCTCGCTTTATTCTGTCCTGTCGCGTCCATTTCTCTCCAATGGCCCTCGCCAACGAGCTCGTATCTTTCGCCTCCATTGGCTAGTTCTTGTGGTGCCGTCGTATCCACCGCATCTGCCTCGAGTATTTCGGTGCCGTGTTTCTCATTCGGCGTCCCGGGACCCCACGTCAAGTTTCCGAATTCCGTATATGGGCCCACTCCGCCTTCGCCGTACGGTCCCATTTGAGCAACAGCTTCGGCTTCCTTCAGACGAGCTGCCTCCGCGGCCTCGGCTGCCCGTTGCCGCCTTCTCCGCACTAGGAGGATGATGATACCTCCAGCAAGAGCAACAACTCCACAAGAAACGCCGATCCCTATGCCAGCCTTAGCCCCGGTTGATAAGACAACTGGTTTCGCTGTGGCCGTTGATGAAGCTGAAGGTGTTGCTGTTCCCTGGGGCTCCTCTTCGACCGCCTTTGTTGCATTGAAGCTGGGGACCACCACGGCTTGCTTCCAAAGACCATCTTCAGCATGGTATAACTGAACCAGGCTCCCGTTTGACTGGTACCATATCCACGCTTCGCTAGTGTCAAAGTTGCTTGTTGTCGCGAAAGAGCCACTCGCAACATCCGCAGCAGGCCAGAGGCGCGCATCCTGGTCAGGCATGAGCTTCCACTGCCAATCGATGTTCGACATTTGATGCAGCTTCGCGTCGGTGCCCAGGTAGAAGATGCTGCGTACATATGCTTTATCCACCGTTGCGCCTAGCGAAGTCAGGTTGCTCGCGAAAGCCGGCATGGTGAAGTTCGGAGTAAGCGTCGAATCGAGGTGGATATCGGCTGCTTTCGTCGATTCATTTGCGTTCCCCAGGAGTGGGCGAGGCAGCGTAGCTTTGCAATGGTCAGCAAGTGAATCACTCACAACAACAATGGGGGAAACGGACCAAGACGCCACGTCTCGTCCTTGAAAATCCTCGATATTTCGACATTCTCCGAGTCTTTGGGGAAGATAACAGACATGTTGAGCTGTCCCGAGTGTACCGAGGTCAAGGCCATTCCTCCTACGGGGTCCTGCGAAATTGGCCCCTGCAATCGCCAGTCGGTCTTGGTCGTGTACGATAAAACGTTGACCGTCTTTGCTTCATCGTGGAAGAAGACACGATACCCATCATCCGCACCCAGTAGCTCGACGGCCAAGCCAGTCTGATTGTGTATGGACTCGAGTCCGGCCGTTGCGGAGATGACGTACTCGCCCTTGATGGCGTAATGGCCTGTATCGAAGTTGCAGGTGAAGTAGCCGTTCACAATGGAGTTGTCCTCGGCCTGGTAGAATATCGAGGCCTGAAAGGAGAGGTCAGCTGCGACGTTTCACATTGTGAAGCCAGAAGAGACTTACAATCGTCGTCTTCTTCGGCACATCGTACCATCCAGCAGCGGCGATAGAGGTGCCAAGTCTCGGCTTTCTCTGGAGAAGAAAGATGTTGAGCCCATCTGTTGGCAAGATGGGCGTGGAGTTACTATTGCAAGCGGTGTACTGAATGTCGCCCGTCGCAGGGTCTTGCAACGCCAGATGGGGGCTCAGCTCCGTCCACCATGCCGTAAGACACGATACTGGGGAGGACAAGACGAGCAATACCCCCAAGAGAATTCCAAAGGATCTCGCCATTATTGAGAAGAATGCCACATGGAAGCCGGTGAACGCAGACGGCTACGGCGAACGACCGCCAAGACTATCGCTAGGACAAGTCTGAGTTCTTGCTAAACGCGATTCAACTTCGCAAGAGGGACTCGGTAATCTCGATAGGCCGGGACCTAATAGTCGTGGTGAAAAGTCGACACGGGCGGAATAACGGGACGCGAAGGAGTTGGTTGCCCGCTCAGACTCGGGGATCGCTGGGTTTATCACCAGCAGCCCCATGCAGTCTTCCGGCGGGGATGTATTGAACCGGGCTTCCGTGATGCTCAGTTGCATCTCAATCCCAAGTCGGGAAGCTCAACCGCAGCAACCTGACTTGCAGTAGCGTGACCCCCGGAAGAACCTACAAGGCAAAGGGTCCCTTCGTTCTGCCTCCACGGACGACTTGAAAGCTCGTTGGCTCAGAGACATTTTCAGCCCGTTTGTTGATCTACCCATGTCGCTGACACAGCCATCGGTCTGGGAAGTCGCGTGGGGCGTTCGGGGGTAAAGACTGGCTATTGGGCAGGCAGGCAACGCTTATGAAGAAGACATTGACAAATAAGGCCTATGCCGCGATCAAGGGTCTTGAACAAAGATACCAGCCAAGCCTAAAGTGCGATGGTGTCCGCATGGATTTGGCTTTAAGAGTTCGGTTGTGGCGTTGTCGGTAGGGCTTGGTGTGCTTGCAGTTTGCTTGATCCAGAGCCAACAAGATGTCAACGCCCGTATAGGTACAGCTGATCACGACAACGGCGGTTGACGAGATATCCGGAGGGGGCCATGTGCGGCTGCCTAAGCCTGACAACTATGCTGTCAGCACAAACCTTGAAGATGCCCTCTCGCTCATCAATTCGTTCACTGGAAACAACACTTGCTCAAAGGCGACAAAGCTAACCTACAAATCTCCCAGTCTCTCCACGGACACAACACAACATAACCAACCTCCTCGTGAGCCATGAACAAGGAGCCCAGGCCCGAAGACACAGGATATCGCCCAGGGTTGGGGGCCAGAATGGTCTTTTTTTTCTAATGGTCTCTCGCTTCGGTTTACCTCCTTGGAACGAGCTAAAAGCCTGCGCTGCAACCCAGCCCGCAAATCTCTCCTCCGAGTTTAGGGGAAACCACATTAAGATGGGGCCAGAGCCACTCCATACACTACCTACGTCTCGCAGGCGGTGCTTACTGAGCGCCCACCCTTCCTCACCATGCGAACGACCAGGTTCGCCCTAAACCTTGTGGCTCCCATCGTCAACTCTAGTCTCGCGGGCGAGCCTACGACCATGCAGTCGTGCGATATCTCATTCCTTCGGGCTCTGACGGAACTTTGGTTTCTAGTTCGAGGCTGGAAATCGAGACGGGGGAAAATCATTACGCTGAGTCCCGGAGTTGCCCATACGAAAGGCACAGACAAGTTGGCCACATGCCTTCTCACGCCTAGTAATCAACGGCCCCCAATCCGAATCCTTCAGCCGCAGAGAGCCTGATTGTTCACTGGTGCGAGGGGCGAAGTAGAGACAATCTTTGCTTTTTTGCGCTCACCTCCATATCCTCAGCTTTCTCGTCTATTCTGACTGAAAACCGGAAACTCCTCTGACCACTTTGTCAATTTCATGGTCAGAGATGGACCGCTATGCGCTCAGCAGCGGCTGATTGTTGCTCATTGAATAAGGGGCCAGTGAAATCACTTCACGTCACATTAATATCAACCGCCCCTTGTCACTCTTCTTCTGACATCAGCCCAGCGCAGCATTCACTAACTCACCCAGGTAAGCTTATCTATTGAACCACCCGGATTTCAGCCCTTTTCCAAACGGGAAGGATTTCCCCTCGTTCGTTTCCCAAGGGGGGAGAGGTGTGTGTGTGAGAGAGACTGTGAGTTAGGTCCATTGGAGCCTCGGGCCATTGACTCCCGTCGCCATGTGGCCAACGTTAACCCGTAGCCTACAACGGTGTATAATTTGGTTTTCCCCGGCTCCGGGAGATCAAGGGTTCTTTGAGATGACGATTCGGACTGTATCCGGACAAAAGGTAAGCAGATAGATAGGCTATCACGACCCAAGATCGCCCGTGAGCCATCACCTCAACCAATATGCAACGTGATCTAAAGTAGGAAAGACTCAACGGAGAAAACCGCTCTCAGGAATCAGTGAGTGTCTTGATTCTTGAACACTCGCCACCGCAAGGCTTCCAGGTTGCGGGGTCCGAGGGCATGGGCGGGACACATGGGAAATGGGACGAGAAGTGCGGACGAAAAGAGCTCATGGTTCGTCCGAACCGAGCCATATCCGTTCGCCATCCATATCCCGTTTTGTCTATAGACTGATTATCACTTTGTACCTATCTATCCGCACGAAGCATGGAGTACGGTTTTATCTGTACTCGCACGGCACCCACAATCTTTCGGACTGATTCTCCACGCCTCGGACTTGGGATGGGCGGCCGTTGAGAACACACTACACTAGTCAATAGAGTCTGGACACATGTGAGGTTCTAGACCACGGTTCCTAGGGTCGGAGATGTTTCCCCGAAACGGGTTCGATGCTCTTTCGCTTTACCACGGTAGCAAGGTTACAAGGTCGAGAGGGCCTGACAACCGGGTCACTTTGAAGACGGAAAAGTTCAAAATCCCACGCCAGCCAGTCTCACGGGCCATGCAGTGCGGGGAGAGTGAAGCGATATCGTCTAGTCTAATAGAAAATGCATTTCATCAAGTTTCCCTAGGTAATAATCAAAGCCAAACCCCGACGCGCCACATCTCCCCAGCTTGAATCAAGTAGCACCCTTTCCTTTCCCATTGCATTTAAGTTTTTCTCCTCGTATTAAAGTAGCGCTTGTTCGCTTGCACCTTGCCAATTGCCTCTTGCGGCGACTCTCAATCGTCGAGGCCTCTCTTGACGTCCTTTGCCTTGAGGCCGGTGATTGGCTTCTCCGGTGTATGGTGGGAAGGTCTGCCGGACAGCATGTTGACCACATCGCCCATGTGCGCCCAGTGAACGTTCTTGGGCCGACGGTTCTTCCAGTCCGTCTCGTGGTCCTCGAGATCCCAAATGGGCGTAAATGTGACGCTGGCACCCTTGATGCCAATGACAGAGGCGCTCATGGGGTCCCTCTTACACCTGTTATGCGACTTGGGACGGAACTCCTCGAGGTGCTGCATGCACTTGATCGCTAGTCTAACGGCACGACATCTGTCCATGGGCGAAGGAACGCCACCCTGCTGGACGTGTCCGGGGATACTGTCGCGAGATTCGAATCGGCCGCGTGCCTCCTTGCGGATGATGTCTGCGATGAGCTTGGCGTTGAACACATCGTCAGCCTTCTCGTTGATGAGGATCAAGCGTCCAGATGACGACTGGCCCTTATCCTTGGAGAAAATCTCACGGAGATGGCGAACGTCAGCGGCCAGCATCTCGAGGTCCATGCCCTCCTCTGGCGTGTAAACAGCGCTCGCGCCGACGCTGAGACCGGCAAGAGTCGCGATGTATCCAGACTTGCCACCTTGTGTCTCAACAACAAACACACGACGACGCGTGGCGGAAGCGGACTGCTTGATCTTGTCGCAGTACTGCACAAGTTCGTTCAAGCAAGTATCGGAACCAAGAGAATATTCTGATCCAGGAACGTTGTTGGAAATCGTAGCTGGCAGGAGAACCATGGGAATGCACAGAGAGGGGTAGAGCTCTCTGGCCTTGCGCAGTTGCGAAACGGCGTGGTAGGCCTCGAAGCCACCGACGAGGAACAAGCCATCAAACTCGTACTTTTCAATCAGATTGGCAATGAGCTCCATGCCCGACTCTGCGGGAAGTTCTCGGTTGGTACCGATTTCCGATCCTCCCTTGCTGGCCCAGCTGTCAACCTCAAGCCAGTCGAAAGGTCGCACGGCACCGACGGGCTTATCGCCATGATGCCTAGCGAATCCGGCAAAGCCATTGTGAATGGCGACGGGTTCATGGCCGCGCGAAAGACAGTAAGCAACACCAGCGCGCACAGCAGCGTTCATACCACCAGCAGGTGCGCCAACATTGATGAAGCCAATCTTCATTCTCTGCAAAATTTTTAGTTTCCCGTTTTCTCTTGTAATCGAAGCTCAATCGACAAACCTCCTTCTCCGGCAGATGGTGGTCATCCACTCTGACGTTTGTGGTCATCATGTAAGAGCTGAACATCTCGGCAAACTCAGTGTCACGGAGGCCCATTGCCTTTTCGAACTGCTTCTCGTCAACCGCCTTTGCAACCTCCTTGGTATCCTTGACAGCCTGCATCAGTGGCTTGCGGCAGATTTGGTTTTCGTTGATGGCGATGAAGCAGGTCTCGGTCTCGGGGGTGGCCTCCAGAACGGCCTTAACGGCCTCTACACCCTGGAGGGTAGCCAGCATTCTGTCGTAGGCGACGGCCGTACCGCCACGCTGAACGTGACCGAGGGTTGTGATGCGGGTGTCCAGAGCAAGCCCGTTCTTGTCTGCGAGCAGGTCCTTGACCATTTCGGATGTGATCTTCTTGCCGTTGCTGTCGTTGGCGCCCTCCGCAATGATGACGATGGTCTTGCGCTTTCCAAAGCTTCGGTGCTACATCCTATCAGCATCGTCTTGACTACTATTAGTGCTAGGTTTTCCGGCCTTACTCTCTTCACAATATCACACATTTCTTCCTCCCAGTTCTCCTCCCTAGGCTTTTCAGGGATGAAGATAAAGTCGGCACCTGTCGCAACGCCGGCCATGAGAGCCAGCCAGCCGCAATGGCGGCCCATGACCTCGATAACGAAAGCTCTCGAGTGGGACGAGGCCGTGGCTTCAATGTAGTCGACCATTTCGCAGATGCGCTCGAGGGCAGAGTAACATCCAATGGTGGCATCGGTGCCTGACATGTCATTGTCGATGGATCCGACCAAACCAACAATGTTGAGGTGTCTGTAGGGGTCAACCTGCTCCTTTTTGAGCTGGCCGGAGGAGACGAGTTCCTCAATCAAAGAAGGCCATTCGGCGCGGAACTTGTCAGCACCAGTGAGGGAACCGTCACCACCGCAAATAATCAAGGCATCAATTCCGTTGAGAATCATGTTCTTGGCAGCAGTCAAACGACCGGGTCGTTCGTAAAAGGCCATGCAGCGGCGGGTTCCAATCAGAGTACCGCCCTGGCCAAGATAGTTGCGCACATCACCCCATTCCGCCTTTTTGATCTGGTCTCCGCCTACTACCAAGCCTTCGTATCCGTCGTAGATGCAGTAGGGTTCGCATCCCATATGAAGTGCGGTTCGGACTACGGCGCGGACCACGCCGTTCATGCCTGGGGAGTCACCTCCCGAGGTCATGATGGCAATCTTCTTCTTGGCAGCCGTGGGAGCCATGGCTGCGGCGGAGAGTAGCTGTGGTGGTGATGTTCGTAGGTTGTCGAAGCCTCGGAGTCAATGGGGGGAGGGAGGCGGAGGAGGGCGGAGGTGACCGTATTCAGGGTCTAAAGGTCCGTCGGTCGAGATTTGGCGTAGAGGGGATACTCTACGGAGCTGAAGGTAAGATGTTCAAGGGATGATGGTACGAGCTAGCCGGCCGTGTGCGGAACCAGGGAGGGAGAGGGAATAGGAATGTAAGGCAGAGAAGATGGGGGAGGGAGGGAGAGTGAGAGAGGAAAAGATCATGAAGTTCCAGGCGAGACGAGGCAGGCGCCAAGTGCTTGGAAGAAGCTGTGTGGTGGTTGGAGCTTGGACGTGGAACAGGAATAGGTCGAGGGGGGAAGCTGCGAGACACACTTGGCCGGGCTTGGAGGGGGACGCCGCAAAAAAAAAGGCCGTCTGGTGTGCCAGATAATTATAGCGTGGGACACCTCACGCTTCGCAGTGCGCAGAAGACGACCAGACAGGTTTAATGGCGGGGGACCAAGTTCGCCGGAGCCACTTTGAAGCACCCGCACCTCGAAAAAATAGCAGAAAAATTACACGCGGAACGGGGGGTCAGATGCCTTAACCTGGAAAGTTACCTTACCTCACTGGACCTCAGCTCACCAAACGTAGGTTCCCTACCTGGTAATACTTTGAGGTAATCCGCCCATGATTCGACCCCTCCATCCTCCCCCAACAGTGAGCCCGCGCAGTGACGTTGAGTGCCCTCCAAAACAGCCCGCCCAGCTCTTATCGGGTCCTTATCTTGGCGCGGGGGAGCTTCAGGTCAGCCAAGCCCACCTCACAGAAATAAAACAGTCCAAAAGCCGCAGAGGCCGCACAGCATCGTCACAGGAGCAGGGCACCGGTGTCACAGCGAGCCTATGGGAAACCGTTCACGTTGCTGAATCAGGAACGATGCAACGGTCTTACTGGCCAGCCCGGTTACAGTGGACTACCTAGGTATTACTTGGGCACTCGACGTGTTTCTTCAGCTGAGCCTGCTGCGGGTAGTCGATCAGCGATGTGTTGCAGAAGCTTCTCCAACCGCAACCGTCTACATACAATGGTGCTGTCTGTCTACCTAACTCGGGATGGCTGGCTTAATCGCTCATTTGCTGCGACAATAGCAGTGTGTCAAGCTATTTCGCGCTACACCCATTGGTGAGTGAGGGAAATACTGGGAATATTGCAACTGGAGTCTCAATCCGTCGACTGACTGGTGACTGGTCTCCTCCGTGTTTTTTTTTTCTCGCTCTTACTCCGGTCGCCGGTGAGGGGTTTAAACCACCAAGCAAGGTTCACTCGGCCTCTTCCAGCGTCCCATCTCGGGCTTATTCTGGGCTCCTTGCACAAGTCGCACCAAAATCCACCTCAGTTGCCAGGTCCAGACTTGCACCAACTTACCAATGGTTCCTTTTCAATTGCCCCTCCATCGAGCTCCAGTGCGGGGCTGGCCGACGGCCGGTGCAAGGACTCAGGTCGATGAGAATGTCAGGCAATCCACGAGGTGGGTGCTGGTTTGTCTGCACGCCTCTTTTTATTAAAATCAACTAACACAATACTGCGACGCAGACAAACATACTATGTACTATCGCATGGCATCGTCTAGACATAGCTGGCCCATTTCCCATACGCCCGTTTACTCGTAAGAGCTCTCCATGCTGCTTTATCTAGACTGCGCGCCTGTGCTTCTAGCTCCATGTGAACACCCAAACTACATTCATTACTCTCGTCAGTTGGTCCATTAGCCAGTGACTCGTTCACAGTGGAGGGCCCGTCTCTCGCAGGGATGCAAGGATTAACCTCCGAAGTCCCGGCGACGGCGACGACGGTGAATCTTCAGATCAACATATCAACTCATAAGTCGTCCGACATCTATACTCATTCAAAGTGGTGCAACCAGACATCACGATATCATCAAGGCGAACTCAAGATATCTCGGCCTCATTATTCAGCACTTCCGCCGAACCTTGCATTTCTACCGTTGCGACCAACGTCACCACTGAATACGTGGTAAGATCATGAGGACTTTGAGCTGTAAATGATCCGGTATCACGCAAGACCAACTTCACTTCATTTTCGTGTTACCGGTACTCACCCATGGACATTGTAAATTGGACGTCATCAGGTGGAGAGTTGCCGGATTGGCATAGCCCGCATTGAGTTAAGCCTCATCGTCGTGCTCGTCGACTCAGAATTGCCGGCCGTCAGTCAGACTGAGTCGACGGTGATCGCACACACTTACACAGCACAAATCATCCTAGAGTCCTTGATGCAGCGTCTCTATTTGACAGCGATATCTGAATTAAGCTTCCAGATCAGTTGGATCACCCCCGAGAAAGCCGAACCACGGTCGCGCAGGAATGCCGAGATGACTTGCTTCCGATCTTCCCGTCGTATACCTACAGACTAGTTACTGTGCAATGAATCTGCCATGACATGCCGAGGCCCCTTTGTCCGATCAATTCTCTCTTAGACTATGGCGATGGCAATGAGTATTCTCATGATTGCTCGCAAGCCTATGCTATGACATCAGGCACCTTGGATCTTGGCGCATCCCACTGAGTGAAATCTGTAGCTGAATCAGGAGACTATGGATTTGTTTTCTTTGAGTGTGATCTAAATTCTAGAGGTGCGGCCGACACGGTTTACTGGCAGTGAGTTGAACTCGGTCATGCTCGGTGAGTTGGTAGCTTCACCGAAAATGCGCACCCTTTGGTCGCTCGGTGGAGCTTGGACCGGCTCGGTGGCTCCAACCAATCCATAGCTCTTGCTCTCATTCAACCACCAGCCTCGCACTACAGCCTTACCACCATTCGCGACGCAAATTCCCTTCCACACCATGCAGCCGCCCTGCGCATTATAGTTTTCTGATTCCACAACTTTCGAATCTCTGGACACACCCATTCAAGATCGACGCGCGACCTCGAACTGCCCGCCATGGCGTCGGGCAGCTCCATGCCCTTCTCTTCCCTCCACCCCGTACCCACGGGCGATCGCAAACCAAAGAGCCTCGGCGAGTTCATTGCCCGCGTACAGGCGGAGCGCGGCTTCCGGAATGTCACCGAAGAAAGTCTAAAAGAGGAAGTCGAGAATAAGAAAAATGGCGTCGGCGAGGTGAAGGAGGAAGACACGACAATGGCCGAGGGAGAGGATGAGGACGAGGAACCACCCGATGCTGGCGCCGCGCGGATGGAAGTGCTGAGGAATATTGAGTTGGTTCTCCCAAAGGAAGCATTGTTTTCCCTGAAAATGTGGCTAATTATGTGCCGCCAGTACCGCGCAAAACGCTGCCCTAATGACTCTCGACTTCATCTCATTACTACTCTCGAAAGAAAGCCCTGCCCAGGCAGGTGTCACTCTCTCTCAGCAATTGCGCGACTGGACCGGCATTGGAACCCTCGGTATCGCGAAGCGCGAAGACAACGAGGAACAGAAGCAAAGGGATGCCGAGAAGGCAAAGGACAACCGCGACGTGTCTCTGGGTTGGGCTTTGCTCGACATCGAAAAGACAAAGGAGTCGGCCGACAAGGCGGCAACCCACTTGAGCAAGGAAGTGGAGCGTGAAGCAAAGTATTGGGGTGAGGTGCTGTCAGTACACCAGGCGGGATGGTCTATGTGCAGGCTGCCCGCGGAAAGACATACCCTCGGCGTCAGATTCGGGTTCTCAGAAGGCAGGTGCCTTCGTCCCCTCCTCGAGTATCGGACAAAGCTGACCGTGCATAGCATCACCTGAATTCAGGAATAGCAGTCTCGCGCCATTGCGACGCGGAGATGACGGCTCGGCGCTTCTTCAGCACGGCCGCGTCGGGTCCGGCTGTCAACGCCTCGCCATCACCGTAAGCAGATCGGGCGAGCCAAGCGGCCGTCTTGCTGTTGGGGCCTCCGTACCCGACTCGGCCTTGCTACCAGATCGCGTCCTCGAAGCCCGCAATACCATCTTTGCACAAGAGCTCTGGCATGAGCTTCATCGTGAAGCACACTCCCTTGCCTCATATGGAGTCCGCGCGGATAACAACTCCATTAACTTTAACCCCAGCTCGGGACCGAGTTTGACGCTGGAGCTTGAAACCCTCGAGGATAGCGCCGCGACCGTCGGCGCATCGCCCGACAACGTCCTTGCCGAAGCAACGCATCTCGGTCTACATATCCTCCTCAGCCATGCTCATCGTCTAAACGAGTTACAACGATTGCGGCCAACGCCCCCTCACCAACGCCGCAACCAAACACAAAACCAGTACCACCTCCTCAGACCCATCATCGCCAAGATCCTCTACGACCGCTCCGTCGAGCAGGTCACTAGTTCCGCCGGCGACCTCACCCGCGTGCTACGACAAGCCGGTGTTGAGGCAGCCTCCTTCACCCTCAACACCCCTCCCTTCCCGACCGCCGAGCTGAAAAACACCTCGGGCGGTGCCTCCAACCGGCCCAACGCCTCCCAAGCACTCACAAATATGCTCACATCCCCGGCAGACTTCCAGATCGAGCTGACCCTGACCCCGACCTCTCGCCTCCAGATCCGCGGCCGCACATTCCTCCTCCCGCTGACAACAACACAATTCCAACTCCAACTTCTTCCCAACGTTGCAGCAGCGACAGCAGGAAGCGAACCGTCAAACGGCGAGCAACCACCCGCGCCGCCGCCAAACACCCTGCAGTCCTCCTACCCTCCCTCCCGCGACCCGTACCCAGACATCGCCTCCGTCCAGCTCTACATCACAAACGCAGCCGCCCACGCACTCACAGACTACGCAATGTCCCTCATCCCCCCGCCGCAGCAGCCGGCCAACCCGTCCACACCCCCCTCGGAACCAACCCCCGCGGAGTGGATCAAGTCCGTCCGCGGGACCGCCATTCGCGACATCGACACGGAGACGCGCGAGATCCGCTTCGATATCCTCAACAGCGGTCCCGACAACCGGCCAACGCTGCAAATTGGCGCCGCCTGGCGCGCGGGAGATAAGCCTCTCCTGCAGCGCTGGTCTTGGGCGTCTGGTGGCGACCCGTCGTTATCGTCGTCGCAGCCCCACGTCAGTGACATCGTTGCCGCTGTCGTCCAGTCCAGGGAGGTGTAGGAGACCACCCTAGTCCGTCTGTGTAGGGAGGAGGTCAGGGCGTGGTTCTTCAACAGCGAAAAGAACGAATGAAGCGAATGAGAAGCGCCTCCTCGTGTTTCGGGATCATCGGGGAGGCTCATTTCTCGACGGAATTATATTGCCTGGTGTTTTTAGTAGTCTAGCCAAGGGGGGTAAATAGCTAAAGGATGCATGGTGGTAACGAGGCCAAGGTAGGGTGGTCTGCTCTGCCCGCTATCATCAATAACAAAAGTCATTTACAACATGCTTGATAATTATCAGGATGCTTCTCTACTTCTGTCAGCCTTGTTACTGGGCTAACCTTCACAATCGATGAGCGATTCCGTGTCGTTGATCAACGGGACCGTTGATACTAGCCTGCCAAGCGGGTGACACCTGATTCCGATTTCCTGCTCTTCATCTTAACAAGTACCCCTTTCACTACTCATATCATAATTGCTCACCTTCTTATATCAAAGTCCTTCCTAGGTATATATGTAGAGGAATAAACTCTGTTTGATAGATATCAATACTAGTGATAATAGCAGTATTAATGCTAGTGATAATAGCAGTGTCAATACTAGGTAGTGATGATAGCGGTGGAACCGCTTGTCGCACATGTCGAACGGAAATCGATTTTGTCACCCACTTGCCTGGATACATTACGCACATATTTGTTGCAGGGTCAAACACAAATCATGATGAGCAATAGTATTGGTAATCCCTGTCGATCTAGCGATCCTTCCTGTTTCCGTGAACGAACTTCGCATGCCGAATGGCAGCTGTATCGTCCTGAGCCTGAGCCTGGCCCTGTACCTGTACCCTGGACGCCTCATGGGATTTGTGACAACAAAAGAAAAGAAAAAGAGGATGAAGTGACAGGGGGAGAAGATATTTCCTTCCCCCCCTTTCCCATCCTCGTCAAATTCCCGTGGTCTTTGGCCGCGAAGCCTATTTTCTGTGCCCATGTCTTCGTCATGGGTATGCTTTCCCCCTTCCCTTGTTCCCTGTTCTCCGTAGTGATGCGGATGCAATAAAATGCCAGTCGTAAGCGATTCATAATACCCTCCCCCAAGACCAATAATTAAAAAAGGCATCCTCCGCCTCGCAGAAAGAACGAAATCTGGTGCAAAAAAGTCACAGAAGAAATTGACTTCCGATCCAGATCGTCAGAGATTGTGTTGTGAACCTCCACAAACGAGACTGGGAACTGGATTTCGAAATCGAATGTAGATCGGTCAAATCCTCTCTCAAAGATTGAAAAGGAAACGCAGTTCAGTCATGCTGAGGCCAGCCAACTTGGCACCCTCACGCTCGTCCAAAGCTGCATCCACCGTTGCCCTTTTCTTCTCCTGAAGCTGGACGATACGATCTTCAACCGTTTGTTGAGTCAGGATTCGGTGCACCTTCACAGGCTTTTGCTGGCCGATGCGGTGAGCTCTATCAACGGCTTGCATCTCAATGTACGGGTTCCAGAAAGGATCCATGATGATGACTTGCGAAGCCGCGACAAGGTTGAGACCAGCGTTTCCGGCACGCAGCGACACCATCATGACCTTCATGCTCGGGTCGTTTGAGAAGGTGAAAGCAGTGTCATCACGCTGCGCCATCGACATCTCTCCTGTGTAGCGGCAATGCTTGATGTTGAGACCTTGCTTTCTGATCGCGACCTGCAAAAGATCCAGCAGCATAGTCCACTGGGAGAAAATGATTGTTTTCTCGCCTGTTTCCTGAATCTTCTTGAGAAGATCCACACAAGCTCTCGTCTTGGATGAAGCAAGCCAATGGTGGCTCAGATACTTCGTGTAGTCCTGCCAGGCACCAGCATTCTTCTTGGCATTCTTTCGAAGCGTTGCCAACTGGCTGCCCTTAATCTTCTTCAGTCTCTTCTTCGACTCCTTACTTGAGGACTTTGCAGCCTTCATTTTGCCCTTTGATTTCCTCTTCTTTCGTTCGGTCGGCTTGGGCTTTGGCGCTGGAGACCCTGACAGCTCGTCCTCATCATCACTAATGTTAGCGTAAGCATCAGGAACGACGAAGCCTTTGAGATCGCCGTTCTTGTCGGCGTCATCTGCATCGGCATCGTCTTGCTCCTCTTCTTCTTCCTCCTCCTCATCATCGCTACTCCAAACGGAGCCGTCAGACTCTTCATCCTCAGAGCTTCCGCTAGCAGCTTCATCAGGCATGTAGACCTTCTTGAATGCTGAAAAGGTGATTATGTTCGTCGGGTCTAACGTGCCTCTGCAGACAGCGCACTTGACCTGGCCTTCGTCTTCGCCATTTCTAATGTTCTCACGCCTAGCGTTGTCAACGTGCTGCTTGAGACAGCCCGCACAGAGTTCGTGCCCACAGGGCAATGGGATAGTCGGGTCGGGCATCATGTCGTAGCAGATTGGGCACTCAAAGCCCTCATTGATGGCGTCGGCACTCTCGAGAGCGCGAGACTTCTCAGTAAGGCGTTGAACAACCGCTATAGATAAAGTTCTGACGCGATTGAGCATATCGTCATCAACTTCAGGCACTGCATCGTCTGCTTCAAGAAGTAAATGCGGGTGGCAGCAAGTCTGACGAAGGCGGAGAAGTAACACCAATACATGAGAATAGTGCTTGCCGAGAGTACCCTTTCGCAGGTACTTGTTGATCTGCACCTGCGACTTGGTCTCTAGATCAGTGTAGAACTTGCGCTCGTCCTCGTCCAACTCTGCGTAAACCACCTCCTCGGTTTTCTCCGGAAGTTGCAAAATGGGCTTGCCATCAATCTGCGAGGTCTTGGTCCGGCGTAAAAGAGTCGCCTTGAGGAGAACTTGCAAGTTTCTCATCGCTTGGGCCTGAGGGTCACCTTTTTTCCCGAAGAGCACTCCAAAGGCGCCGCGGAACTTAGACCAGTCGCTGTATGGCTTGATTCTCAGGAATCTGTAGAGGGAATAGAGCTCGTCGACACCGTTCATCATCGGTGTACCGGATAGGCACCAACGATACTCGCTTTGCAGGTGGGAAGCGGCTCCAGCCGCCTGCGCCTTGTGATTCTTGATCTGTTGGCTTTCGTCCAGAACGATACGATAAAACTTTGAGTAGTCTGGATGGAACAGGGAGACAGAGTTTGCCAAGTTGGGGTCGGTCTTGGTCAACGCAGGACGTCCATCCAAGTCCTTGAGCCAAGCAGCATACTTCTTCCTGTCCGAGACGAGGGTCCCATAGGTGGTCAGGACGACATCGTACTTCATCAACTCTTGGGCTTTCGTCTTTTGAGTGCTGTGATGGATGTATACCGTCAAGGCATGAGGCGGGCCACTTTTGAGCTTCTTCTTGATCTCATCTTCCCACTGTCGAATCAGGGACAGCGGGGCCACAATCAAAGTGGTCTGTCCGGGGGAGTTAGCAGCGTATGAAATTGAATGGAAGCAAACCTACCTTGCATGATGGTTTGGTCGACTTTTGTGACACCATGAGGGACAGAACGGAAATTGTCTTGCCCAGGCCCATGTCATCGGCCAAAATACCTCCCTTGTTGGTGCCCTTCTCTTGGCGCTTCATCCATGTCAACGCAACTCTCTGGTGCGCATAAAGAGGGTATCTCATGGCTTCAGGAGTTCCCTCCCGATCTTCTTCGGGGATATCCATGCCGGCATGCACATTCCGTAGAAGTGCCTCCACTTCCTCTTTGGATCTGCGAGGGTCATTGTTAATGTCCTCCATCAAGGAGACAACGCGAGCATCCAGCGGGTTTCCGGAGCCGTCGGTAAGGTCCATGAAGTTGTAGTTGTTAGCTCTGTTGATCACATCAGAGGTGCTGAGAGAAGATCTGTTGCCGAAAGGATATCCATTCCGATTGGCTAGCTGCCGGTTCATCATCTGGCTAGCCGGCGTGAAGCCAAAGTTCATGTCTTCCTCATCGATGTAAGAACCCGGCATCCGGGGCATGAAATCTCCGCCAGGGGTTGAAGCCATACTCGAAGAAGAGCTCGCGCTGGCATATCCCTGGGGAATGCCAATGCTGGGATTGAGCCCATTGGCATATCCATTGCCATATGCGCCTGGGGGATGACGGACCACAGGAGGAGGATGAGGAGGCCTGGCGTCGTATGAATTGGCCTGAGAGAAATTGCGAGGAGTGCGTACCATTGAGGCCATTCTACGACCTCGTTCCTGTGCCTCCGCCTGCTTTGAGCGCGACATGAACGATGTGTGTACATCATCATCGTCCCTACTAACTTTATTAGTCCTTGCATCAGAAAATGAATAGTAATTTGCCGCCCAGACCTAAGCCCGACCCAGCAGTGGAATATATTTTGTACTTACCCAGTAAGGTCGATAACATCAGACACATCGTTTGTGCGCTGAGACTTGTTCCGGCCTGAGTTGGCCTGGCCAAGAGACTCATAGGCGGAACCAAAGGCTCTCTTCTTGTTGAACGGACTGATGTGACTTGCCGAACTACCAAGATTTGGCACAGGCGGTTCAGAAGGATTCCAGGAAGCCGAGCCGGCACGAGCAGAACCCGAGTTAGACATGGCGTATGCGTTCTTCGAAGGTTCTTGAGATGCGTTTTGGGACCCGGGAGATGGTCTGTAGGGGACGTTGGCTGGGAAAGTGTCAGTTTCACAGAGGTTTTCATCAGTGTCCCATGTGACCAAGGTACTAGTAAATCAGGTAGGCTGAAATATGCCTAGATCGAAATCATGTTTGATCGTGGATAGGTGTGAGGGGTTGTCTGTGATGGGCGAGACGAGAATGAAAAGATCAATAATAGACAGGTATTCTGAAGGCGGGGGGTTTTGGTTGAGCTTCAGGCCAGTGTAGAGAGTTGGGTGAGGAATGAGAGGAGTGAAATATGAAAAGCCCAGGTTATGACATGACCCTATGGAAGGCGTAGGAGGAAGAGGAAGGCGTCGACTAGGCAGGAGTGAGGCAGGACTGAGTTACTTTGGGAAGGCAGGAGCGGCGCTGAGAATACTGCCTGCCTTATGCCCCCAGATCTCGGACAGACATAGATATGAGAGCCCCACGTTTTCGTTACTTATTCGCAGTTCGATCAAGTGCTTGAAAAAGACAAGGTCTTTCAAGCTACCTTGGAAACCTGAGGCTGTCATTCCCGTCGGCCAACACGCTTGCCATGACCACGAAATGATGGATAGACAGGCCAGACTTCTGGCCGTCCTTCCACCTCTGGCATACTAATCGCTTGTGTACCACGGCTGACTTCTTCACTTGAAGAATCTGGAGCCGAAATCGGGATAATCCGCAAGTGCAAAACTCGGGCAGTTTGAGCAGGCTTCGCAATAACTCGGCAAAATGAAAATATCCACGTACCAACTCCCCAGCGGTCCCTAGCCGCTCTCATGTTTGCGTCTTCTCCGAATGTAGCGTCTCTCGTTGACTGGCGCGCAGAGTTCTTGGCCGCCCGAATCCGCTGTTCCAGTCGTTGCTTCTCGAGTGTCTTGCTATCAATCGTTTTCGCAGCCGAATCGTATTCTCGAAGAGCCTTCTCGTAGTCTCGCGGGTTCCCGTCGGCGAGAGATTCGGCGATGGCTTGTCGAAAGTCTCGTTCACCCTCGAGGTCCAAGAGTTCGTTGGCGAGGTTCCTGAGTGCCTCCTTGTCCCGGGCCTGGGTGGCAGCCGGGTCGTCGTCCATATTTGTTGGTTGCGCAAACGCAGTGTGAGTGTCGGTCGGTCGGTGGGATGCTGGGCAAGACGGCGGTGGCGGGGCGAAGTTTCCCTTTCCTCGCTCAAATGAGGCGAGCTGCAGGTGACGAGGTCAAAAGGTGTGTGGCGCGGTGCTGCAACATCTGCTGGGCGCCGGAGAGGTTTATGTTGTGCTGCAGCAGGCTGTCGGAGATGGGTCGGGAGCCGAAGTGGTAGAAGTACCGTGTGGTGTCTAGAAGAAATCGGTCTCTGTCGGCAGAGTGAAGTGAGTTGTGATGGAAATGGAAAGATCGTTGCCGCAGAGACTGAAAGAGCGATGATTAATTCGGCTCCAAGGACTGTGAGCAAGGACCAAAGGCGTCGTTGCCTTCCCAATCTTTGTTTAACCACTGATTGATCCCTGGTCGATTTGCTGAGCCAGAGCGATGAGGGTAAAGCATGAGGTCTGCAATATTTATCATCTAGGCGCAACGAGATGGTACCTTTAGGCAGAGGCAAGGTAAGGTAGTCTCTCGGTCCTGCTTGCAGTGGTGATTTCCTTATCTTATCGCAGCTTCCTCCAAAGTATTTGATGTCATGTCCGTCACTTGGAATAGCGCGACGCGTTAATTGGAGCGCGCAATGGACATTGAGGCACGGTGGCAGTTGTTGGCTAAATTAACAGTGTACTTTGAGGAACCAACAGGGCAGGTACGTACCGGGTCTGCGGACCCCAAAAAACTTATCGATGCGTTTGCCTCTTGAGGAAAGTACGATGCCGAGTGTTTTCAAGGGTCCAAATTTCTGGCCCACGCATGCATACTCAGGTATGCAATTATTGCACTTTTCCCTTCCACCAATCCTACCATGACTGCCTCGAGAGCCCCATTCCAGTATTTTCGGTGTGTGTTCACCTATTGCATCGCCCTCTGGTGTATTGGTCTAAGTACAATGTCTGGATTCACCGGTCTGAACAGGCAGCCTATCAGTGTGCCCACTAGTTGACCACATGAGTCTATGGTACTTTACTAAAATTGAGACCTGACGTTGAGGCTCTTTAGGCTGACACTCGAGGACTACGAGAGCCTTCCTTAAGGAATGTTCCTCCTCACGTTAAGATAACTTTACACGTGGCTCAAGTAGTCACTGAGACTCCCAAATTATAGCCAATGCCTCTACTCAAGCTCTTCTACTCTTGACCTCACTCAAACATGTCTCGGTGACACGGATACCTGCAATCAGCCCCAGGCTGCAGCCGCCTCCCAGTGCAATTATTTCTTGACTCATTAGGCTCGAAGGAGGCACAGGCTGTTGGTTGGCTCCCCGTTGTTTTACCACGCCGTCACATTGTATCCATCGAATCTCTCACCGCGTAATTTGCTATTCACGAAATTCGCACAATCAGCCTGCATGCCAGCCGAACATGCATTATAGTCCAGAGGCTAAGGCATATATTTTGCCCAAACCCCGCCTTGCAACTTTGCCCAGCCAGGCTTTCAGCATGCACACTTAGCAGCAGGCCTTGATTCTACCATTGGGTATTTGATTATGTTTCGAAAAATGCAGTATGAATTCACTTGCTTTCATGAGAAGAAACTTTACCGCCGCTCCTCAACCAGGTGATCATGATATTGAATGTAAATTGCCGCCCGTGTGCCAGGTATTGTCATAAAGCTGTGGCTTAGATTGTTCTTGCCACCTCACAAAACATACCTTAGCTATCATACTGCCTACACTTCACAACTTGATTTTCAAGCTCAATGGAAGGGAGGAGAAGAAAGTTGCTCGAGATACTCACTCATCAGCGTCTTGTGTCTCGCTCGCTCATTGAAACCACTGTAAATTGGCTCGTTTTCAGCAGCTGGTATAGGACTACTCTTTGCTACAAGCATTTGGGAGTTTCCTCTTGTTATGATACATTTGAAAACTACTAGAGGGACACGAATACTTTCCGCCTGATCTCTTGCATAATTACAGAACGGTCAGTTATTGATTAAAAACGAGAAACCGGCCCAGAAACCTCTAAAGCGTTGATCTATCCGGTCCCTCCCACAAAACACACCATCCCGCCCATTTGTATCCTCTCATTCACACTTAGACAACCACAACCCCATTGTACGACTGGATTGGGCCACCTCACTCTGCTCATCTTCGTCTCGTACGGACCGCCACACACACGCCAGTCTTCTTGGGGAACTTGGCCCCCTCCCTCCCCTTCACCACTTCCCCTTGCTGGCAACGACACCAGCTAGGCCCCGAACGGACGTCTCCCCGAGGATCTCGAAAACGGAGACATCGACTCCCCCGGCGTTGCGGAAAATCTAGTTCCGAACGCCTACAGCAACAAGGGAGTCGACGCCGTACGCGCTGGGCGCCCGCTCCGGATCAATCTCCTCCGGGAGGAGGGACATGGCCTTGGCCATCAACTGCACCAGGCCGGTGCAGATGATGACCGCGGCCTCCTCCGCCCCGGAGCACACGGCGAGCATCTTCTTGACGTCAGCTTCGTCGCTGGAGACGCCGCCATCATCACGATCCTCCTCCGGAGAGTAGATCGGCACGTCGACCATATTCAAATGCGAATAGAGCGCCGTGCGCGACCAAAAGGGGTCGCCGGGGTCGTTTTGGCGAATGAGGCCACCGGTGCCGACGCCCGAGACGATTTGCGGATTCGTCTCGACGCCAGGGGTGACCTCCCCCGTGATGGCCCGTTCCACCATCGTCAGGAAATCCTGGTGCCGGATTCCGTAGAACCCAGCACCGCGGAGCTTCCCCAGAGTCTCCTCGTCCTCCACCAGCATCCCGGCCTGGAGGACCGGACCGAGAGCCAGAGAGACGGCGCGAGGGAGAGCCTGGGCGAGGGCGTCTTGAACGGCGTTGGCCGCCGCGTAGTTGGCTTGACCCCGGTTGCCGATTATCCCCGAGGCACTCGAGAGGAAGAGGAACCAGGGGACGGCAGCCTGGGTCATGTGGCCGGGCTCGGGGTTTCGGCCGAAGACGTCTACGAGGTTGATGGCTCCGACTGCCTTGGGAGCGAAGGCGGTGTGCCAGTCTTCAAAGCTCATCTTCTCGAATAGAGCATCCTGCTTTCTGTTAGTCTATGGCTAAAAACGGGGCAAAGAGGGTGAGAAGACTGACTTGAATGACCGCAGCGCACTGGACAACGCCAGAGATCTTGCCAAGAGTCGGGGCGAGTGTCTTGAGTGCCTGGAGATCTGTGATGTCTACCGCGACTGCTGTGGCTCGGACGCCTGACTTGCTGAGATGATGAAGGAAATCCTGGGCAACCTGATTGCCGCCAGATCTTGACAAGAACACCAGCTTCCTCGCACCTTTGTCGGCAAGTAGCTTCGCTATGCTCCTTCCTAAGCCTCCCAGACCACCAGCGAGAACATAGGTGCCTTTCGGGTCGATGACATCGGCAAGCGGCTTAATTTGCGTCTCTGTGACCACAGAGACGAGGGTATCGCGGTCGGCCGTCATGGTGACAAGTCCGTGGTAAGGGTCTTTGTCGATCTGCTTGAAAGCTCCTTCAAGGTTGGATATGGGGAATCGGTGGACCGGCTGGCACTGGAGGCTCGAGCTCTTGCGCAAGTAGTCAAAGGCAAAGCGATCTACCATGGTGAAGAACTCTTTGATGAGGTCAGGGTCATCCTTCATCATGGTGGCAACGTCGAAACGCATGAACATTATGGAAGTAGCAACAGGACCTCTGACAGGCTGGCCCGTTTTGTAGGAGAGCTGGAAAATGCAGCCGGCTATGTACTATTAGCTTCGCACCAGGTGAGGATACTTGACGACTTACATGACTTGACACATTTGAAATTGACGGCAGTGTGTTCCTGGGTGGGGTTGTAGACGATGTTGACCTTTCCGAATCGGAGAACATCAGCGACGAAAGACTCTCCGTTAGCGTCGAAGATGTGATCCTCTGGAATGGAGTGAGCTTTGACGAGAGTTGCACGCTGGGCCTCAGAGTCGCTTCCCAGGACCGTCGCAAAAACCTCGGCACCGATCAGGGTGGCAATGCGAATTGCAGCTTGACCGTAAGAGCTTGCACCAGCGTGGACCAGCAACGTCTTCTTTTTTGATAGTCTGCCGACGCCCAAGATTGCATAAAACGCAGCAATGAGAGTACTTGGAGTGTACTGGCAGCATTCGAAGGGCGGCGGCGCGGGCTTGACAAAACCCTGGTCGACTCGGTGAACCGTCTTGAAAGCGCCGGGGACAAGGGCCACGACCTGTTCTCCGCAGCGAATGTCCCTCACATCGCAGCCGACTTTGCTGACGATCCCCATAACATCGATACCCAGGATGTCATCATCATTCCGGCCCATGGCGGTGTGGAGATCAGAGAGATGCAAGGCCGCGCTGAGGGTCTGAATTTCGACTTCCTGAGGGCCGAGTTTTGCAGAATACGAGGTCCTGACGAAGTGGAAGTTATCATTCGAAATTCCTGGCTCAGAAATCGTCATATTGTAAATGCCCTTGCTTGTTGAATGGTCAAAGATGGGCTTCTGGACAACCTCGATATGAGAGTCGTTTTCGATCATTCTGTTGAGCTCTTCCTGGGGCTTCAATCTGGGGATGTACAGATCGCCTTCTTCTTCCGCAAACTCCGCCTCCACTGATCCAGCCAGAATTGAAGCAAGGACAGACCACACAGTCTTGGGGAGGGTAGACGAAGTAAGCTCAGTAGCCTCGGCCAAGTCGAGAGTGACAATCGTCTTTTGCGGATCCTCGGACAAGATCGTACGTGCAAGCGCAATGACAGGAGCGTTCTGGGGGATTGTAGGACGTCTATTTGCGCCACGGGTGATCCACAAGAGGCTCTCGGCTGTGTTTTGAAGATTGTGGAAGTCACTGAACTGCTCGGTCGTCCAGTTATATACAAAAGACTCGCACGCTTCGAGAAGCGCGACACAAGTCTTGCCAGCAGGGTCGACATCATGCAAGAGGCCAGCGCTCACTTCGAATCCTTTGTTGAACAAGAGATTGCTAAAAGACTTAACAAAGCTATTGAGAGCTGCGTCGGCTGTGTCGGGCAAGACAAGGACGACTTCGGGTGATGAAACGGGGTCCAACGCGTCGGCAAAGAGATGAACCTCGAAATGCTGGTCCAGCATGTCGCAGCGAATGACATCGTCCGAGTCGGGCTCAAAAGAGACCTGGAGCGAGGCGAACTCATCTGAAAGCTGCTGGAATCCGGACATGGAGTCGGTGGTGGTCGGGGTCATTGGAGGCGACACCTCATTAAGCAAAAGCCCATCGTGCAGCAGGAGCTGACTTGCTTCGATCATATCGATGCTTGAGTTCCTGGCCGCGATGATGAGGTTATAGCGAGCAGAATGTCTCTTGACAGCTTCCCAATCACGGTGCTCCAAGACTTTGACAGCCGGTGATCCCTCAAAGATCTTCTGTGTAACAGACAGCGTAGCGGCATCGGTGATGGTGAAGCGGGACAAAAGAAGTCTGTCGCCGTCCAAGAGCGTCTCCAGAACATGTCTAGCCATCTGATCATCTCCACCGCAATGGAGAACAGATAGAGATGGGTACTTGTGCGCCATCAGCTCTAGCATGTGGGTGAAGTCTGCGTACATCGTCGTGGTGTAGTCCTCTTTCCATACGATACTAGAACAGAGGTTGCGATGATTAGGAATGAAGCCACCATTCTCGATTGAAAGTGCCGACAAGGCAGTGAAGTGCAAGCCTTCAACAACGATGGACGGAGTCTCCCAGTCACTGACATCAGCCACCATCACAATAGAGCCAGTGGCGTCGCGGAGACCGTGTCTCTTGGCCGTGGCGAACCCGGTGAACTCGAAACCGGCGCCATGGGGTGTGTTCGCAGAGACGAAGATGCTTTCAATAGACGAAGGAACCATCGGCTTGCTATCGATGGCGAAGAGAGTCTGAAACATGGCATCCAACGTGGCGGGATGGATGACGTGAGGATACTCAAAGTTTGCTGGCATCTTTGACTTGGTATCGGGAATGCGAACCTTGCTGATACATGAGTTCTGATGAGTTGATATAGACGCGACGTTTTGGAAACAAGGCCCGTAGTTGAGGCCGACGATATCCAGGATCTCGTATAGCTGTCGCGGAGGCATTGTCGTGGTGCATTGACTTTCGATCTTCTTGAACATGGCTTCGTTCCCGGTAGTGAATGACGGAATCCGCCCGGCCTCTTGTCGAATCTTGATGCATCCGTCGGCATGTCGAATCCATGGGCCATTTTCTTGCTTTGAGTAGATGGAAAACTCCCACGCCGGTTCAGACTCAAGGTTGGTAGAGCACTGCTTCAGATTGAGCGAGTACTCGAGACCGTAAGCCGTAGAAGGAATGATCATAGCTCTCTCGATCGTCAGATCGGTCAAGTGAAATCCCAAAACATCCGTCATGCCATGAGAAAGCTGGCTCGCGGCTTCGAGAGCCATGGTGACCATGCCTGCCGCCGGGTACACGATCGTCTTTTGGACTCGATGATCCTGGATCCAAGGGTTCTCAGAGATGCGGAAGAAACCTCGCCAGCGCGGCTCGAAGGTGGTGGCATCTGGAGAAGGAGACCCGATGAGATCTTGACGGCCAAAGTTCCGGAAGCGATGTTCGGTACAAGTGTGTGACTCGTGCCAGAAGGTCCTGGAATGGTTCCAGGGATAGGATGGTAGATCGACAAGCGTCTTGAACGTAGGATTATCAGAGCCCCTAGTACATCATTGTGAGTAAGATAGACAAAGCGTGAAGAAGAGAGTTGCTTACTTGGAAATGACCTGATGCATGTCAACGAGGTAGCCGCGAGCCCAGAGCTCTCCAATCACCTGGAGCATTGTGTTTGCGGAATCCTTTTTGCGCTGCATGAGCGAGAGATACGTCGGCGGGCTGCTAGGGCTGTGCTCGGCCATGATCTCAGAGAGTGCTGATGCCAGCGTCGCGTGGGGACTCAACTCGATCAAGAGATCCGGCCTGTTCTGAGAGTCCATTATAGCCTTGACCGCGGAAACGAATTGCACCGGCGAAACCAGGTTCTCGGCCCAATAGAATTTCCCGAGGAGAGCATGCGAATACGCCCTACCTCTTACGGAAGAAAAGAAAGGGATGTTGCCGGTGGTGTCTTTGGGTCGGATAGACTTGATGCGCTCCAGATAGTCCTCTTGAACCATATTCATCTGCCTCGAGTGGTAGGCGATGTCCACGTCGAGCACCTTGCAAAGAATCCGGTGCGACTTGAGTTCATCTCGCATATGTAGAATATCCTCCAGCTCGCCAGAGATTGTGATCGAGTTTGGACTGTTGATACAAGCAATCTCCAAATCGCCAGGATTCTGCCGACTCCGGAGGTAAGCTTGGGCTTCAGAGCAAGTCATCTTGACGGCACACATGGCGCCCTGAAGAAACGGTGCGTAAGTCTTGAGAAGTGCAGCGCTCTGGCCACGGTGGTATGCCAATGCCCAAGCCGCTTCACAGGTCATGGCATCGCACGCGTACGCAGCTGCGATCTCTCCTGATGAGTGGCCAACGACGCTACTGGGAGTGATATTGCACGACCGCAGCAGGTCGACCAGCGCCACCTGAATTGCCGTTGTTGCCGGCTGCGAAATCTGAGGCTCTTGAATGCGCGACTCCGGCTTGGGTCGCATGATCTCTTCGGTGAGGTGGAAGTGATTATCGATCGTCTTGAGGTACTGGGTCGCCGCATCAAGACTTTGTCGGAAAACTTCAAAACACATAAGCTCGCGTCCCATCTGAGCCCATTGCGAACCCTGGCCACAGAAGACGAAGCCGATCTTGAGCTTCGAATCACGACTAGATCGAAGAAAGCTTGACTCGTCTCTGGCCATCATCTTTGCGATGAGATTAGCAAAAGAACTTGCCACGGCAAACCCTTTCCACTCCATCACCGAGCGGCGACACCCCAGGGTGTATGCATAGTTATCGGCGTCTCTTTGATTAGCATTTGTGAGCTTCTCAATGTGGTCAAGGTGCGTATCCATCAAGCGAGATACGCCCTTACGCTCGTTAGAAGAGAAGACAAAGAGCTGAGGAGTTGAAAAGACTCCCTGGTTCGCATTTTTTCCGTTGTCTTCGTTTGGCTGGCCGTTGTCGACCACAGAATTGTGGTTGGCGGAGATGCCGCGCGAGGCAAAATACGCGGCTGGCTCATCGAGGACGGCATGGGCGTTGGTTCCACCAAAGCCAAAGCAATTGACGCTGATTCTTCGACCACCTTGGATAGGCCACTTGATCAGATCCGTGGGAACCTGCGATACTCATCAGCATACAGTAGAAGCGCAATGTACGAGTGGATAAGTCTTACCTTCACTTTCCAGTTCTCAAAGTCGATGTTGGGGTTCCCTTGCTCGAAGTTGATGTTTGGGGGTATCTGGCCCTTTTCGGTAGTGAGAACGCCTTTAATCAGGCCAGCGACCCCGGCGGCTCCCTCAAGATGACCAATGTTTGTCTTCACAGAGCCTACAAACACTGGGTTCTCGATCGACCTTCCGTCACCCAAAGTCTCAGAGATGGCCTTAAGCTCCCGAAAGTCGCCAGCCTGTGTTCCAGTCCCGTGACACTCGACGAAAGCCGTCTGGTTCATGTCCAGGTCGTGCTTGGAGTAGAGGGATCGGATGTTGGCCACCTGGGCCTCCTTGCTCGGAAGAGTGATGCCTTGTAAAACCGTCAGAATTTTGTCCCCCAGTTCCCTCGCAACGTGGGATACTCACCTGTGGTCAGGCCGTCTTGGTTTACGTGAGTGCCACGGATGACAGCTCGAATGGTATCATTGTCTCGGACAGCATCCGAGAGCTTCTTCAAGACAACGAAGCCGATACCTTCCCCGCGACCGTAACCATTGGCACGAGAGTCGAAGGCGAAACATTTTCCGTCTGGGCTGAGAAAGTTGAGTGCTGTCATGGGCATCATTGTGTTGGGTGTGAAAATAAGACCAGCACCGGCAGCGAGGGCCTTGGGAAGTTAGTGCGCGAGCTCCAAGATGACGGTAATGGAGGATTCAAACCATTGAACAGTCGCCAGCTCGGAGAGCTTGGGCGGCGAGGTGAACTGCAACGAGACTTCCACTGCAGCCAGTATCGATCGTCATGCTGGGCCCCTTGAAGTCGTACGTGTAGGACACGCGGTTCGACATGATGGCATTGCCAGTGCCTGTGGCGGCGTACTGGGGCTGCCAGTCCATATCTCTGAGGCATATTTGTTCATAGTCTAGGGGCAGTCAGTAGGGCAAGGTGAGAGAGAAGCGAGGTAATAACAAACCTTTTACAAACGAGCCCACATAGACAGCAGTCGGACTGCCTTTAAGGTCTTCCATGCGAAGACCAGCTATCTCAGATTAGCACGGAATTATTCGAGAGGTTGAGGACCAACGCACCGTTTTCAAGCGCTTCATAGGAAACCTCCAGTAGGAATCGCTGTTGAGGATCAATGGCCTTAGCGTCCTCTGCCATGATGGAGAAAAACTATAGAGGGTCAGAAAAAGTGGCATTCCACATCCGAAGGTCGCTGATGGGGACTCACCGACGCATCAAAAGCTGCGACATCGTCCTTGATGAAATGCGCTCCTCGAAACGAAATCTAGGTGAATCAGGTCAGTCTGAAGATATACCCAAACAATTTGGACAGGGTGAGATAAAAACGCACGCTGCCCTGACGATCACCACTTGGATGATAGTAGCCGTCGATGTTGAGGCGATCCTTTGGAAATTCTGACCAGGCCGACTCCTTCGCAACCAACATCTCCCAAAGCTTCTCCGGAGATGTCGCATTGCCTGGGAAGCGGCAGGCCATGCCGACGATGGCAATGTCTTCCATCTTGCCCGCCTCGACTAATTTTGTAACCAAGGTGTTGTCTTCAATGGGAAGTATCGACAGACAAGGTGGTAGGAGGGGCGACGCCAGGCGAAAAGAATCTGACTGTACGAGGGCAGCTCAGACAACAAGATTCTGTCTCTTTTGTGACTGGGTCGATGAGTACAGAAGAAGGAAAGGGTATCAATCGGCTGGAAAACAGGATGGAAAGGGAAGGAAAGAAATCTCTGGAGAACCAAGGTGAAGTTGGGTAGTTGAAAATCTTTTCTGCCACCGGACAGCTGACGGCGGGTGACCAAGGGGGCCCCGGCCTTGATATTCAAATGTGAATATGAGTTGAAGGTGAAATCGTGCTGCCTTTGGTGCCAGAGGCACTGCCAGGTCCATCCACTTATTCCACTCATATGCGGGGGCGGGAGCATACGGCATGAAGCTTAGAACTTCACCTGGCGGTCAGCATCAATCCTTTGGTATAGGAACGGCTCTTTGTATGATATGACTGTCATCGTAATTGCATGAACGTCACTCGTTGTGATCAACGGTCTTTGTTTCTCAGGGAATCTTCCACCAACCCTTTGAATGTAGCCATAACACCGTCTAACATGGAAGATATTGGCTCTTCGTATCAAAATCATAAGGGCAACTTCATCCGGTACAGCTTCCCCTCGTGCGGCCCTCTTTGGATTGTGGTTCTTCAAAAGCATAGCCCACGGATATCAACGGCTTCTTGCAATTAGACCGACGGTCAAATCAAGAGAAGCTATGAAGACGGGAAGAGGATAGAGCCAGTTGCTTGAAATAGAACAGGGATGGGGCGCAGCCCACTTTGGCATGCAATCAGCCCTAGGGGACCGCAAGAACATCTCCAACATGGCATAAACTTATGTACGTAGGAGAAGAACAACTATCGATCCTGGAATCCTTCCGCTGGACGCTGGCATGGCCCATGAGGGCCATCTCTTTACCGCATGTTGCAAACAGAACTTTTGAGGAGCACCGATGCTCCGACTCCATTGCAGCGGGGATGACGGGAGTAGCACATATTCCTTCCCTGGATCGATACAGTGTCAGACTGGCGTGTGCTCCAGTGGTTAATTATGGTTGTAGGACAAACGGTGGAAGAGATTTGGCCAGAAGATAGATCCCGAGTCAGTGCCAACCTGTCACGATGTTCGTGCTCGTTTTGCCACGACTACTGATTGCCAATGGTGCCCTGCTCTAAGGGGCTGTACGGAGGGTTGACGGTATGACCCGGGCAGAGAAAATGCATAACACAGTCAATCTGACCCGTTTCCTCGTGGTGGTGCCCAATCCTCAGGAGGGCCTGGATCGCCAGCTCCGCGGTCTCGGCCCGAGTACAAAACGAGAAGCGGATGAGACTGGATAGAAGAGGCCGAGTAATCTGATTTCGGACGATGAGAAGACCGGGGAGCTTTGACAAACCACGATGGAGCAGGTAACCGGCTATTCCTGATCATTTCTTTGGGCGGGGACGTTGACGTGTCGAACAAGGTTGGTGGCATTGGCAGGAGTGTAGCTCGCCCAAGGACATTGTGCAGTACTCACCGACGCGGCCGTACATATGGAGGCCCGATGTTCCGGAGACTTGGCGCCAACTTGATGTCAGTTTTGTGTTGCTCTCCGTTCCAAGACTCTATCGAGCGGACTGGCCTCTCATCGACCTCTCGAAGAAGTTGGAATCAGATCTCTAGGCGATGATGTTTACAATGTGCCAGACCGACATGGTCGTAAGTGTAGCGTGTTTTCATATGCAGGAACCCATTTGAGACATGTTGGCTCCAGACTTCCACCGTCGTTGAATGGGGAACATCGAGCAAAGCAGAGAATGAGACCAGAAACATCGTTCAAGAGGACAGGGAAATATAGATCAAGATCGCATCCTGGGAATTAGCCTCAGAAGACTTGTGAATGGAACTTTAGATATAAGATTATGCCCAGAGAAGAGAATGTCAAACGGGTACATCTATCGTATCATGCGCTTGCCAAGTTCCACCATACGGATGAAGTCCACTTCAGTCCCATCCATACCACACCTCAGAGGCTCAGCCAAGGGCATCTCGGACCGAACATATAATCCGCTCCGACTTCACACACGAAGTCAGGGATCTTTCATGGCCCGAGCGCCTCCATTCATGTTGCTCATTGTTGCTTTCCTTTCCTTTTGAAGTCGATCATGCCAACTCATATCCAACCATCTCTTAGGATCTCATGTGATCTCATGTAGCTGAAATCCATTGAGAGGCCGCACCATCTCGATTGACGAAACACTCAAAGCCTGTACGACAGTTCAAAATGGAGCTGAATTGACAGTGAAATTGACACAACGAGACCATTCTGCCCAGTCTGGCCAATCGAACCATTTTGGGACCGACTTGATGTTCCACAAGCAGGTGTACAACCCTCATCAATCAAGACGAGGGGAGTTCGACCCCTAGTATCTGTGATACACACCATCTTGGCAGGCCAAAGCGCTTCAACATGCCTCTCTTTACACATCCCCCAGTTCTTGACAAGGACATGCTGCCGAAAACATTGTCGCCCAGCGCTGCAGCAACCGTTGAGGGAATGCCAGGCGAGGTCGCACACAGGCCGGACCAAGAGTTGGTCGGCTAAGCAGCGTGGCCCATGACCTCACTTCGCAGCTCTCATACTTTCAAAAGAGCAGCCTTTCTTCCACTGCGTTTCTCGACAGGACGGAGTAAACAAAACGTTTGGAAATGCAGAGTCGGGTGCTAGTGGCGCTCTTCGCATCTGTTCCTACCCAAGTAGGTAGGACGATGGCGACTCAACCACGAGGCATCTGAGAACACAACGTCCCAAATGGGGCGTGCAGAGCTAGTGATGCAGACGGGAGGTCGGTCGGGGATACACAGATCCGGTAGGCACTTCGTTTTCCTGCTGCGATTTTCTCTCTCTTTCCGTCTTGTTACTCTAAAAGCAGAGAGCTGAATGTACACAAGGTAGCACTGTCGGATTCTGGCATCAACCGGAGACAGCCAGTCAATATTCTGTTGCACCGGCTCAGAGTCAAACAGTGTCGCTTGATATAAACCTCCCCCACCCCAGTCGGGAACTTGAGTGGCTTATTTACGAAATGCCACGGCCTAGAATGCTGAAGAGTCCTGGGGTTCGTACAACAACGGGACCTGTTCCTGTCACCCCAGTGGCAGCTCTTCCATTTCTGAGAGACCAGCAAGTAGGACATTTGCCTGACACATCCTACCAATGGCTTGCCTTCTCCCCTCTGGTGGGATGCGCAGTCATCAACCTGCCCCTGGCTTTTCCTCGGCCTCCATTCTCGAGCAAGAAAGTCTTTGTCTTGGAACATAGTGTCGTCGTTACCACAGCCGAGCGAAGCCAGGGCACAGGGCACGCGAACAACTGCCACAACTATGCTTCACAGTCCTGACGCTTTCAAGTCGTTTGTCCTACCTTGCACAGCACCCGTCATTGTCCGTGTCTTCGCCTACCCAAGGTGGAACTGTCAGAGAAGATCTCATCTTCACCCTGATCTAGGCTGGATGAGCAAGCCTCTAGGAAAACCACTGTCTCGGGCATCATGGATAGGTGCATTTGGTGCTCTTCTTCTACTGTCAACATGAGGGTAAAGAGCTGCGGTCAGTATAACTATGTGTTGCGGCCACTGTCCAAATTAGAGAGGATGGGCAGCTGTTTACCTCGTTTGTTCCTTGCTGCCGCTCAAGTCCTCACACCAAAGAGGGATGTGTGTTCACACATACACACGCACACACGTACCCTCAAAGTATTCCTTTCCTCCTCACACCACCCGCCTTGTTGCTGCATCGTCGAGGTAACCAACAATTCAATTACCAGCCAAGGCCCACGTCTACCTTCCTCGATCAACTCTGCAAAGGCCCTCAGGACAGGCAGGCACAAGGCTGATCACTGTCTTGTTACTGGTTCTCTTTCCCTTTCCATCAGGAAAAACAAGCTAGCCCCTATACCCATCGAGGCGAGAGCAGCCAGGTACCCTCAGAGACCTTCCTCAACCAGGTTTCCTTAACCCAAACACCTTCTCTCCCCATACCACACCCACACAATCTCTCTATTTCCCCTCTGCTTTTCAGGCAATCTCTGCTTCTTCGCCATATCTCGCCTCAAGACAAGCTGGATTCAAGCTCCGAATATTACCATCGGTAAGATTCGAAGGCATCTTTCCATCTTCTGCCCCTGAGAGGAGAAGACAGCCGGCAACCTCACTCTATTCCACTCTCACGACAATAAAACGCGCCGCCAATCATCGTCAAGATCATCGCAGCAATGGCCGCCCAGTCTCCCTCTCGTCGCGAGATGGCTGACCAGCTGTCTTATCCCAACCCGTCTCTGGGCGATACCGCTGGCTTCGCTGTCGCGAACTTTGCTCCCCGCCGTGGTGCGGAGTATTCCACTGCCAGCCTTCGCCAGCCTACGATTGAGAGAGTCTTGATCGTCTTCAGGTAAGGGAATTGCAGCATTCTCCTGAACCCAGCTGACCAGATAGCCTTCTCGTTGGCCTGTTTCTCGCTACCCTCGATACATCCATCATCGCCACTTCCCTCATTGCCATCTCTGAGGAGATTGGCGACCGCCAGCACGCTTCCTTTGTCCTTCTGGCCTACCTTCTCACCTACATGGGCTGCGCTGTCGGAATTGCCAAGTGCAGTGACATTTACGGTCGCCGAACCATGCTCTTCTACAGTTGGGCTGTCTTCGTCATCTTCTCGGCTCTGTGTGCGGGCGCGAAAAGCATGAAGCTCCTGATCATCGGCCGCGCCTTTCAAGGCGTCGGAGGGTCGGGCTTGTACAGCCTCGCCCAGACCTGTCTGCTTGAGCAAGGTCCTGCCCACAACCCAGCCCTAATGGGCGGCATCATCGGAATCACTCTCGCCGCGGCTTTCCTTCTAGGCCCCATCTTGGGCGGTGTCATTGTCTCCAAGATTACTTGGCGATGGATCTTTGGACTCAACATCCCCATCGGTGTGTTCGCCGTGGCCTGCCTCGTCTTGTCCTACCCCAAAGACCGACAGGCCTTCAAGATTTACTCTTGGACGGCATTCAAGAAGCTTGACGTGGTTGGTATGACCACTCTCTTCTTTGGCTCGGCCTTCCTGGTTGTCGCTATCGAGCGTGGTGGATACGCATATTACGGTTGGGACCACTGGACCGTCATCGTCATGTTCGTGTGCTCTGGGGCTTGCTGGGGTATTTTTGGCATCTTCGAGAACTACCTTTACCGAAATCGCTGCCTCTTAATCGACCATCTGCGGTGCTCGCATCAAGAGCCTGTCTTTCCGGTACACCTTGCTCGACGCCGGCCCTTCATGTGCGGCTTGGCCGTTACCTTCCTCACTGGACTCCCCTATGTCGCCCTCACTGTCATTATACCAGAACGCATGCAGGTGATTGCGCAGAAAAGCCCTCTTCAGTCTGGCATGTACCTGTTGCCTATGCTTGGAGCCTGCGCAGTTGGATCATTCGTTGCTGGAGCGGTGAACTCCAAATCGAACAAGGTGGCTCTCGTCATGACTGTCGCGTCGATTGCGCAAGTCCTGGGTATCAGTCTCATGCTTATGGTCGTCGACGCTCAGGCGGACTTTGCTCCTGCGTACGGATTCACGCTCGTTTTCGGACTGGGCGTCGGCCTCAACTTTGGCTCCACGACCATTCTCTCTGGCGTCGAAGCGGAATCGACCAAGGAACACGCCGTCGCCCAAGGAATTCTCGCTCAAGCTCGCGCCCTCGGCGGCTGTCTTGGTGTCGCTATCTGCACTGCTATTTTCAACGCGCGCTTGGAGGTTCTCCGTGATCACCTTTCTCCGTCTGAACGCGAGACTCTGGCCCACTCCCCAACCCAATCTTCCGCGTGGAACTCGCACCTCAAGAACCTCATCAAGCGAGTCTACGCAGACTCCTTCAGAGACCAGACTATCTTCATGATCGCCGCCTGCGCCATTATGGTGGTCGCCGCCGTCTTTACTTGGGAGAAGGAGCCCAGATCCATCACCCTTCTCACTGGTCATGCGCAGCAAGCCAATAAGACACGCCTGCAGCAAGAAGGCAACGACCACGACGGCACCGAGATGAGCGACATGGCCAGTGTTCGCTCTGGTCACTCAGCCGTCTCGGCTACTATCCACGGTCGCACAGCCTAGACTTCATGGTCAACGCATTGTCCAACACGGTCATATAGCTTCATGGGAATATCCAATTTCAGGGAATCGGAAAACCAGGATCTGCTTCTTTCAGGGAGTTACAAGGCGTCAACCGGGGGGGCATCGGCTAAGGAATAGGGAGGTATTGTGCTTTCGCACTCCTATGCGCGCTTATTCTCGTAAGCATTTCGGGCAGACTGGGTCGCGAGCGTCCAGCTGCATCATGGCTTAGGAACTTTCTGGTGTATGTAGAGTAGTTTTCGCCTCCTTCAAAGCGGTTCAAAGTTTCGACAAAAGACAGACTGTTCACTATCAATACTCTTTTCGCGCATCTTGTGATACGTCATGCGAGTTAATTGCATTGATAGCATCAAACATTAGTAGCATTCCCATGGATCTAACATGAGCGGGTTCGGGTGGATGCGCCTAATGGAAAGACCGGGAGATACGCAGCTTGTCCCCACCGGTTCAGATCTTGAGGCATGTGCGTCTCGCGATGCGAATCTCGCATCGAAAAGTGACTAATTCAACGGCGCCGCCGCATAAGGTCGTTTTCAAAATAGAAGAATTTGATACTCATTTCCCTGACGAGCCGCAATTTGTCCCACATCCATCGAGATCAAGAGATGAGTCACCAAGCGAGCCTCAGGGGGGCTTTCATCTTCAGACAAGAGCGCACAACTCGCCTTCTGCCTCGTGCTTTTTTTTTTTCTTCTTCTTGGTTTCCATTCAGGCGACCAAGACATGGCTCTTGGCAACGGTGTGACGGTTGTGTGTGGTGGTTGGGCGCGTGGATGTGGACGGGGAGGAGAAGTGGTTTTGAGACGTTGTCTTTGATCCGGTGAGTTGCTTACTTGGGGGATGTACGGATAGAAGGGAGAGGGGAAGGGATTCGGGATTTTGGAACCGAGACAATGGTTCCTGCGCGCGGTCTCTCTGTGTGTGAAACCTATTTCCTGTAATTGGAGCACGGATTCTTGTCGCGGAGGGCTTGCGAGATGAGAAGAACGAACAGATGGTTTAATTCAAACCCTGACTATTTTTAAAATTCCCGACCATTATTTGCCTTACTCGTATCGTAAACTTGACTGGATTGACTGGACTCTTTTCTCTCTTTTTTTCTTTTTTGCAGAACTAAAGTAACATTCCAAAAAGGATTCGAAAAGAAAAGTCTTCGTCGAATTGGAATCATCGGCTCAGACTGCCGTCTGCGAACGCTATGGCTTTTTTTCCAGGCCGACAACGAAACGGCCAGCCGGAAAAGGGCGTCAAACTTGAAAGTTTGAGAAGAGGAAAAGGGATTGGGTTTGGAGATGGGGCGACTTTTCCCCTCTCTCGAAATACCTACCTTTCTGTGTAAGGTATTACTCCATCTTCCGAGCTATGGCACTTTCTCTTCACCTTTGCTTTGATGTAAAAGAAGATCGCACCGTGGCACACTACAGTCTAGACTCTACACCCCCTATCCCTGGAACTCAATGGGAGAACCAACGCAGCCAACAAAAGGACCAAGGACGAAAACGAGGCGAAACTCCCCAAAAGTCCAGCGCTCGAACCCTTCCTCTCAGCCTCGCCAGCTTTTCCCCAAGAAGCCCCGTCTCGTCTTGTCTTCCCTAGACCCCTCCTCCTCTTCTCACATTGTCCTCATCGAATTAAGTGGTGCCTTATTATATCCCCCCCTCGCCATCCACATTTAATTGCGCAAGAAAGCCGTTTTTTGCCAACGAACGACAATCGGCGCCCAACGGGTGGATACTCGTTCCCCTCGGGTCTGCTTCGATCGTTTATGCGCAAGATACAACAGGCTACTTCCCAGTTGATGTTGGTGAGCTGGGCGGAAGTGGGTGGTTGATTTGCTTTTTGCACCTCAGCCAGTTGACTTGGTTCTCCATTGCACTTACACGTGTCAGACCCGTTGCGAGCAGGGCATATACTGGTATTTTTCATGCTGATGGAGGTTGCCGGGTTGGGCACAAGATCGCCTTTTCGCGTTTGGATTTCATTCGCCAAGTCACTCTGAGCTTCCATTCGGATTCTTCTCTATTGAACCGTATCGGAATAATGCAAAGCGCCGGAAAAGATGGGAGATTGAACTGAGGCCGAAACTCATTCCTCATCCTCAATCGACAATTGCTTAATCAGTACTATGTTAAATGCCATTTCCGATCCGGATCTCCGTGGTTAATCGCCGAAGAGAACAACCCCTCCATCCCGCCTCATCCCGCCCCATCCCTGCGTGGTGGAGTCATCGATACCCCCCTGTCCCCCGGACTCAAAGCGGGGAGGGTAGACGTGAAGGGGGGCGGCCTGGACCCGAAAATGGACAGATCCGGACCGCGGCGGCCGTCGAGCCAGGTACGTCCACGACTCCCCAACTTTCTCCATCGGTTTTCGCTGGCGCAGGTTTCCACTAAAAATCGCCCGTCGGCGGTCGCCAATCTCATCATCGTCGGCAACCTACACCTACCTTACCTTCACCACCACCACCCACCGCACATCAAATCTCGCTCATCGACACACCATAGCGACCACACACACATATACCTTACCTTACACATCCATACACATCCATACACACCCACCTATCTACCTATATCCCAACCGTCTGCTCGGGCCAGCCTCATACCACAGCTTCACATCACGCTCACGACACTACCGTTTGATCACAGATTCACAGCCCCTCTCTCCTCCCCTCCTCCCCTGCTCTCTGCTGTCTTCCACCTACACCTCTACACCTTACACCTTGGATACACCTCATCCAGCTGGAGCAACCAACCGTCAAGCCCCTCCTCCTTCTACCATCTGTCTCCTCCTCCTCCGCCGGCATCCATACATCCCTCCCCCCATCCCATGACGCGCATCTCCTCACGAGACCAGGAAGTCTAAAGCCCAATCCCGTCCATTTGATACAATTAACCTGAATCGCTCCCGTTTCTATTACCTGTGTGCCCTCTCTTTGCCTCCTCGCCCTACTTTTGAGTTCCTTTACTTTCCCCCTCCCCCCCTCCTCCTCCATCGTTCCATCCTTTCTCCGTTCGCCGTCTTTCCTTCATCTTTTACATCAAATACCCATCCGGCAAAACTTCTTCCTCTTTTGAACCGAGTTTTTTTGTGATACCGGCTTGATTTCCACCAATCCATCATTATACCCAGAGATACCCCAAAAGAAGTCCGTCAGTAACATTAATCATCAACAACAAACAATGGAGGCCATACGCCAAAGAATCACCATCCCGGACTCGATCAAGCAGATCCCCGACCAGCTCAAGCCCAAGTCGCCAAAGGCCCTCGACAAGGGCACCGACTCCATCCCCACCTCCCTGACGCCCACCCCCGTCTCCCCTCCCCTCGCGACTCCGTCCCACGGCGACGTCGGCGCCGTCCTCACAATCGCCTGCGCCACCCCCATCGCCGCCAAGCCCACCGCCGTCCTCGCCGCCGTCCTCAACCCGGCCACCTACCCGGCCTGGAACACCTTCGTCCCCAAGGCCACCGTCTCCCGCCCCTCCGGCCTCGCCGTCCCCCCCATGCTCGCCGACTCCGCCGCCGCCAAGAACCAGCCCGGCGAGCTCCTCCTCGAGGGCACCCACGTCACCTTTGAGGTCCACATGACGCTCGACCCGGCAAAGACCACCACCAAGCAGGCCCTCGTCGTCACCAAGCTCGAGGAGTACACCCACGCCGCCCCCTCCGCCGCCGTCGCGAACGGCGAGACCCAGCCCGTCCACCGCGGCCGCAAGGGCTACCGCGTCTGCTGGAAGACGGGCGGTCTCGTGCCCCCCTTTGTCCTCAAGTCCGAGCGCGTCCAGGAGTTCCTCGAGACCGAGGACGGCAACGGCACGGAGTACCGCTGCTGGGAGACCTTTTACGGTCCCCTCGCCCAAGTCCTCCGCTTCACCATGGTCGGCCAGCTCGAGATGGGCTTCGCCGCCTGGATGGAGGGGCTCAAGAACTTCTCCGAGGGCACCCTGACGCAGCCCCCTGCCGCTCCCGCTACTGACGCGGCTGCCACGACTGCTGCTACGACTGCAGCCTCGACTACGGCGCCCGCGACTGCTCCGGCTTCCGCTCCTGCTGTTGCCGCCGCTTCGTGATCGTGTAGCTTCTCGTGTGTGCGTGTTGTGGTCTTATGCCTGTTTTCTCTTGTCGATTTGTCGGTGATGCGGCTTATTTCCTTTATCTCATATCCCGGGCTGTAAGTGGTTTTTATTGCAGAGGCGATTGTCAATCGTTAGCTCTGCAGGAGAAAAAAACAAAGAAAACAAATGGATAAAAAACAACGGTTCGAGGCAACAATGGGCGACTGAAGATGAGGGGAGGAATTGATGATTGTGTTTCAGATTTGGAGGGGAGGAATTCCGTGTATGCAAAGTAGCTTGATACCTGTCCATAACCGGCAACAAGGAGTTTTTGACATTTTCTTCTGGAATAAGTTTCTATTACACCAGAGACACGGAGAAATCACAGGTTTCTCTTTTTCACCCTGAATGGATTCCCCTTTACACGCAACCATTCCGAGTACCCTCTGGATCTCCCATCGACCCTGGCAGGACTACGGTGGGTGTTCTTCTCCCAACTGTCACAAAAACACATCTACAAGACGGCAACGGCCTCGGGCTTGAAGTAGACGGACATGACGCCGCCGACAGTGAGGTTGCCCTTGACAAAGGACTTGAGTACGCCGTGGGCGGCGCACTCGTCGTCGTAGTACTTCATGTCCTCGAGCGAGGCGAACTCGGTCTTTGCGACAATGGTGAAGCCCTGGGCGCGCGGGTCGTCGACGGCCGGTCCGACGACCATGGAGAGGATGTACGGCTTTCCGTCCTAGTGGGTTTCCGTCAGTATTAGTCCTGTTTTCTTTTTTCTTTTTGGGAGTGTGGTTTCATTGAAAGCCGAACGGTAAAGCCGTAGAAATATGAAATCCAACGTGCGCTTTCGTCGTCCGTCTTTCGATAGCCACCCAGGAAACCGTCGTCGGCGCGAACAAGCCATGGTGGGGCCGAATTACGGGTGCCGGGATCCGATGGAACAAAAGCTCACCCTCCCCATCCACATCCCCGTCACGCAGCCACGAACACAACAAATCGACCACAATGCCAATCATGAAAAGAGACGAGGGCAAGAGAATAAACACACCTTCTTATGCGAGCCCCCCAGAATCTTGTACTGCTCAATCAACTGCTTCTGCTGCCCCTCATCGGCAATCTTGAACATGGTCACGCGGTGAATTCGGTCCGCCATTTCGTCTGTGATTCTCTCGACGCCCACTTCTTGTCCGAGCAGTACTACGTTTCGTCCTTGACGATCGGCGCCGGTTGCGAAGAATCGGCGGTTTTGGGGTGGCTGTTGTGGCCGTGTGTCGCAGATGGCTCCTCGGCAGGTAGTCTTCGTCGACGTCGTCGGTGTAGGTAAGCAGAGAGACCCAAAGGCGCGAGACCGGGAAGGCGATGGCGGGGCGCTGCAGTTGAGGATGGAGTTCCGGAGCCGAAGGCGGGGCAACTTTTGGAGTGAGCTTAGGAGGAGCGTGGAGTTTGGGGGCATTTGAAGGAAGAGAAAGAGAGGCGTCGAAGAAGAGGAGGAGGCTTTGCGGAGAGTTTATATTCGGTAGTCCGGTTGGCTAGGTAGGTAAGCTGTATGCAAGGTCAGGTCCGGTGTATGCAGGTGATCGGTTGAAGACGGCGTTGCGCAGGGACGGTTGTTTGTGAGTGCAGTGAGCAGAGGGAAAGTGAGGTTCGGGTGGGAGCTCCGTCTGTTGCACACTCGGATGAGGGGGTGGGGGGAATAGCGCCATGCAGGAGCTTTGCCCGCGACGCAGGCGAAGGTACCTGGCCTGGTGGGAGGAGGGGTAAGGTACTTCCCCTCGTTCCCCCAATCTTACACTCTTACACTACAAATCGAACCTGCCAACTAGGTATCCACCTCTGATGGTACGGCTAAGGTATTGCCCGTTTACATTCGCAGAAAGAGCATGTCTTGAGGAATTAAAAGGAAGGGAGAGAACAAAATACAGGTCATGCCTCCTCGTCAATTGCTGTTTTTTACCTAGTAGTAGCTCAAGCACCGACCTGAGTGCCTCTCCAAGGAAAGAAGCTCGGGCAGGAACCTCAGATAACAAGCCACGGACCCTCCCCAAGCCAAAAGGAAAAGCTCCCGTCCCCAGGCAACCTCCGCCGCGAGCGGGCCTCGAGAACTGAAGAACAAAACCCCCATCGTCTGATTACACACAAGCACTTCATCGACCATAGTAATTAGTGCTTAGATGACATGCATAAGCCCATACGCAAGATAAATCACAAACAGCTCCATCGCCTCAGGGAAAGCCCATTGCATTACCAGACCCCTTCCCGTCATCTCACATGTCAAACGGGAGTACTATCTGTATCTAGTCCCTATCTAGTCCCATACTATATTCCAACAGACGTGCAAACCCTACCCGTCAGAACGCGAAAAGACTCAAGGGACGCATGAGATGGCCCCCAATGTTCATAATGGTCACTTAAACATCTTCTCACACCTCAAATAGCCCGCGCCGGCCCGGACACCCTGCTGCCCGTACCCGACCTGCGTAACGCCATCTTTACACAACACGGGACCTTCTTTACTCCGTACGTAGGTACATAAATCACTACGGCCTTCCTACCTTACTGTACCTGGCTACTTATGTTACTCAGTCTCGTGAAGAAGAAAAAGCGTACATCAGATTACATCGAACAGGGCCTCCTTCCATGAACCACTTTACCATCGGCCAAGCCCCGCGGCGTCCATAAGGTAGTGGGGCCGTAACACAAACCGCTCCCCTGCACCCATCCAACGAGTGCATCGCCGGCGGCGGGCGGGCGAGCGGCCCCCAAAAATCCCGACCAATTACGAATTTCTCCGTCTCGTCTCGTCTCGTACTCTTTCTTCCCTTTCACTCTTTCCTTGGCAACTTTTTGACATGGGAGACCGTCCCGACAACCTCACCTGATGGTCACTTGGAAGTCTGAGATTTCGCCCTGTTCCGCAGCCCGAGGCTAGTTGGCCCTCAAGCAGCAACAGGTAGTATCTAAACTGTGTCGATCATGTTCCCAGCACAACGAAAATGGACTCCCTTCGACCTAGGCCAGTAACAGTCAAGCCGGGTGGCTAATCCCACATAGGAGAGCAATAAGCTCGCAGAGGCACAAATGATTTAGTCTCAAGTGCACATAGGTGCCTGTGAAGGGTTTACCCGCGGCGACGAGTCTGAAGCAACGTGCGTGATGTCCGTATTGCTCCATCTAACGAAATGGGGCTGGAATATTCACACCCAAGGTATTATTTCTTCTCTCCGTCTGGCTCGTCTACGTTGGTGAATAATCCTTAGATGTACCCCGGCAACAGACGCCAAGGAACCTAACTCCACGAAATGGTTTCCTTTCTGTCTCCTCTCTGAATTAAGCCAGTCTTTCTTCCCGGATCCATCGACATGGCTAGGCCCTCCGCCGATCAACGCCATCCGATGCCAAGTCCATTTCTCGCCCGTGTGACATCCAACGTCTGGAGTCTTCCTGTCGGCCAGCATCCAAGGCCATTTTTGGTATCTCTATTCGTCCATCCACCACATGACACACAGCCAAGTGTGACCAGACTAAACCCCGGAAGCAGTCCTCATTCCCGAGCCCAGTCCTGCTGTGGCTCCCCTTTACCTAAACGCCGTACCCGTCTCTTCAGGATCACCAGCCCTTGGTTATCCATGTGACCGATAATGCTTGTTCGCCGCTCCCTGCTCCGCCTCCTCAATAGGCAGCACTGGCTTTCATTATCGTATAGGCGACCCAGGTGAAAGGCCCCCCATCCGCCGTACCACCACTTGCATCTTCTCGATTAGCTCCGGCATCCGATAAGGCTTGACGAGCACATCGTCACACCCTGCGCTTTTGGCGTCTTGCATCTGCTCCGGCCGTGCATTGGCGCTGACGGCGATGATGGGGATTCTTCCACCGCTTGCACAAAACACTCTTCCTTCCTTCTCTAGTTCTCGGATTCGCCGCGTGCATGTCAACCCGTCCTGCACTGGCATCTCTATGTCCATGAGGATAAGGTTGATCGATACGGCGGGCCCCTGAGGACTCGAGTTGCTATGAGTAAAGTACTCCGGGTCGTCTTGCTTCTGCAGGGACATGGACTGCATGAGTCGTTCTAGAGCCTCGATTCCGTGGTTGGCCACGTCGACAGTGAACCCCCTATCCTGCAAGCCGCGACGGGTTATTTGCTGATTGATCAGGTTGTCCTCCACGACAAGAATCCCATCCAGCCGGGGGTCGTAATTCTTAGGCTTCGGTCGCGAGCCAGGTGCCTTCTGTTCGTTTGCGGGGGCTCTAATCCGCGGCATCGTGGATGGCGTGCTTGATGCAGCAGTAGCCAAAGTCGTCATTCTCACAGCCGCGGCCGCAGATTCGGCTTCCCTCCGCGACGACTCTGTTGGCACGTATGCCTCGATGAAGAATGCAAACGTGGACCCCACCCCTGGCAAGCTGGACACACCGATGGCACCCTTTTGCAGCTCTGTCAAGCGTCGCGAGATGAATAGCCCCAATCCGCTTCCACCGTATTTGACATGAGTCCGCGAACTCGCTTGCACGAACCTGTTGAAGAGATTTGACTTTTCGTCTTCCGAGAGACCCTGACCGGTGTCCTTGACTTCGAACATGATGTAGACTGGGTCTCTACGATTGTCGAGAGCAGGCTGCTCATACTCTGACTCTTCTTTGCAGGATCGGGGAATGAAGGTGACCGGTCCCGTCTCGTCCGTTGGCCGTTGTCGCGATGCCTTCATGCACACAGATACATTCCTGATTGATCCGGACTTTGTGAACTTGAGAGCGTTTGTAAGCAAGTTGATGAGGACTTGTTTGACGCGGGAGGGATCGAGATCTAGATAAACGTGACCCAGCTCCCGATACGATTTATCCACAGTCATCTTGAGGTCAATATCAACACGACGAGCCTCTACGTCGAACATCTTGATAGCCTCCTCGCCAATCTGAACGGGATTGACTGTGCAGGGAGTGACGGCTAGAAGCTTAGAGTCCAACTTGGACATTGTCAAGATATCGTCCACAATCCGCTTCTGATGCTGTGCGCAAGCAACAATCGTCTCCGCATTCTCGATACTATCCGAAAGAAGCTGTTTGATATCAAAGTGTTTGTCGGTGCCTTCTTCGTCGGATTTAGCTGCCTTGGGAGTAGGAGGCCGGTCGACAAGCTCCTCGCATCGCGCAAGAGAGGCAATGATGGCGTCTGAACAGTGAACTATGGCGCTGAGCGGGTTTCGCATCTCGTGGGAAGTCATGTCGATGAAGTTATCCTGTTGCCGTTTCGAGTCGATTGCCTCCTCGGTGCGTTGAGTTTCCAACTCCAGTTGCCATTTTTGCAATGAGACGTCGCTGACACAGCCAGTAAACGACTGAACGATGCCATCTGAATTACAGACTGGCATCAGGGTAATGTGTACCCATCTGGGCGCTGTGATCTGGTTCCCTCCGGCGTCCTCAGCTGTCCATGTGGTCTTTAGGCGTATCTCAGCTGACTGGGGCTTCTTCGTCGCCACAAGTCGCGCAACGCTCTCGCTCAGAGTCTGGATGTCGTCTTGTACGACCGAGACTTCCCATGGCCGTACTTCGTGTTGCAAAAGGTCCACCTTCTCTATCCCAGACAACTCGAAAAATACGTTGTTTGCTCCGAGCAGACGTCCTCCGGTGTCCATATCGAACATACCAACTGTGGCAAGCTCAGCCATCCTCTTGAGATTCTCTGCCTGTTGAGCCCTCCTGGTGGCTTCGTCGGCCGTCCTTTTGTGTGCGGTGACATCTGTCAGGCAAGTGAAAGTTCGAATGATGGTTCCGTCAGTTGCTCGTTCAGCCTTTGCCTGAGCCATTACAAAACGTTCCAGATCCTCGTCAAGATCACTGTATACGTCGGCTTTGAAGGGCGATCTCCTTGCCAGCATGCGATTGGTGTGTTCCGTTCCTTTGACGCGGAATTCAAATTCGACTTCATCCTTGGTCTGCAGTTCCTTGTATGCCTCGCGAATCTTTTCTCGGTCTGCCTCCAACACACAAGAGAAAGAACCGCCTTCATCAGGGTGTCCTGTTATGCGGTACCACAGGCCGTTCGCGAATGTTATGTTTCCTTGATGGTCCCCGAGGGAGAATCCATTGGGAATGAAGTCCGAAACTGTCTGGAATAACCGTGTGTACTCTGTGGCTTCCTTGGTCTGGTAGGCGAGCTTTTCTTTCAGCATGGCCTGGTCGTATGCAGCCTGCTCGGCAGCATTCCTTCCTCGGCGTCGCTCCTCCTCTAACAAGACCGTGCAAGCCAGGGATGTCGTGAGCTTCTGGGCTAGCAACTGGATGTAGAGGGTATATGCATCGTCGTAAGGTCGCCGAGGGTTGAGGCCCAACACAAGCAGTCCCATGACTTCCTCCTCCTTTGTGGGTCGAATGGGCAAGACAATAGCAGCTTCGCAGGGATCGCCAAATCCACGCCACTGCAGGCCAGTCAGTAATTCTTTGGGCAGACTGCCGTCTGATTTGCTGATAATCAGCGGCTCGTGGCTGCGCAGAGCAGCTCGGTACTGTGGCGCCAGACCGGCATCGGTGTCCTTCAGTCGCAGGGTCTCGGGCATGATGGGATGGTTTTCTGGGACACCTAGGGCGCCCTCGAGACGACAAACGTGATTACAATCGTGCCGCGACTCGCTTCCGGCATGTGATGAACCATCACACTCAATCGAGTAGAGCATCGCCAGTGGTATATCGTAGGCGGGATCGCATTCGGAGAGCTCTTCGATCAGCTTGCTCCAGTAGGATTTAACATCCTTGGCTGTGACGAGCTCCTCGCCCATGTTGACGAGCATCTGAATTCGCCGACGGAAAAGGTGGTATAGAGTCGTGTCCGATATCAAGTGGATAAAGCCAAGACATTCGCCGTTCTGCATGACCGGTACGATTGACCATTTTAGGTACGTCTCGAGGGGTGATCCGTCGGGTCTTTCGAGGAAAAAGCGGAATGCCTCTTCGTTGCTCGCGCGACGACTTTGTCCGGGATTCTCCATCATATCTCTGAGCTGATCCGTGATTTCAGGGAAAACTTCAGTCACAGAATGGCCCATAAGGTTGGGGTGTCTTGCTCCTATCATCTCTCCATAAGCCTCATTGTATACTGTTGTGAGATTTTTGCCCCAGTAGATTGCTGTAGGCTGAGAATTGCATAAAATCTGGCTATAAGACTGGTGAAGCAGCGATGGCCACCGGTCCATGGCACCCAGGGGAGTCGCGCTCCAGTCAACGCTATCAACCATATCGAGGAAAGGCTCTTGGTCTGGCATAAAATCCGGTAGGACTATAGGCGGCTCGGTGGTTGCTCGAACAATCCGGGGATATGACAAGTCTTCTGCGGACGACTCTGCCGAAGGCACTGAGGGCACGGTTGAGGTATGCGGGTGCAAGATACCGCTGCTGGATTCTCTGCCTCTCGAACCATCCAGGCGAATCTTTCTCGGAGGCTCCGAGGAGATTGGGAAGTCGTTGGAGCTCACAACAACCCATCTGGAAAGCAAGGTGTTCCGAGTCCAAAAGTGGTTGTTATACAAGAAAGATTGTGGAGGGTTGGCGTCTTGGGCAGTGATCCAGTCCCAGAATCTCGTATGGTCGCGGCTTGACAATGATCCTAGGACCTCGAAAAGGGCAGGCTTGCTCACCAGAGCCGGATTGCTGTAGACAACCTCGGCAAGCGCGGGGTCCTTGAATGAAGTTGGTAGCGCAACAACGAAGCTCGGTCGGGGGTCGGACTCGAGCAGATCAACAACGCCCACACCGAGGAGCGGGGGAGGATGCATGGCTGCGGGCAGGGTATGAGTCGTCCGCTCAGCCAAGGGATCGGCAAGTCTCGTTGTCAGTATCTGTTTTCTCTCTCATTCTCAACCAATCTTGGCGTAGAATGAGAAGAGGTCTTGCAGGCAGACCAGATGCTCAACTCTATTTCGGCGCTGTTCCTCCTCTTCGATTTGCGGCTGGTTGGTGAAAGATGCCGTCGGTCCCGCCGGTGAAGAAAGAGCCTGGATCGGCAAAATGTCCGCGCGCGCGATGTGGCCCTGGACGAGGTGAGGTGAGGCTGATGGGCGGGTTTTCGATGCAGGAGAAGGAGATGCTAGAAAGGCGCAGGCGCAAGTGGGAAAGCAGAGAAAAAGCGGCAGAAGCGAGCCGGGGTTGTAATGTGTGCAATAGTGGCCCAAAGTGGATGAGGCAGACGAGGGTGGTTGAGCTCGGAAGTTGCGATTCTGCTTGCCGGGTGGAGTTGAGCGCACGCGGCGGCACACCCAGTCCGTGGTGAGCGGGCCACCAAGTTGAAGATTGGTTGGTTGCTGGTAGAGTCGTCTTGATGGGATTCAGCAGGACCCCCAAGTTCCAACCAAGCTTGTTAGATGGAGGTCGCGGGATGTTTGCCGTGAATGCGTTGTCCGGGAGGTTGTGTAAATCTGCAGCGGTGGGTATCTCGCATCGGACCTTGGCCGATTTTCGGGTCGCTGGCAGTGAATTGGTCCAAAATTGGGATCCGCAAGCGTAGGGAAGAAGCCTTGATTCGACGTGCAGGCCAAGATGCGCGGTAGAAGTTACCTTGGGAAGAAGGTGTCCCAAGGTGAAGAAGAGGGAAGATGGGATGGGTAGACGGGCACGCTGGCAGGTCAGAACAGATGGTGAGAGGAGGATGATCACTGGTGGATGATGTGACGACCCTTTCCAATGGTTGACCGGGGTTTAGTGTCGGAGGGGGGCTGAACAACGGACGTCGCAATGTGGCTTGCTATGCAGATGGCGGTCTCTCGAAAAATAGCAGACTCGGATTCTTGGTGCCAACACCGGGTCAGGCTCTCCTTTGTCCCCACGGAGTGGCCTCGGGCTGACCTGAAGCTGGACAGAGTAGGTGAATTTTTGTTGTCGCGAGAATGGCAGGCTGGCGATGCCAGATGGTGGAGGTGGGCTCGTGAGAGGAAGCGAGAGGAAACGAAAAGTGCCTATCCGGGCAGTCAAGGTCACGCTGGCAAGGAGGTAAGGTTTAGAAGAGCGGCATCCCAGGGCTGGGCGGTGGAAAGGCGGAAAGACAAGGGACGGGGGGGGCGCGGAACGGAATCCGATGACGAAGGCTCCTTCCTGCCAAGGTATCGTGACCCCGGCACGCGAGTCTTTCGAGTCTATGGAGTTAGGTACTGTGCACTTATTATCCGTATCCGTAGAGTCAGTCTACCTACCTAGGTAATGTAAGGTAAGTAAGGTATGGCTGGATAGAGAGTCCTGGACGATGGGGGGCAGAAGTGGAAGGTGCACTAATAGGTTATAGGCGGCGGCAAAGAAAGAATGATTCAGTATGGCTTATTTCTTAGTGCTTCCGTCCCATGCCCTTTTGAGTCGCGCGTCTCAGCCCTCGCACTCACAGTATTGGACAACTTGTCGCTCCTCCCCTCCTACGCTACAGCACGGCATGATGTTGATTGGGGTGGGGAGAGAGCCCCGTGAAGGCGGTCAAGAAGTATTCCAAGATTCCAATCTGCTCCAGTGATCCAACGTGCCAACCTACCTTACCAGTTACCTTACGGTAGGTGAGGAAGGATACATGGATGGAACAAGATGCCGATGGTTTAGTGATATTGGGTGAGATTGAGGGATCCATCATCCGGCCCCCGAAGACCAATTTTAGAAGAGATCAACTCCCAGACTGTTACCTTGAGCGTGGTATCCGATCGCAAAGGTTCTGAATTGGGCCAAATAGACCATGTCGTCCGCATATGTATCCGTACGTCTGCATCTGCCAGGGAAACTGCAGCAGCAACAAATGCAACAGAAAAATGAGAAAATTAAGAAAAAAAAAAAGGCCCCAACCAGCGCAGCAAGGAACGGGGGGGCGGGCAGGGGCAGGCAAAAAGTGGGAATGCCCAACACTCTCCGAAGGTCGACTTCCTTCCCCGAGAAATCAGAAGAGAGCAAGAGAGGTCCCACGATTCCACCCGGTTCGCAAAATGGAATTAACGGCACAGCAACCAATCATGGGCAGCCAGGGTTGCATCGTGCCTCCCTGGACCGTCTCTTCAGTACTGCACTAAAAGCTTCGATGGAGACCCGGATTCGACGCTACAGGACCTGTCAACCCGTGCTAAATCGGATCGTCTTCTTCTCCGTCTTCTTTTACGGCTATGGCGCCTTCCAACCATTCCACTTGGTCCCAGCCGTGTCTGCACCTTGAGACCTTCCATCTCGATAAACAGAGCTTTAGAGGTTTATGTGGAAGATTAACCCCTCCATTTTCTGACATACCTATGTAGCACCTTAGCTACCTAAGGTAAGGTACCTACCTATTGAGAAGGCGCGCATTGAGCGGTAATAGTTACCAAAAAGATAGTTCAGCCCGCTCATTTGCCAGTGACGTTATAGCCCCACGTCATCCCGACTTTCACACGTGGAGTCGCCAATAACAACCAGCGTCCTCAACCCCCAATACCACCACCGCAGCCACCTTCCTTCCCCCCATCCCGGCCACATTTCCCACCTCAATTGCAACCATCAAAAAGCCAGCATCGCTAGTTTCCGAGACTCCATCGGATAGCTGTTTGTTTACTTCCTTCCCCCCTTTCCCCGGTCATGCACCATGCTCGTGCAATACCTAGACATTCATCCTGTTCCTGAAGGCTGAAGAGAAAGAGAGTTTTCGGCCCTGGCGGCTGCTCGCTGCTGGTGGTTGCCAGATCGTCCCTTCCCGCGCTCCCGACATGCACATGATGTAAGCGCAGATTTCGGGGGGTTTGGCCTCTGCGTTAACCCTGACGTCACATCGCTTCCAGACGGCATCATCCTCGTTCCCGGAGTGGATGGCACGGATTACTTGCCGTTTGACCAATCAGAGGCCACTTGCCAACGTCGTTACGAGTGAGCCAATGAAAACCTCTCAAATGGTCGACGCAGGAGAAAGCTCCGGAGCAAAATCACCAGACAAGACCATACCAGTGGCCGTAGACCAGTCGGTTGGGACTTGCAGATTCCAGGAGATGGGTACGTCTGTACGGATACGGAGCCTCTGTACTACATGATACAGAGAGTTGCATACCTAGAAATCCGATCGGCAATGCACCTAAAATAACCACGCTCCACAGCCCCCCTCGGCCGAGTTGACTGTGTGCAGTTTGGGGGGGTTTGGAAGCCGAGCTTTTGCTAAGGTGGGAATACTTCACCGAAAAGGCCAACTGGTGGAGAGACACCGATCCTCGTCGTTTTCCATCGTTGAACCAATGCGATCCGTCTGTAATAGTACACTACGCGAACACGATGTTGCACGGATAGCAGCCGAGTGTCTTACTTTATAAGACCTTCAACGTCATTACGCCATGCGGCGCTTTCTCACCGTTTAATAGCCAAATAACAAGCCCGCTTTGGCTCTTCAGCCAGCCACCCAAAAAGAAATTACCAAAAGAATGTGGGCGAGATTAACGTTCTTTTCTGGATCGGGTTGTTGAAGCCCATACTTGAAGCTTCTACCTGGGTAAGAGGTTCATCTGCCAGTCTTCTGGGCCCACACTGCCTATAATAAAAGAGATGAATCAACTTCAAAATATCCCAAAATACCTACCTCATTCCCCTCTATTAGATTGTAGCTTCCCACGTACTTTGACTTACGTAGTGCTTTGTAGATCTTTGGTGGAAAGTGAGAGCTTACGGAGACTGACGGATGACCTTGTCACCCGCGTGGCGACCCATCTTCGAAGGTGAGACTGCATGGCGGCAAGTATTCCTCAAGAATGTGAACCAGGCACGCGGAGGACAAGATTTGGAATCCCATTGTCTTTACAACTATATTCGAGGGGGTCACTTTAGTTGATGGTCGAGGCTTGAACAATGTCGTTGTCGGCACAACCGTCAATAGTGTGGCTAGGATCTATAGCTAGAATCAAGTGTGTCCTATAAACCCCTTCGTGCTGGCACTCCAACGGTCTAAGCTTATAGTGCCAAGGTGAACCGGGATGCGTTCCTCTCGATCCTCTCGTTACCTTCGTGCCACTTCGTCTAAGCGAGCTTTGGAAGTCGTCCTCTGTCTTGCCATGCGCCTTGTTTCCTCCTGCCCGAGTGCCCTTTATCATTCCCCAGTCGCTCGCTTCCTCCAAAATTTGAAAATGTGGTATCAACCCAGCCGTTACCCTCTCAGCCCCGTCTAGGGATCATTTTCTTCGCATCGTCGAACGCATGGAGATCCCACCACGATGCGGGCTTACATCGCCATTGCGTCCTTTATCGTGCAGCAACCAGACTCATGTAGATACCCCAAGCGACACCCGCAAGAGAACCAACCAAGTTCCTACCCTCAATGCTCTTGATAAAGGCAAAGTTCACCAAACTGACCATGGGCCACAACTTCAGGCCCGCGATGAAGATGGGCACGAACTCGAGCTGGCTCTTGTGGACGACGGACTGCCAGTCAACATTACTATAGTCGATGGCGCCCCGCGAAAACAAAAACGTGCCCGAGTGCTGCGCAGCCGCGAGGTGCTCCGGGCGCACCATGGCCGTCTGGATGCTGTGCATGAACATGCTGAAAGCGAGCGTGTTGAGCGCGGCGCCGACAGTCTGGTCGAGGACGAGCTTGATGAGCGTGTTGCGGATGTTGAGCTTGGGCTCCACGAGCTGGTCCTCACGCGCCTCGCGGTCGAGCGCTTTGTCGTCGTTGGCCGCGGCCGAGGCGATGGCCTTCTTGGTGGGCGAGACGTGGTAGGCCGGGAAGCTCTCTTCGAGGAAACCTTGCCTGGGATGTGTCAGTGATGACGGTCTGGGGTATGACGCGTATCGTGCATGCAGGTAGAAGAGGGATCCGCGATGGTGAAAGACGAGTGCTCGCTGGGAGACCCACCACAAGAAGTTTGGCGGCGTGCTGAGGAGGGTGAAGATGATGAACTGGAAAACGGGGACCCAGTCGATGACGAGTTGTTTCTGGTCACAGTGTTAGCACGAAGGTCTCGAGTGATGGTCATATGAAGCCATATTATGACGGTGAAACACATTATAGAGTCCATGAGCTTCGGAAATTCATACATCGGTCTGGTAGGCCGTCAGGACCTGGGCCAGTATGTTCGAAGTGCCACTGAGGGCAGCTGACTGCAGAGTTGCAGTGACGATGGGAGGCAGCGCCATGATGGTGACTTGTGAAAACGCAAGCTTGACTTTGATTTGATGAAGACGTGAAATGAAGTTGTGAGTTTAGATGAACGACGTATACCGTTGTGCCGGGTAAACCACGGCAGGTGCACTCTTGAGATGCGTCTTTAAACCAAGATGACGGGAGGCAGAGAAAGATGGAGATAAGAACGGATGACGTCCTTGATGCGAAACAGGTGCCTGGAGACGTCGAGACTTATATGCGATACTGCGTGAGGAACGTGAGTCAAATGTAAGTTGCAATCTGTTCAATAACCCTTCCGAGCAGGAGCATTTGTAATCGGCATAAGTTGAGGCTTGACGGGATGCAGGCCCGGATGGTTGAAAGTTTGGCGGGGGTTCATGGGCTGTGGAGGGAGGAGCGACCCCGGCTTGTGGAGGTGGCCGGTCTCCAACAGTCCAAGTTCGGACCGGCGAATCACTGATGACATGTCTGATTTGTGGGTCTCCTGACAGCTGTCCGTTCAAAGCAAGCTAGAGCTCCAATAGGCTAGACGACGTGGCTGCTCACTTACATGATTCCAGGCACAATAGGCAACAAGTACCAAGGTCAACAAAAGCGAGTCTCATTGGGCTTGAGCATAGCTATTGTGTCTCATAAGAGGTCAACTGTACTGGGAAAATGCCTAGAAAGGCTGCCATCTTCATAGATGTCAGCAAAGTTGATTCGCTGCAGTGGACTTCACCGCGCCTACTAGCGCAACCTTATTGGGTGAATGACACACAGGCAGCAAAGAGGCAGCAAAGAGCTTGCATGATGTTTTGCCGCAATCTTCAATGCACTGGTAAGGTAGGTACTACAATACAGGTTTCTAATGTTTGTTTTATTCGCGTGCCCCTCGTCGTCTCATGCTCGTGGATTGCCCCTTGTGACAAGCTCCGACTGGTCCTATAGTACAGGGATAGAGCTTCATCTTCGGCTACTGTATACCCAGCCCCCCAATATGATAGGGACTCTTCACAACAAACAACGCAAGCGGCTAGGACGACGCGTCGTTGTTGTATCGTACAATTCATCTATGACTGTCCGATAAATTCGCACATCACAAAAGCTGACCCCAACCGGCCATCCCTTCCTTGTGTCTGACCACCTAGCAAGCGCATCCCCACCTACTCTCGGACTCCTTTTTCATGTTGACCTTTTTCTATAGAAGGGTGCTTTTGGCGTAAACTTGAAAGTGTCGTAATGATGGTTCAAGGCCTCGACAGGATCCACATGAAAAGTAGCTGGACAATGTAGGAGTAGAAGAAGAGGAACTGGGTCCTCTGGTTTCGCTTGGCTCGGGAATCGCCAGTCTGCATAGGGCCGGCACCGTTGGCTGCGTTTTCAGGGAGCAGAACGTACTTGAGCGAACGCATCTAATGGGAATGTTAATCTCTTGTATCACGCGGTGACTTGTACGAGGACATACCAAGAACAGCGAATTGGCCAGGAAAGTGTAGAGGAACACGCCCCAGCCAATCCACCCACCGGTACCCTTGCCACCGTTCAAGATCTCGGCTACAGTAACGGTGACGATGATGCCGACGAACTTGTAGCCGGAGTACGCGATCAGGTCGTAAAGCTGCGAATCGTTCGAGATGCCCAACAAGTAGCAGCCCAGTTTGAGACCGAGGATCTCTGCCATGACTATTACTAGGGCCGTCGACGCTGTGTATCCGAGAAGTTCTGGCTGGAACTGGCCGCGGAGACCGGCAAGGAGCGTAGAGAGAAGGATGTACGTGACGACAGCCATGACGGGAATGTACATATCGGGGCTGTTGATGTCGTCTCGGGGAGGGAGGTACCATCCCTCCTGTCCGCTAGGCCCGACGGACTGCTTGCGCGACCATGGCTTGTGCCTCCAAGGGAAGAGGACGAGGACTATTTTGTTGATGACGTAGGAGTTGGAAACGTTGAAGTAGTGCTTCAGGGCGTTGACGTTAACGTATCGGTTGAACTTCAAGCAGGGTTAGCTTCAGAATAAATTTGATGCATCTCGATAGTTGACCGTCGAGATGCTTAGAGGCCTGCCTCCCCGTCCCTAGACTCGACGTACGTTTTGCTCCATGTACTCCTGGCCATGCTTGAAAGCCGTCTGGCCAAACTGCGCTGCCACTTGCGCCGTGGGATCATTCATAAACTGTCCGTATGCGCCGAATACGTTCCCACTCGTACCGCCTTGCTGTTGGTAGGGACTGCCACCATAGCCTTGTTGCGATTGCGATTGCGACACGGGAGGAGGGGGCGAGCGCAACTGCGGAACTGTAGAGACATGCTGGGGTACGGGGTGGTGCAAGGGGGGCGACTGCCCGTAGGTTTGTGGACGCTGCATGATGTGCAAATGAGCTCGTAGTTTCGTCTTCTGTTCGTGAATATCGTTCGATGGGGTTTGTCGGAAGATTGTGAAGCTATGTTGGGTTCGACGGCGGCGTGGGTGTTGGGATGCCTCCCTTCCAGGTTCTCTGAGTCCACGTCGTCTTTGGCGGGCCGCGATGGAGCTGGTACGGAAAGGTGTTTACTTCCATAGATGTCCCACATTGTCCAGATGAGCAGGACAGGTAGCGGTGGCCCAAAGGGGCTTAGCTCGGAGTTCTTCTTGGCCAGCTCAGCACAAGCCCTCTTGCGGGCCTTTTTAAGCCGCTTCAAGGCCTGGTGCCGGCCGGCTGCCAGCTGCCAGTAAGCTGGCATCGGCGCATATCAATCAACGACTCTCCTTTCTTACCTACCCTGCAGGTACCACCAATACCTCTATTATCATCGCTTTGCAGGCTTCTCGTGGCATACTCTTGTAAAGATGTACGCATACTAGTATTATTGATAGGATGTGTCTTCTTACCCGTGGTACGGAAGCCGTCTTAGAAAGTCTCATTTCACCAAGTATCGTATCTCCATGTTCACACCATTGAGCTATACCTGCCGCTGGAGGGTCAATTGGGTATCGTTTTACAGGTGCAAAGAGAGACTAAGACGAGTTGACATAAAGACTGGAGGCAAGACTCGCCGAGGAAGCAAAGACGCATACCTTAAGTGGAGTTACCTTCAATTCCATCTGTATACTCTAAGGAAGCAACTCAATCATACCTAGAATAGAAGTAAGCTTTCAATCTGTACTGTGTAGGCCGTCCCCTAAACCATCAAATATACAGTACGTATACAGTGTAATCTTCCTATATGCTCAGAGCTTATCGATAAGAAAGGGACCCCAAGGCCAAGGGTTCACCCACTCCAAGGGCCCAAAGGAGCGTCCAGCCCACTTCATTGACCACGGGTCTTGCGCCACAGGCCAGCTTTTGGGATCGAGGAAGTCGCCTCCAACTCAACCCTCACCCTCTCTCCTCTTCCACTAGTCCCCGAGTTTCCACGATCTTTGGTGTCGCCGTCAATCACGAAGCCGGAATCGCACACACAATGTTGGACACGTTCGAGATTCTAACCACCTCAGGGGTGGTCCTTTGGTCCAGAACCTATGCGCCGGTCAACCCGTCCGTCATCAACAACTTCATTGCCGATGTCTTCATCGAGGAGAAGGGCGGCGCTGCCTCCAGCCAGTCCGCCGCCAGCAACGCCCCATACAAGCGCGACCAGCACACATTACGGTATACGTTTGTAAAAGAGCTAGGTGTCATCTTTGTGGTATGGAAACCCAACAGCAGCTAATGCGCCGCACCCCTCCAAGCCATGGTACTAACGAGGTTTGCGAACAGGCTGTTTACAGATCACTACTTCACCTGTCATGGATTGACAAGCTCGTCGACAACATCAAGACGATCTTTGTAGATCTGTACGGAGAGCAATTGACGAAGCCGCACACGACAGTGGTCGAATGCCACAAGTTCGACGAGTACTTTGACCAGCAGGTCAGAGAGCTGGAGACGACGGGGGCAAAGGGCGACTCCAACGTCTCAGAAGCCGACTTCGCAAAGGAGGAGAAGACTCTGTCTGGAAACCTCGGCGATGACCCTCCTCTCCCTCCTGGTCTGCACTATAGGGGTAAGCCGAATGCGCCGTGCAGGTGTATCAGTGTGCAAGCAGCTAACAAATCCCCTCCCAGGTCGTGGTCTCAACAGCGCAAACGAAACCTCCAACGATTCGACCCCCATCGCGACGCCCACGACCTCTCGACCCTCGACTCCCGGAACCGGTGGCGTATTAGTAGGCAAGGCCGGCCCCGTCGCCAAGATGTCGCGGCGCGCGCGCAAGGCGGGCAACTCTGCGCCCCTTTCTTCTGGCGACGAGTCCGCCGGCAGAAGACCCAAGCCCGCGACGAGATCATCAACGAAGAAGGGCCGCAAATGGGACGCAGACGGTATGGCCGACGAGGAGGACGACGTGGTGCTCGACTACTCGGCTGCTCCGAAGTCGGCGACGAGCGACTCGGAAGCCGAGACGACCGCCCGCTCCTCCACCGTCGAGCACGTCGATCACACGACATGGGGTTCCAAGACGTCAAAGGGCCAATTCGTGCTAAAGGACCTAGACGACGAGGTGCACAACATCCTCGCCTCGGCGCATGCCAAGAACGACTCTTCCAACAAGACAGAGGCATCGGGCGGACTTATCGGGTCCGGCCTGAGCACGATCGGAGGCCTCTTCCGCAATGTTGTCGGCGGCAAGACGCTATCAAAGGCGGACCTCGACAAGGCGATGAAGGGCATGGAAGAGCACCTCCTCAAGAAGAACGTCGCGCGCGAAGCCGCGGTACGGCTCTGCGAGGGCGTCGAAAAGGAGCTTCTCGGCGCCAAGACGGCCTCCTTCGAGAGCATCAACGCAAAGATCCAAGCCGCCATGGAAGCCTCCCTCACAAAGATGCTCACCCCGACCTCCTCCCTCGACCTCCTCCGCGAGATCGACGCCATCACCGCCCCGCCCGCGACATCCCTCCGCAAGGCCCGCCCCTACGTCATCTCCATCGTCGGCGTCAACGGCGTCGGCAAGTCTACCAACCTGTCCAAGATTTGCTTCTTCCTCCTGCAGAACAAGTACAAGGTCCTCATCGCCGCCGGCGACACCTTCCGCTCCGGCGCCGTCGAGCAGCTCGCCGTGCACGTCCGCAACCTCAAGGAGCTCACCGTCCGTGAGGGCGGCCGCGTCGAGCTGTACCAAAAGGGCTACGGCAAGGATGCCGCCACCGTTGCGCGCGACGCCGTGGCTCACGCCGCGCAGGACGGCTTCGACGTCGTCCTCATTGACACGGCCGGACGCAGACACAACGACCAGCGTCTCATGTCCTCCCTGGAGAAGTTTGCAAAGTTTGCTCAGCCCGATAAGATTCTCATGGTCGGCGAGGTAAGCCCCTTCCTTTCCTCTCACATTTATAGCCAAACAACTACTGACTCTCTCCCCCAAGGCCCTCGTCGGCACAGACTCGGTAGCCCAAGCCCGCAACTTCAACGCGGCTTTCGGCTCCGTCCGCACCCTCGACGGCTTCATCATTTCCAAATGCGACACCGTCGGCAACATGGTCGGCACCCTCGTCAGTCTCGTCCACGCCACAAACGTCCCTGTGCTCTTTGTCGGCGTCGGCCAGCACTACTCTGACCTGCGCAACTTTTCTGTAAAGTGGGCGGTTGAGAAGCTCCTGAGCAGTTCGTAAGGTTTTCGCTTTCTCTCCGTTTGGGGGTTGAAGAAGGGCTATAGAGGGAGAGGGAATGGAAGTTGCCTCTTACTTGGGTGTATACCTGTATAAATCACCTTTTAATATGAAATGAGATGAAATGAAATCAACTTAATCGGGTTTCCATGGCGAGAATCAATGATACCCCAACAAAATCAAGCGTTCTGATAGTCTCCATGCGATATGCCTACCTTAGTTATCTCTCGGGTCCCACGAAAACACATATGTGCCGTTCATGTTTAGCCACGAGCATTCTGCCATATTGACCCTTCGTCACGACAAGTCCTAGTAAAAAATATTTCAATGATCAAGATTGATAGGCCAAATCAGGCGTGCGAATTATTACTATATACTTCTTTGGTGTGTAGTGTAATAGGTAAGTAAAGAGGGGCTGGGCTGCAGTAAACATAACCAGGCCAAGTAAAAAGGTAAAAGCAAGCCAAGCCCATAGATAGACCCAGCAAGCCAACACGCTATACTTCAAGCCCTTCAAAACCCCCCCTTCTCCATTTCATCGTCATTTTCTTTCCCGCTATGCATCGGACTGAAAACAAAGGAAAACAAAGGAAATTAAAATTTAGCCCTCTCATCCTCATTCCCCATCGGAGAGGAGATATTACCCCCTCCCCCGTGAGGTGTGATTACAAGAAGGTAAAATCCACGATTCTGAGTGTTTGTATATGAAAATCCTCCTCCAATACCCTCAGTGGATTGTAATGTAGTAGAAGTAGTCTTGCGAAAAAGGGGGTATCATCATTCTAGTGTGTCCATTCTTTTGGGCTCAAAAGCATGCTGCGTGATAGAGACAGAGAGAGAAAGATTGACTGCGGCGCGAAAGACAAAGGAAATCCTCCACGGCCCCACGTTTCCTTCCACTCATCACTGCTCCTTCTTAGTCTTCAAAGAAGTCAGTGTCGTCAAAGTCGCCCGGGTGAGCATCTGAGTCGTAGCCGCTTGACCGCATCATCGGAGGAGTCATGGGTTGTTGGGAACGGCTCGACGGACGGCGAGCGGGCGGGCTCTTGAGGGGCATCGGCTCAGATGGCACCTCCGTGATGGACGGTCCTCGGTTCCTGGCCTGCAGTTGCTGAGCCGTGTACCGACGTCCAGTGGTCTGGAACGCCGTTGGTTGAGGTTCCTCCGCGCGCGTAGCGTTTGAAGGGGGGGTCTGACGGAGACCAGAAGCCGGCGGGGTCATCAGTCCATTGTGGTTATTGCTGAAAGAGGCCGACGCGGTAGATCGGGACGGGGTGTGGTTGCTATTGACAGCAGGACGGGCCGTAGAGGGCCTACCGCTTCGTCCGCCCGATGCGAAGATGGGTTGTTGCGACTTGCGCCAGTTACCCCAGGCTGCAGCCAGGGGTCCTACAGCTTGAGCAACACGAGGCGATGCAGCCTCCCGCAGCGACTGTGCAATGTTGGGCAGATTGATTGCCGATCCGCCATTCATCGCACGCTCGCGCTCCTGTTCCTCCATTTGAAGGTTGGCCTTGAGACGGATGGACGCATCTTTGACGGCTTCCCTGTCAAAGTCTTCAGCAGAGACGGCAAGGATGATGTCTTGCAAATCGCCATGTCTCACGGCAAGAAGCTCGCGCAACCAAGTGATCTCGTCGTCACGCTTGGCAATCTTGGTAGGAGCTTCGGGATCCAGCTTGTCGACGGTAGACTCGAGCTCTTCGATGCGCTGCTCGCGTGCCTGCAACTGCTCTTGCAAGACCATGATGGACTCCCGCAACGCCTGGGGCGAGATCTTCTCTGGGAGGTCCATGGCCTTCGACACGACGGGTGCGGCAGGTGCCACGGCCTTGGGCTGGAAAGATGCGGTGGGCAGAACGGTTGGCTCGACACCTGCGGACTTGGCAGCTTGAGCGGCAGCACGAGCGGCTTCCTTGGCGATCTCGAGCTTCTCTTCCAAATGTGCGACACGGTCTTGGAGATGTTCGGTCTTGGAC